GAGAGAGAGAGAGAGAGAGAGAGAGAGAGAGAGAGAGAGAGAGAGAGAGAGAGAGAGAGAGAGATTTGCTTGGACTGGCTGTTTTCAGGTTTTATTGCAGTGCTGGCACTTTGCGATAAATCAGTGGGTTTTGGGTTGCAGTTTGGGCACTCAGTCTCTAAAAGGTTCAACATCACTGGGTTAGGGTTTGAAAAATGAGGTCCCCTGGCATGATTTTGATGGTTGGAATGTTTAGAATGGGCAGAAATGTTGAGATGTACAGAAAAAGCTACTCAAGGAAGGCTTTTTCAAAATTGCATTATTTTCAATGGAACTTTAGCCCCATATTAGGGTTAGGGGTGTGCACCAGGGCAGGGTTAGGCCAGTGGTGGTGAAGCTATGGCATGTGTGCCACAGCAGGCACACAGAGCCCTCTCTGTCGGCATGTGAACTATGTCACCTCAACATTGCCCCAGCAGTCAAGCATTGTATAACAGCGTACATAGGGCCATGCGCTTGCTCGAAAAGGAGTAGCTATGCCAGGCAATGACGTCACGTGCCACGACTCGTCCGAGCTTTCGTATGGCCAGTCAGTGTGCTGCCAAGGATGCTTGGACTGGCTGTGAATTGTTTTTTTCTAAACTAAAACCTCAGTTTTCAGGTTTTATTGTAGTGTTGGCACTTTGCGATAAATAAGTGGGTTTTGGGTTGCATTTTGGGCACTCGATCTCTAAAAGATTCGCCATCACTGACCTTGAGTCTTAGATTCACAAGTAATACCACAGCAACAAAAGAAGCAATCTGTCAATGTTTGTAATTACCAATAAATCTTATTTATATTCTGCAAGTATATGCAAGTTCTTCTTGATACAGGAAAACTCTCAGTATACAGAATTTCCTGAAATATATTCCTTCTGTTTGGCCCAGCACTACAAGTCCCCTCTCCCACAATCTCGAACTAACTTGAGAGGGAATATTTAGTCCTGAATTGCTTCAGTTCTGTGCTTTGGCTAGTTCTCCCTCTCAGGAGGAAGTCTTTACATTCATATTTGTTTCATTAAGAGATAGCAACTATACAATTTTCAAGTGGACATGGACTGGTAGATGTGATCATGTAACACCGATCCTGTACCATCTGCACTGGCTACTAACTGAAGACCGGGCCAATTTAAGCTGCTAACAACAACATATAAAGCCCCAAATGGTTTAGGGCATGGGTCCTCAAACTACAGCCCGCGGGCTGGATGCGGTCTGTCATGTCCATTTATCCGGCCTGCCTCAGAGGTTTTGGACTTGCTTGGATAAAACAATCTCTGAGCAAGTTCAAAAGCTCTGAGCCAGTGCAAGCGTTCTTTAAAACTGAGCAGAGAGAGCCGCAACAGCTCAACTGCACATGCGCCGGATCCCCACCCCACGCCATTGCACGCATATACAGAGCAGGAATACGGAGCGGAAAATAGAAGAGAGATGGGCAGAAGAGAAAGAAAGATGAAGACAAAGAAGGATTGACGGTAACAAAAATATAAATTTTAAAATCTATTTTTAATTATGTGAGCCCAGGGGCAGCCAGGCTGTGCAGCCATCTCTGAGTGAGCAAGCTGCTGCTTTACCGAGCCCACCGCCACCTTGCCGTGCCCACCACCACTGCTGCCTCATGGGGCCCACGCCCACCCCACCCCGCCTTTCAACTGGCCCCATGCTGAAAAAGTTTGAGGACCCCGATTTAGGGCCTGGATATCTGAAGGAGCAGTTCCTTCTGTATACACTTGCCCAAACCCTAAGATCTTCATCTGAGGTCCTTCTCTGGGAGCCTGATTTGAAGGAAATCAGAGAAGGATCTTTTCTGCAGTAGCATCCCAGCTTTGAAACCTGCTCCCCAAAGAAGTGTGCCTGGCGCTGACATTTTATTCATTTCGGCACCAAGGCAAACTCTTTTTATTTTCCCTATATTTTAAGCTTTTAAGTTGTTATAATGATTGGTTTTACTGTATAGCTATAGTCTTTTATGTGTGCTGCCTACTGTATAGCAGTCCTTGCTATTGGACAGGATATAAATGTTTTAAACAAACAAACAAACAAACAAACATCTCTTCTACCTTCCAGTATTATGAAGGTATTATAACATTCTCCTTGAAACATAAGTAGATTCACACACACCGCATTCGTATTTTATAATCAGATACACAACATATTTGTACTTTAATTATACAGGTATGCACCTTAAGTTTATATTTTGAAACATGCATTATTGCAGTTTTTATATACAGTTAACAGTGACAATGAGCACTCAGAGAGAAGAATGGGTTAAAATGTTATATTTCCTGAAACTGAGTAGTTTACACAAGATATATTTTTCTGTACAAGACAGTTTAACTGTTCCCCAAAGTAGCCAGACCAATATGCTGGAAACTTGGAAGTAGTTGCTTCCTTTAAAGCCCTCATTTACACAGAAATCTTCCTTCTTAGCTTCTTTCTTTGACGTTAATATGTTGGTATGATGGGGGAATACTGAAGTTCAGTTTTTTTATCAAGTTCCTGATAAACAGCATTGTTAGTTTGCTGTGGCAAGGAGATAGCATTTTATCCTGAGAAATTTCAACATAATTTGCAGTCCATACTTGAGAAGTGTTAGCACCCAGAAACCAGAGGATGAACATTTCAGTTTGCCTGAAAATTTTGTAACCTATTGTAACAGTCTCTAACAGTCTCTGGTTTGAGATGGCCATGCTACAATTCATTTACAGATATGACACTATGTTATTCAGGGTTGAAATGGGCTTACTACCTGAAGATGGGAAGGGATATGCTGAATGGAATACTGCATACTCTGGCTCATAGAAGCTTATACTACAATTATTTATTTAAAACATTTATATGCTGCCTATTGCGCCATAGCATCTCTAGTCTTGCAGCACCTAAACTGTTTTACTATTACAGTTGACCTTCATAAAGAGGATACACAGCAATGTTTAGGTAATTCTCTCTTTTGCATTCTCTCTTTTTACATGCAGAAACATTCTTGCTTACTAAACATAACACCCTTCACTCTATTTGCTATAGTGCATATTCATTACAATGTTTCATCATACTAAGCATTGAGGTGCTACTAGTTCAGAAAATAGTTCTGTGTAAAGACGACTAAAGGTTACCAAACTAGAGTTGCATTGGAAAGTGAATGAGGAAAAAACATCTACAATAAGATATGTCAAATGGAATATTAACAAAAACATTTTAAAATTGGCACATAAAATTCTAAAATGTTCATCTAATCCAGCATCTTGTTTTCCACAGAGTCCACAGAGGCTTCCATAAAGCCCATAAGCAGAGCACAAAAGCACTCTCCTACTGCAACTCCTCAGTAATTGGTATTCTGTGGTACACTGCTCCAGCACGTGAAAGTTCTATATAACCTCCTCCGCCACTGACCCACCAACCATGAATCTGCATAATCCATCTAACATAGCGGCCATCATCATATCTCCTGACAATAAATTCCATAAATTATTATATGAAGTATTGCTTCCTTCTGTCTGTCTGAAATCTATGTAAGTACTATGAGACATGAATAAAGCTTCTTCCCTACATTATACATAGCTTGATAAACTTATGTCCTGTTGGGTTTTTTTTTCCACAGCAGAAAAATGCTCAAAATTCTTTAGCCTTTCCTAATACAGAAGATCATTTTATGTTTCTGCACTGTTTCCAGTACTCCTATGTTTGATGGGGCAAGCAGACCTATACATACCATATACTTACTACTATGTTCGCAGCTTTATTTTCCTTCCTAGTAATCCATGGCATTGAGTTAGTCTTTTACACCTGCCACATACAGAGTGGATGTTTTCATTGCTCTCAAGATCTTTCTTGGGAAATCACAAACAGCTCAGAACTCATCTACTCACGAAGTGAATTCTTTGCCACTTTGTGCATCATTTTATTCTTATGTACATTGCACCCTGTTTACTATCTTGTTGACCTTTCACCCAGTTTGAGGACAACATTCTGGAGTAATCATGCAAATTATGTGTTACAGTTCATAACAAGCCATAGTGGCTTGTTTTCATTTTACACACAAGCTGAATGGCTCTGTTAGTATGTCACAACAGTCATGGGTTATTTTTCTGATGGGCAGATAAAGGCCTGAGTTGCTGGTTTGCACATCATGACAAACAACTCAGGGATCCAGTGGGAGCCATCAGGCAGCATGCATCAGCTCATTCAAAACCCAGTTGTTTTTTTAATGATGTTGTGACATGCACACTGGGTCAGTAACTTTCTATGTATCATACATCAAACAAAAATATAGGCCAAACTCATTAAAGATACAACCCACTCTAGCAGCCTAAAGCAGAACACTCCAAGAAAAATTTGTTGCCAGTTGATTCTGCTGATTATATATAAAGTACCTTCTTCGATTAAAACTACTGAATATACTCCGTTAATCTTGAATGTATCGCTCCCTTATATTTCCTGCTGGTTGATCCAGACTCCCTGCACTCCCTTCTGCAATCAAAATTGCAAATACAGATTAGAAATCCTAATAAAGCTGCACTCCAAAGGGTAGGAAACGAAGAGGAGGGAAGAACACAGCTCGTGTCATTCATTAACCCACCAGGATTGCAAGAATGGAGAAGATAGCTATTTAGGTGGTAACTAATCTGTTAAGGGAGCTCAAATAGGCACCTTCTATAGGCAACGTCAAGTCCCGCATCCCTTCAGCTGGGTTTAACATCCGCCCTCGAAGGGAGATGAAGTTACAGGCAAGTGCAAGTCCGGTTTCCACCCGCTCCCGTAACGCAAAGTAAAATTCGGAGGACTTTCCTTTGCCTGCCAGCTGTCCAGCCCGGCGGTGCTCCCGCCCTAGGAGGACATCTTTTCCAGCAGCGCCCCCCACCCAAAAAAAAAAAAAAAACACCTTACATGGAGCTCCGCTCAGGCAGCCCGAGTTGTGACGACACAGCTCTTTATTCCCCCTTCCCCCAGAGAATCCCTTCCCTGACCCAACATCCCGGAGCACTCACCGGCTTCTCAGAAGATCGCTCCCGGCTTCCTCGCGGTGACTCGGTTTCACACAGCCCACGCTTCTAGCCATCTACCCAGAGGCCATTCTGAGGTAATGGTTGCCCCACCGCTCCTTTTTCGAACCACCCACTCCCCGCCGAGGGCAAGGAGCTTAGACGCAGCAGACGTTCCCCACAGAAATACGGGGAGGTGCCCGGTCGAAGTGAGTCGGGCCGAGGGAGCTGACCGGGCGGGCCGCACACGGGAGAATCCTTCCTCTCTTGACGCTCCTTTGCCCCTTTGTTCGACTTCGACGGCGGAGCTCTCCGGAATGCTTCTGCTCGGCTGGTGCACCCCGCGGGCCCCTGAGCAACTCCTCTCCGAGAGTCTTTGTTTCCTGCGTGCCGCTCTTCCTTCCCGCGCCCCTCAAGGTCCCGCTTCAAACCGAGGCATCTCGTGACAGCAGCGGCAGCAGGGCCGCCGCCGCCGCTGACACGAGATGAAGAAGAAACCAAAGCCCGCCGCTCCTCTGGCGGCCAACAACACAACGATGGCAACAAGCAATCAGGTCTCCGACCCGGAAACTCATCGGCAGCCGAAGCCGCACGGGAAGCGGATCTGCTGCCGGCTCACGGGGGAGGGAAGCTGGGCGGAGCGCCGAACGAGAGACGCTAAAGCCTGGGGTGGGGTTGGACGATGCTCGTCTCTCCCTGGAGGAAGCGGTCTTCGGGCTACGCGGTACGGAAAGGCAAGACTGTTTTTGTTTTTAAGCCGAGGCATCTCAAAGATCCTTTTCTCGTGTTTAATCATCTTTGCCACAACTAAGTTGCTTGGCTAGTAAGGCGACAGTCTGTGCTCACTTAACTTTCGGGGAAAGTCGCCTTGAATTCAGTGAGTCTCTGAGAGCTACTTGAAGCATATAGTGCAGCCGCAAAGAATTGCCAGTGAGGGGGTTGCCTGTTTGAATACTTTCCTGTGGGAGAAAATAAATTTCTCCCTATACGTAGAAAAACAGCAGGTCCGGGAAGGGAAAGTTAGACTGCCCCCCGTTTGATAGTTTTGTATTCGCAGGAGTAGGTTATTTTTTTGCTTAGGTGATCTCACACCTGCAGTCTGAAGTGGTACAGTCTAGGGAAAGTTTTATCCCTGGAGTCAAAACAACGGAAAGTCTTGTGGAACCTCATAGAATGGAAGATTTATTGTGACAGAAAACTTTGTGGTCTAGAACTTTAAACTACTAGAGTGTATACCATGATAAGTATTTATGATACCAGTAGACTGCTTTTACTGCAACAAGACTCTTCAACCATCTCTGGTTATTACTATTGGAATCAAATATATTTATAAATTGTCCTTCACTTCTGAGTTAACATGACAGGATGGGAGGCCCTGAATCATTACCAGTTTGTTCATCTTTTATTTAAAGAAGTTTTTATGGAACGTGCTTTTTTCTTCGTACTTTGCAACATACAGTAACCAGTGGAATCAGAATTCTGTTTCTATAGCTGTTCTGAATATGGGATCAGTCCAGATTATTAGTTATTCCAGATTAATAAACACAGTAAATAATAGTACACTCTGTGATTCTGAGTACTGTAACATCTGTTATCTACAAAGATGCCAAAAAGGGTGAGATTTGGTAATACTTTCACTGTGCACTTAGAAATGTTTATATGGGAATCTGGACTGGATCTTCACAGTAAATTTTATATACTCTACAGCTTCTAAGCAAAAGATTACAAGGGCTGTCCCACTCAGGAAAGCTGTCTTTTCATATATCTGTGAGACTATTCATCATGTTCATCTCCAGGCTTCATCTCCCCTGTTCCCACACATTTCATAAGAGCTTAGAAGGTGAACTAGGGGTGTGTTTGCTGCGTCCAGGGGCCCAGTGAGGTGTCTGGCTTTATAGATTTCATTCTCAGACCTCATGCTAGCCACTGATAATTTCCAAGTTCCATGCAAGATACCTCTGACTTTCTGTAGTTCTTTTCAGATTGGAATGCCTACCCAATGAAGGGAAAAAATCAGATCAACCAGAATTGTACCCAAGAATAATCCAAAGTAGGAATGATCCATAAGAAAAAAACAATAGGACACCTCTTACTGTTGCCTACATTTCCCAGCTAAAACTACACAAAGTATAAGCAATTAAAGCTACAGATCATCCTGGACAATGACACTTTCCTCTCACAGACCTGGGTGGTAGGTTTGTACTTGCTTACAGACAGCCCATCCCACATTGAAATTGATTCCTTACCAGCAACAGGCCCTGTAAGAGAAGATACAGGAGCAAGACCTTAAGGATAATCCAGGTGTCAGCTTTGTTCCTATGTTTACTCTAGTAACACTTTTACAGGATAATTACTGATAATTATTTTAGGCCAGATGGTTATTTTTGCCCAAATAAACAGTCTACTCTCTACAAAAAAAAAAAGATATGGACATAAATCTGACATCAGAAATGACATTATCAAAAACTGAGAAGGAGAGCACCTTTAATCTTTCAAGGCAATGTGACTGATCTTAAACTGATGATTTAGGAGCAAAAGAACTTCAGTGGGAAATTGCAATGTGAAACTTCTGAACTGCAGTTTATCAAAAGGTTCAGCTCTTTCTCCTGTGCCTAAAATAAGTGCAAAGGGGGTTTTTTTTTGCATGAGTTAATGAGTTGATTATACAAGAATATCTGAATTACATCTACAAGGTTGTTTTGTAAATGGCAGTGATCATTGTCTATGTTTCATAGTGCCTTGCAGAAGTATTCACCCCGTTGACTTTTCCACATTTTCTTGTTTCACAATCTGGAATTGGAATGGATTTAATTGGCATTGTTACTGTTTGATGCATGCAAGATGCTCAACACCAAGGAAGTGCCATTTTAAAAAATCTTCATTTTTGACCTCTGGATTTATTATATTTATTTGGGATATTTCTAACCCATCCAATCACTATGTGTCTCTGGATGGCTTACAAACAACAGCTTAGTTCTTTTCTCTTAGATGCAGTTTGTTCATAGTGTGATATAAGTGTGCACCCAATTGTCAATTTATGGCAAAATACAAGCATGGCTCCAAATGTTAAACACTGAACCAACCTTAGAAACCACACAGCTCGCTCACTTTAGCATGCAGGCTTCCTGATCAGCCCGGCCTGTATACACACGAGCCTCAAAGCTGTATCAGTGGGCATGTTTTGCATATTGCATTATTAGTCACTTCCTTGTGGACTATTTTAATCTTTCCTTGTCCTTTATCCAAATATATATCTATTCAATGGTGTTGTTTTTGAATTTTCAGGTTATTCTTCATAGCACTCACAACACAAAAACAGTTTTGCTTTGTTTATTCAAACAGGAAATAACTAGCACAATTTAATTAGGGAAATCACCATAGCTATCATTTTCTTCATGAAATCTTATCCATATCTGATTTTTGAAAACTTGTTCTGTTCATTTAATCTTTGTTTTTTATTTATTATTTCCAGTCACAAACAAAATAAACCATGGGAAACCCAGAAATCATAACTGAAGCTTATGTGGCTGTCATCCGTCCAAAGAATGCTGCAAGCCTGAATTCTCGTGAATATCGTGCCAAATCATATGAGGTAAAATAATTGGGGGGGTTATTGAAATTTTATTAAATGGAGGTCATTGTACTATTACAAGCAATTGCATATAATCCTAGATATATCCAGTATACACCAAGGTATAGATGGACTCTCGGGAAATATGCTAAGATCAGACTGTTGTACTCATGGTGATTTTCTTGAAGCAAAGTCATATTGGCATAAGAAATTGTTCTTCATCTGCTCCATTGCAGCATTGCACTTTTGTTTTCTAATTGCTTCCTATGAGAGATACAAGGTGAATTGTCATCATGTGAATTGCCACTAAATATTTACCAATTGTTTCTGCAGCCTTGATGGTTAGCTAATATCCCACTAGTTCTTACTATCCAAGTACTACTCATCAGAATATTAAGGCGAGAATAGATTCACACATTTAGAATTTATAAGCCACTTCGCAGTTACCCAACATCAGGATATCTGTGCTGTAATATTTCTAATTTTATTTATTTTAATGCTAGTGGTAACTGAAAATGTAGTGCTCTCACCTCTCAGTACCATCTCCTCCAAAGTTCAAGGATCTTGTTGGTTAGTCCAAGGTTCCCCTGAAGCAGCCTTGTCCTCTGAGAACATATGCTTCAAAAGGTTCCGGATCTTCTGAGGGATGCTCCTCAGGTGGGGACTTGACAGTTGACTACTGATCAGCCTGTTCTGGATGAGCTTGCACAGATTTGGGGTGCTCTTGAAACTTGGTTGATCTTTGCTGGCTAGAAGCGCCTTTTAACAATTTGGGCTGATAAACCTGATGTGACACTCTCTGGTCAAAGATAGCCTGGGGACAGTTTACTTGGCTATCCTGCTTAGATTATTACAAAGCACTGGTTATGGGGCTACCTTTGGAAATTGTCTGAAAATGTCAGATAATCCAGAATGGAGCTACTAACTAGACTGGTTGATGCAAGCATGTGCTACCCATGCTTTGTCAGATGTACTGGCTTCCAGCCTACTTTGAGGCCCATTTCAAAGTAATTGTGTTGATCTTTAAAGCTCTAAATGGCTTGGAGCCAGAGTACTGAAAGGATATCCCCCACCTGTACATCTGTCCTCTAAAAAGGCTTTCCTCTGAGAAAATGATACTAGGAAGTTGGACTGAAGAATAGGCCTTCTTGGTTGGAACACCACATGCAGGATGCTCACCTAAGAAGCTAACCTAGAGCCCATACTGGTGTGTGCGCGGGGAGTTCAGATTTTAGTTTCTAGATTTGCCTGTAGAGTGCTGGGATGCCTGCTTTTATATGTTTATAGTATATTTCCTGTAATGATCATTGTTTTTATGTCATGTAATTCTTCCAGAGAATATTTCTGCTGTTGGATAGATTAAAAATATAATAAGTACATAAAATTTTCCAGTTTGCTTTCAATGTTAGGCAGGTATAGCCTTGTTTTTAATATATCCAGAATAATTTTACTAATTTTCTCATTTTTTGAATTTTCAATGGTTTCATCCTATGCTTTAATGCTTTATTGTGTAGCTCTTTAGTAAATACAAGCCCATATTAACTGCAATAGTTGACATTCCTGTTATATGTTGAAGGTTTTTAAAGGACCAACACTAAAGCAGATGCATGGATTTGCATCATAATAAGCATTGAACCCTACTAACCCAGAAAGAATAGTCTTTTATTGAAATGAAAGTAGTCAATGTATAATGAAACAATGCTTTATTTGAAATAAAAGCTTCATAGTAGCAAGCAATTTTGTGACGCATTCAAAAAAAGTGCTAGCATGCACACATTTTTAAAATAATGACTGTGTTCTTTGTGTTCTTTCCAGATATTTCTTGTTATACAGGATATTGAGAGAGAGAGAGAGAGATATGGATGTACATTTTGAATTAAAAACTTACATTATGGGCCTAAACATTTTTCTGGCAGCAGCTGCTTCTGTTATTACCATGGCATTCATGTAAAGAAAAATGTGTTTCATAGCATTTGTATCTATCATTCCATGTACATGACTTGCAGGCCAGGCATATACTCAGATTAAAATGTTACTCTTTCAAAATTGATGTGGAACTTTGTGTTTAATTAATGTTCAATTTGATTATTACAAGATTTTATTGCTTGAAGTTCCTATTGAAGGACATAAAAAGAAGAGAAGGAAAATGTTATTGGAAACTAAACTTCAGGGGGGCAGTGACATAACGCAAAGCATTCTGGATTATATAGTAGAAACCACTAAACCGATTTCCCCAGGAAACCAAGGTATTAAAGGTAATTCTTTTCTGTTTTCATTGTGGTTTTTCCTGTAAATAGTCATAAATCAAGTACGCATCTTTTTTAAAAAATGAAAAGCTCAATTGCACCACTCCCCCCCATTTTTACGTCTTGACTCATGTTCACAGCATTCAACACAGATAAAACAATATTTCTTACTGTCTGAATGTGTGTTTTTTTGGAATAGAAAAATTTTATCTTGATTTTGGAAAGTGAGAAGGTACTTAGTGTGGTTAAGGGAGGGAGTTATAAAGGAAAAACTCTGCTGCTGAGAAGAAAAAAGATAAACATCTCAAGTATCTTGAAGTAATGGGGGTGTGGCACAGGAAATTGTACTTTTCCAATGTCTTAGATAATTAAAGGTTAAAAACAGCAATTTGTATTGTGCCTGAAAATGAATAGGTAATTAGTACAGTTGATATAACACAGAAGTAATATGTTCCCTACAACTCATTTCTGTAATCAATTTAGATGCCTGCAGTTTGTGCTAATTGAAGCTTCTAGATAATCTTCAAAGATTCTGCAGTCCAGCCTAGAGGTTACTAAAGTATGCATCATAGTTGTCAGGCCATTATAAACTAAGCATTGCTTAGTTTTTCGGCATCAGGCGAAGACCTTTTTATTTAAACGTCATTTTAATTGTTAATTTGATGTTAATATTATTTATTTATTTCATATTCTTGGCCAGGTCGACTCAAATTATATTGTTTTTATACTGTGATTATTTATTGATGTGAGCCGCCCCGAGGCTTCGGCGAATGGGGCAGCATAGAAGCTTCCTAGCAAATCAATCAAAGCTGGTAAAAGTCTTAGGTGCTTAGTCAGAACAGCCACCTGAGAATCCAGAAACAATGGCAGGTTCATCAAACTGAATAGCTGATCCTTCAGTGGGAGTGTGATTCCATCCAGAAAGGTACAATGACCAACTTCCAAAGTGATCCACCTAGTTTTCAATATACCATGGAGTAGCAGGAAGGGCAGATGATGAGGAAGAGATTAATTTTAGCTATTTAATTATCAAAGCATTATTGTTGTTATATACAGGGAAACGAGTTCTGTTAATGAAAACATTCCCTCTTGATGGTGAGAAGACAGGCAAGGATGCATCTCTTTTTGTTGTACCAACAGTTGTCAAAGGTAAAATTAAAATGTTAAAGTTGCACACATTTATAGGAAGCCAATGTAGTTTCCCTTAAAATATACATGAATCCTGTAAGTCTAATTCCATATTTTCAAACTGGCTTCAAGAATGGAACCCTTATGTCTATGGGGTGCGTGTGTATGATTTTTTAAAAAAAATAATACAGCATCACATTAACATACATAACTATTAGCCTATTATTCATTACTAAAAAAAGAAAAGATTTGGTTTTCATAGCTCTTTTTAAGAGCAATAATTTATGTAAATTGTTCAGAGGATTTACTTTCTCCTTTTTTGGATTTATTTACTTCTAGAATAGAAGGTTGGAGGGGGGTTTTTTTGTTTTGTTTTGTTAAAGCAGCTTCCACAGCTTCTTGCCCTTGAGGAAAAACATTATGCATTACCAGTTGAGCAGTCATCCTTTTTGCCCATTCTGACAGCTTTTTGCAATTAAAAGATGATTCAGTCTTCAAATTTGGCAGAAGAGCAAAGGCTTTTCGGAACATAAATATCTCAAATGCTGCTTTTGGGTTCACATTTGGTTGTGACTGCTTTGAAACCAGAAAAACAAACAGATGACAAATTGTACGGTTGGATCACCATGATGGCTAGGTTGATTTTTCTCTAATAAACAGCTTTTTGTTTATGGCAGAGGATATACTTGTAAGAGCAATAAGAAATTGAAAATATATATGTGTATATTTAATTATTGATTTTCATCTATTTGTTCATCCCAATTTCTTGTCCCAATTTCCCAATTACTGTTCTTGGTTGTCAAATTGTGGTGTAGTGGTTAAGAGCGTGGGACTGGGACTCAGACAATCTGGGTTCGAGTCCCCGCTCGGCCATGGAGCCAACTGGGTGACTTTGGGCCAGTCACAGACTCTCAGCCCAACCTACCTCACAGGGTTGTTGTTGTGGGGACAAGATGGAGGAGGAGATGTAAGCTGCCTTGAGCCCTTTGTAGGAAAAAGGCAGGCTATAAATCAAAAAATAAAAAATAATAATAAATAAAATATTATCCTGTTTGGTTTGTCTCACTTGGTGAGAAACATCCAGTCATAATACCATAATAAAGTGTGTAGCTGGACTTGAAGTTGAACAGGTAAAAAAATGTTACAATACCGTAACTGTGGACCTTGAAGTGCCAGGTATGATCACATTCTGAAATTACTTGAGATCTACACAAAAACAAACTCCTTGGATTTCTCCTCTATAACAAACTTGTGCATACAATTTAAGATTCCATGCATTATATTCAAATGTAATCATATTTAGAGTAGGTGACTGAAATCAATGCAGCTTAGTCTTATTGATATTACTGATATATTATCGATTTAATGGTTGACTTCACGTATGACTAAATCTAGATTGCATCCAGTATTTTTAAGGCAGGAGAAATTCCTCTGATTCTATATTTCCATTTCAAAATGTTAAAATGAAGTGGTTTTAATTCTACCTCTACTTTGGTGGCTGAAAGATGGATTTTCCATTTTCTCCAAGAAGATAATAATAGCCTCAGCTAACAGTAACTATTTATTGTAGAACACCAAAGAACAGTTTAAACCCCCATTGAGATCAGGATTCTTTTTTTAAAATCCTGGAACCAGGCTGGTTTATATAGACTGTTGCTTGATATTTTTTAGCAAGTGGAAAGTCCCCTTTCACCAGTACAGTTGCATGCACCAAAATCTGGATCCACTCTCATATATATAACATTTACAGAACTGAACATGTGGGAACTTTGGGTGTTGTAGACCACATTCTTATATCCCCCAACAATGTTCTCAGTGTCAATGAAAGAACATTACAGACAATTTGACTTGTTGCAGATTTAGGCCTTGCCTGAGCCAAAACAGTGGGTCATTCCCTTGAGCATGGAGCACAAAGTAGGTAGGGTGGACATGCAGCAAAATCACTCTACTTTAGAATGATCTGATGCACAAGTGCAAAATCCTGTGTGTGAGGTACAGCGATCATGAAGGGGAAGAAAGCATATGAGGGGCATAAGAATATTAAAATGGTAATACTGTACAGCTAAAGTTATATAATAGAGTAGAAGAGGGTTTTTTAAATCTTTTAAAAATTCTCCTTTCCTTTGTAGATAATACAAAATATGCATACAGTCCTGGATGCCCAGTTTTCTACTGTTTGCAGGACATCATGAGAGTCTGCAGTGAATCAAGCTCTCACTTTGCTACAGTTACAGCCAGAATGTTAATTTATTTGGATAAGTATGAAATGTTTTAGTAGAACTACTTGAATATAAAAATAAGCAAGCAGAATTGCCACTAAAGAATCAGATATTTTAACAATTCTTAGGTCACAATCATATTCTTCCAGATAAAGGTCATGCTTTCCCATTCATTGTTTTAAAATAAGGCCAGGTGATTGTTTGTCATAGAGAATTTTACCATTTTTGTCTGCTGTCCTCCATTTACCTGAGAGCTCTATAGAACTCCTGAAGCATTAGACATGTATAAGTTTTCTAAATGTACAAGCATTGAAAAATGCTTACATATACTTTTAAATAATTATTATACCATTGCAAGCAATTTTTACAGTGTATTTTATGATTCAGTGATTTTTGTCATAAAATGATTTTATCTTAATTGAATTATGTTATGTGGAAATATATGGGACTTTATCTTCCATTTTCTGTTGGCTGAGAGAGAGTATTCATTCCACAATTTGCATCTCGTTGCATAAAAGGCTCACAAATTAGAATATCAACAATTAAGTGGTGTTCCAGTCTTTTTGTATATATGAATTCTGCATACATGGAAATACTCATATATTAATATAGAATTCTTCCATGGCTTTGCCCTTCATTAAGCAATTCCAGCGCATGGAACTCTTACACATTTGGACCTGCCAGTGAAAAATTCTAATGAACACAATGTGACTTGTTACTCATGATCAAGGGTGCAATCCTGCGGCTGTTGGGATAGTCTGTAGACAGCCACAGGGTAGTTCAGAGTCTTAATTCTGACATCAGTAGTGTGTTCCAAGATTGGAGCTGGGTTGTGAACCACAGAGTGCCCTCATTCAGTGCAGTTCTTTCACAAGTATGACCTTAGAGCCACAGGGAGGGTGTTCTAAGGAGACAAGAAGTGGTATCAGAAGACACATCATGAGTTCAGTGTTTATTGGGATCAATAAGTTTAATTGGGCTTAGCCTTAATTAAATGACTGTGCTTTGGATTGTACACATATTACTAAAACAGTTTAGACCCTGATCCTAAGCATTTGTTCTAGTATATATAATTTTACATTATGCTATGCTAATTGTTTGCTAATTTTCATTAACATGAACACCACATGAGTTGTGTCCATTTTATTTCTCAGATGGTTAGAAGAACGGCATTCACAATCACATTCCATCCCAGCTTTATTCAGGCCATCTCCCATAGAGCGGATTAAAACCAATGTCACAAACCCTGCATATGCTGTTGAACCTGGGCAAACAGAGAGCTCTCTTCACATGGGATATACTGCATTAGAAATCAAAAGTAAAATGATGGCACTTGAGAAGGCAGACATATGTATCTACAATCCTTTATTTGGCTCTGATCTTCAGTATACCAATAGGGTAAGAGAAGAAAATTAATGTTAGATTAAGATTTTTTGTTGTTGTTGTTATGATTATCATTTCATTTTATACTCCCCACAGCTGAAGCTCTTTGGGCATCACAACATGATATAAAAACAGTAATAAAACAATGCTTTAAAAGTTTTTAAAATTAAATTTAAAAAGCATTAAAATACAATACAAATTAGTGCATCCTTTGTGTCAAGTACTCTATTACCTGATATTTCCAGGTTGACAAAGTGGTAATAAATCCTTATTTTGGACTCGGAGCCCCAGACTACTCAAAAATACAGATTCCAAAACGTGAAAAGTGGCAACGCAGCATGAGCAGTGTCATGGAAGACAAGTATTGTGTTACTTTTTCCACTTTTTGATATATTTGTATTTTTGTAAAAACATCCTTAAAGTCCAGATACATTTTAATAATTTTGTAATTAGTATTATTTTTAGTATTAATACATACTAAATTAGTATTATTTTAGCATTATTTAATTAGTAGTATTAGTATTTAATATTTTTAAAATCAGACAGCTTAAGCTATATCTTTATCACTAGCTTGAGCATGCTAGGAGTTGTAAGCTTTTTTTCTGGCTAAATTTGCAAAGGGCTGTGTCCTGTCCCTCTTACGTACCTTGACAGAGGAGAAAGAATTGTGACTACAGTTAAAGCTGTAAGCAAAGTGAAATTTGTCATCATTGCAATAACTCTGTGAGGTACAATAGGCTTAAATTTCAGTTTGCTGAAGTGCATTATCAGCAAGGAAAGGAAGTTGTGCATTGTCTTGTGTATGTCACTAGGATCTTTAGTGTATTTTCAATGGGGCATTTGTATAAAATGACTAAAATACTGCATCATACTGCATTTTTTCTCCTAGGGAACGTCAATGGGTTGATGATTTTCCACTTCATCGTAGTGCTTGTGAAGGAGATTCTGAGTTATTGAGTCAACTTCTAGATGAAAATTTTTCAGTTAACCAGCTAGACAGTGACCACTGGGCACCTATCCATTATGCATGTTGGTGAGTGCAAAACTGTTTACAAATATTAAAAATGGGAGATTATTCATAAATAAAATTATCTGTGTATGTAAAATCCTGGTTTAAAGTTGCAGTTATACTCTAGTATGGCCAAAAAACCCAAACAAACCAAACCCAGGGTGCAATCTAGGACAAACATGGGAGAAACCAAAATTGCACTGTAGATGCTAGGATCACCAGGAACAGGTTTACCCTGCTTCAGAAAGAAAATGTAGATTTTACTTTCTTTTGTATGCATAAATGGCTGCTTTTAACCTCTATTGACACTGTTGAACTTATCGAGAACTTAGCTGTGTCAGCAAAGTTTACCTCTCATTTCCCATAATGCTGGATTCTTCAGCATACTGGTGATGCTGTGTCAGCAGGCACTTCCTAATGTTTGTTTTTAATAGCTTTTTTATTTTTTTTCTAAGGGGAAGGTTGGCACACTGTAAAGTAGCAGCCTTCTCCAGCACCATTTTTATTTTCCAGAATCCCTCTGGGTCCAGCATAATTCTTAGAAAATCAAACCAAGGGTAACTGCAGCCCTCTGCTTTGATCTGACCCTCTGCCCTGCTATCCAGAAAAAGAAATGGGAGCCCTGGTAGGTGGTAGGGAGTATCCTAGAGTATTGTGGGGTAAGGGGGATGACTTTATTCCATGATGCTAATAGGTTTGCTGCTGCTTGGTCTGAATTAAAATGCTTATGGCATACGTTTCTTTTCTTTTCTTTTTTTTTTTTTTTTTTTTGTCTATCACTGGAAACCATTTTATAACCCATATGTAATCTTATCTTTATTTCTGTTTTCTCTCTGCCTAGGTATGGAAAAGTTGAAGCTACTCGAATGCTGTTAGAGAAAGGAAAGTGCAATCCAAACTTGCTGAATGGACAGCATAGCTCTCCTCTTCATTTTGCTTCTGGGGGAGGGCATGCTGATATTGTTCAGATTCTCCTAAACCATCCGGAAATTGACAGAGTAAGATATCATTATAATTGTAATCATGGATTCTTATAGAGCCTTTGAACATGCCTTATATAGCCAGTTTTAAAACATAAAAATAAGGAGAACTGTGATGACAATAAGCACAACAGAGAGTACTTCAGATAAAAGTCAGTTCATGTTACAGTGGTTTAGACCTCGCATTGCTGTTTGAGACTACTAATGATGATACCACGATAAACAAAAGGAACAGTACTCTGAATGTGTAGATTAAAGGGGTGCCCTTTAATTCAGAGGATGGATCACCATGGAACATTACAACCAGAAGTGTTTTTAAGTTAAGGGATATGATTCAGTCCTTTTTTAAAGGTTTGGAAAACACATTCCAATAGTAGATACTACCATCTGTCAGGACAGAAGTTAAGAATTTTCTAATAAGAAGAACATGAATATGTAGCCCTTACAGGACGGATTATAGCTGAGCACATGCTTGGAATGCAAAAGGTCCACGTACAATCCCTGGCATATCCAGAGGGGCCAGGTAAAACATCTTTATGAAATCCTAGAGAACTGCTGCCTATTAGAGTAGATATTATGCAGTTAGTTTGACCAAGGTCTGGCTCAGGGTTAGGCATGCTCTATATTGCATTTAAAAAGCCTTATATTGTTTTATTTCTGTTTGTAGCACATTACTGATCAACAAGGGAGAACTCCTCTGAATGTCTGTGAAGAGAACAAACAAAATGAATGGGAAAAAACAGCTAATTTGCTGAAAGAGGCCATGAACAAACAAGTAGGCATTAATCCTTCAATATTTCATTGGCAGTAACTTTAATACCTTTCATAAGTTGTAAGGAAGCACTAATCTCATGTGTAGTGACTATAATTTCAGCGCTTGATTCTGTGCAAGGCTTGGCATTTATAATATCAATAGAATTTTAGAATACCATTTTCATTTTATACTCTGATCCATAATGACCTTCAGAAATACCCTTTTCTAGTCAGTTATTTTAATGGACTTCAAACAAATAAATAATTTTTGCTCAATAGAGCAACTGGAAACAGTGTAAATATGTATATTCCAGTTCTACATATTATCTGAACATGTATCCTTTTTTCTTTTTAAAATGAGCCATGTTCCATGGTTACTTTCTGAGATCTCTGCTCTGTACTTCGGAGTGCATAGAGTTCAGTATTTACCCCTTCTTCAAATTGGAAAGTAGCATGCCACACATTTTGCCTTGTTATCAAGACCACACAACTCTTGCAGACATTTGTTTTCAATATTTCCAACAGTATGAAAAAGTGCGAATTTACCGGATGGATGGATCTTACCGCTCTGTTGAGTTGAAGCATGGAAATAACACTAGTGTGCAACAGATAATGGAAGGAATGCGTCTTTCCCAAGAAACACAGCAGTACTTTACTATTTGGATCTGTTCGGAAAACCTTAGTAAGTAATTAAATAATCTGATACTTTAAAAGTGTGTTGATTTTTGGACTATTTTAACTGCTGTACCAAATTAGGCAGGGGTGCTGGAAAGATGCACCTAACAAAGTATATTTCTACAGTTCTGTTTTGGCACCAACTGGAAGAATAGTTATTTAAGGGAACCTTCCTCTTTTAAGAGATAACTGAACAAAGAGGTTTGATCTTCTGAGGCTCAGCTTATCCCAGTCTTTCCAGTAATGGCATGCTCCCTGAAAAATGATATGCAGTGATGAAATTGTGATCATGCTTCTCCATCTTCATTCTACTTCATTGATTGTCACTAGTGGAGACAGGAAAATCTTCACATGATGACATCTTATTGTTTCATTTATATATTACTAAGAGATAAAGTTCGGAAGTTCCCACACAACTCCCCTAAAGCATGCATTTTGGGTCTTTGATTTGGCAATGGAAGATTTTGACTCATTTACACCTCCCCTTACCATAGACATACAGTGAGACTTGACGGAAAAAAATGTTAATCTCTTTCAAATGGAAACACCAACTTGATCAGGTCTATTGTGAATTCAAAAAACAGTTACACAATTGCATGTAAGAAGTACTTTAATTGTGTGTTGAAATCTTCTTAAGTTATGGGTGCATGGAAAAGTAAATCAGCTTTATTGGCATTAATTTCAAAGGAAGAGGAAGTGCTGGAGCTTCTAGATAATTACTGTAATTTTATTCCATGTGAAATATAAAGATTTAGATTTAAATCTGGAAATAAGTTTGAATGTATTAAAAACACATATGTGGATGTATTGCTTTTAGCTTTGAATAAAATAAATGGACCTCTGAAAAAAAAAAAGGAAAGGCTATCACTGGTGTGATAGTTCTGTCTCTGAGCATGATCACTATAGTGATCTGTCTCAGGAAGTATCTAGATGAAGTATCTTCTTTTCTCTACCTAACATATGGTCTAATTCTTTTTTGAAATGGGTGAGAGGAGACATCATACACTGTGCATGACTTAAATGAATGACTCCTTGGATTTTAAAATGTCTGGGACTCCTTATTGGCATTTAAGTCTACAATACCAAGTACCTGAGAGTAAGCCCCATTGAACTTAATGGGACTTTCATCTGAGTGTATGACTTTAGATATAAGATTGTACTGTTAGTCAAAAAGCTGCTAAAAGGCTAGCATTACTACTATTTCTAGGATGATGGTAAAGTGTCATAGCTAGCAGTACTTCTTGAGTAGAATGGATGTTGGTAGTACCATACAGATTCATATAATTGTCACTGTTTGCATTTATGAAAATCAAGTTTTTCAAGATCACCATTTTCCGAACCATACTCTGTATGGTACAGCATTCACACATATACTTGATACGCACCATACAGTATTTTTTGCATTTATTTAAAGAACTGTTGTTGGATAGGTCTCCAGCTGAAGCCCTATCACAGGCCTTTGCAGCACGTTCGAGACTGGCCTGAAATAGTTACTGAACTGACAAACCTGGATCCTCAAAGGGAAACTCCACAGCTTTTCCTGAGGAGGGATGTGAGACTTCCTCTAGATGTTGAAAAAAAGGTTGGCATTATATGTTCTACCATATGAAACAGAGGTTCAAAACCAGAATGTGTAATTGTATGCCAGTAGAATTATTCTACTTACAATATTGTACTGAGTTCTTTAGATATTACTCTAAGAATTCATGTTCCAGGTCAACTCTAAAAATGATTGCATATGAAGCTTAATAGAACACAAGATTTTACTGTATTTTGTTTTTTTAAATGCAAAATCAAGGAAAATACATCACTAAAATCAGTGGTTACTAAGGCTGTTTTCCAATTAAATAATTTTAATCACTTTCCTGACTTTTAAGTAATCTGTTTACTTTAAAGTCAGTTTACGTATTGCTCGCCTTAATGAAGGTGTCTTTCTACAGATTTGGAAGGAAGAGGAAAGATAATCTTAAATGTGAGAGACTTTACACTTTAACAAGAACTACTTGTCTAGCAGCCCCTAGACTCTGTGAAACAGAGAGCAAACATACTTATACTTCCTTAGAATCAGATTTAAAAGATACAGCTACTTTACTCTAACATCCCACTTCAGTTACCTGTGAGTGCTGTTATTAAAAGAAAGCCCATAATAGGTTCATTCTGGAAGGTGAACTAGATTTCTAAATTTGGAAGGAGACTCTATCTTTAACAGACCAATCCTGTGCATATCTGCTCAGATTTCCTATTGTGTTTAATGGGACAGATTCCCAGGGAACCCTACATAGGACTGCAGTTACATTTTTCCCCTTCCCATCAAAATATGGGACATAAAGAACCAGGCCTGTATGTTTGAAGTCTGAAGCTTTTAAGAATTCTGATTCCAGAAGTCTTTGGTTGTTACCTTCCTCATGCAGTTTTCAGTCTAAATGATAATATAAGTGAAATTGATTTACTAATTACTAAACAGAAATATAAATCCTTTATTTATCAGTAAAAACATTTCTAGTCTACCTAGGACAAATTCAATGGTTTGTATTAGTGACACTGAAGTAACTGAAGCTAAGCAATGGGTTTTAATATTTTTCATGTTGAAGCATTTTTAATGTTACCTTTAAATTTTTGTTTAGAATAATTACTAACCTTTACAGATGGTATAAGCAATTATTTGCTACTAAACAGAGCAAACTAAGATTTGTGCATTTCAAAGGAAAATTTAGCATCTCAATTCTGTCATCTACCTATAGATTAATTATATATATTTTAATCAACCTAAACATTTTTATATGTCATATTTATAGATTGAGGATCCTTTAGCTATTCTTATCCTATTTGATGAAGCCAGGTACAATTTACTGAAAGGTTTTTATACATCACCTGATGCCAAGCTGATAACACTTGCAAGTCTGCTGCTGCAAATAGTCTATGGGAATTATGAAAGTAAAAAACACAAGCAGGGCTTCCTGAAGTGAGTAGAATTTTAAGTTATTGCTATTGAATCCAAAATCTAATTTTGTTTGGGGCTGTTGCTGATTCTGAGGGGTCTAATCAAAACTGACTTCTGTTACCATTTGATCAGCAAGATAGATGATCGCATACTATACTGTATATGCAATCTCTCTCCACATGTGATCAAATAGGCACCAAATCTTACATATTTTACTTTATACCTGTTAAGTTTTGTAGCAGTAGTTAAATGTGTTCAACTGTTATTTGCAGTGAAGAAAACTTAAAATCTATAGTACCAGTTACCAAATTAAAAAGTAAGGCACCCCACTGGACAAACCGAATACTTCATGAATATAAGGTAAGACATTCTAACAATGTAATTTCAGGAAACCTAGTCCTTAATATACATAATTTCTGAAATATTAACAAAAATAGAATGTAGACAAAATATACTAAACATGATTGATGAACCTGATACCAACCTGATATTGGTATATTTTTATTATGAAAGATTGAAAATATATTTTGCCAGGCCAAGACCTTTTTATTTAAGCAGCATTTTAAATGTTAATATTATTGAATTTTATTTGGCCAGGGCGGCTTATTTTATTCTATTGTATATATTTTAATTGTTATTGTTTTAATTTATTGTGTATTTTATTAGAAGTTGTAAGCCGCCCCGAGGCTTCGGCAAGGGGCGGCATAGAAATGTTTTAATGAATGAATGAATGAAACAGCATTTTTAAAAAGATTTGAGTACCACACTTGGAAAGACTGTGTACTGTTCTGGCTGCACATCTCGAATAGTATAAAGTAGAGCTGAAAGGGGAGAACCAGAATAATCAGGGGGCTGAGGTAACTTCCCTAGGACAAAATGTAACAAAGTTTGGGGCTTTTTAGTTTAGAAAAAATGTAAGTAAGGAAGGTTAGGTTTTGACTTAGAGAATGGTAAAATTATATTTGATGTGGGGAAGGTAGATGAGAAAGGTATTTTTCCAGTCCTATAATTCTAAAAACCAGGAACATCATATGAAACTCAGTTTCCAACCATTCAGGACAGATAGCACAAAGTACTTCTTTGCATAGTATATAGTTAACTTATAGACTTTCTATCACAAGATGTGGTGATGGCCTCAGATGGGATGAAACAAATATTTGGAGGATGTAAATGACTATTAATGATGATTGCTGCAGGCCACCTCCAAGATCAAAGACATCATACCTCTGAATATCAGTTACTGGAAAACAATTGTAGGGGAGGGCTCTGCTTGTTTGGGCTTTCCATAGGCACCTGTAAGGTTATTGTGGGAATAGAATGAAAGACTAGATAGGCCTTGGTTCTGATTGAGAGGGCTTTTGTTATGTTCTTCATGTGGATGTATTAGGAGAAGTCAGCATCTTTTGTTTTACCTTGGGGCCAGGCACTACTTCTGTTGCAGAAACATTAACGTCATGATCCTTTTTTTCTTTTTGTATGAGTGTTAACCCTGTTAACATCAACAACACAACTCATCTTTATATCTGTTCTGCACTTCTTACAGTTTTGTATGTATTACTTTAAATTGCATAATATCATAGTGTCCTTAAGCAATATATGCCTATAATTTCCTGCCAAAAGATGCTTCATCCAACTGGAAATTTAAACCATATCTTCTGTGCAATGTCAACTTATATTTCCAGAGTCTCAGTACCAGTGAGGGTGTGAGTAAAGAGATGCATCACCTGCAGCGCATGTTTTTGCAGAACTGTTGGGAGATTCCTACCTATGGCGCTGCTTTTTTCACAGGCCAAGTATTCACAAAAGCAAGTTCAAGCAATCATAAAGTCATTCGAGTATATGTAGGCGTAAATGTCAAAGGATTACATCTTCTCAATATGGAAACAAAAGTATGTTTGCAGGCCTTATTTCTCCTTTAAGTATTCAGCATTATCTGTGGCCATAAGGTCGTCTATACATGCAGCACATTAAGCACATTACATATACTTTAAGATGGTCCTCCCAGACCTGCTCCCACCTCAACTGCATTTTAGCTGCCCTAAGTTTGGACTAAAAGTTACTAAGGGTCAGTTTGCACATAATGGTAACCCAGGTTGTGTTTTAAGCTCTAGGTTACTGCAGGGGAGCCAGTATGCTAGTTCACGCAGCTTGATCACTCCCACTTGGACCTCCTCCCAGAGGGAGTGGCTAAATTACCTATGGATACTCTGTCCCTGAGTTCAGGGAAACAATCCCTGAATTGTTTAGCATGGCATTCAACCAAGACTTGTTTCTCCTCTGGATGGATGGGTGTGATGTGTGAATGCGTATGAATACACATGTATGTGTGCGAGAGCAAACAGAGGAGTGGCCTTGCTCATTTTAACTTTTACCCATTTCTCTTTTTGTAGAGTGGGACACCCACCTCTGGCATATAGCCCCAGTCATGGTCCCTCTTATCCAGCAGAGCAGATCTGCTGTCTAAGGAGCAGGTCAGCTGGTGGAGGGGGATCTGCTGGGTGGGGCATAGCCCAGGAGAAATCAGTTTATTCCAGCAAAGCAAGCACTCCAACTCATGCTTATTCCCTTGAGCCACAAAGGAATTTGAGATTGCACTTTTGTGACAATGTTGGGATTATTTCACTAATTCATTTGGTCATTTTATATTACAGGCTTTGCTCATAAGTTTAAAATATGGTTGCTTTATCTGGCAGTTGGGAGATGGAGATACCTGCTTTCAAATACATAGTTTGGAAAACAAAATGAGCTTCATAGTCCATACCAAGCAGGTAAGGCAGTTACTGAATACTTTTTCCCAATTGTGTGTGTGTGAGCATGCACACACACACACACACACACTGAACATGCAGTTTTTACAGCAGATGGCAGTTGCTGTATAGGTCTCAGAGAAAAAAACAGGTAAGGTAATACTGTTGCATTGGCTAACATTTTTTATATTAATTATACATTTTGTATTAATATAAGAATACTTGAGAGCCTGAAAGGGCAGAAGAACAGGTAATGTTGTTCTTGGTTTGAATACTGGTTCCGCATTTTGAATCATTTAGGTAAACTTAAGTCTACACATATATGTTCGTTTTATGCTAATTATAAAGCCACCCTGGGACACTCTTAGACCAAAGGGCACGGCAGCAATATTTAAATAAATAAATGATCAAATTATCAAATCTTCAAAATTTGCAAGATTTTGAAATGTAAAGATACTAAACTTTAAAATTCCAGTAAGATCCTGTATCATTCAGGATCAGACCACAACTTTATCATTTATGCTTCTAAATTGTTTGACATTGACTGGGAAAGTACTTTGATGTTGCTGATAGTGACACCTGTGTTCATTTGTTGGAGTTGAAGGGAATCCAGGGAGAAAGGCCAGCATAAGGCGGTAAATGGCACAAGCTTCTCTTACCACAGTTTTCTTAAGAGCTTTTCCCCCATTCAGTCAATGGGTGTATGCAGAGACCCTCAATACCTGAGCAAGTTGGAGATCTTGAAAGGTATTTGGTGGATTATAATGATGAACAAGGATGAAATGGCAAGGAAGAGGAGGATTATATAATCTTCCTTGGACTGTTTGTAATTTTTTTTAAAAAGTGCGATGTAAAACTATTAATAAAATACAGATAAAAAGTTCCATTCAAAATATTTAATCTGAGGGCAACAATCCCCCCCCCCCAGCTATATCATGCCAGCATGATCATGCTGCTTGGTGACTGATACTGGTCTTTTGAAAATAAAAAGCCAGCCCATTTTGATTCCCCTAGAGCAAGCCAGAAGGGAGAAATTGAACTAGCTAACTGGAAATTATTTACTTACTTACTTTCTTACTTATTTAAAATTTATATGCTGCCCGCTATTCCATGTGGATTCTCTAGGTGGCTTACAATAGAATCAATATTACAAATACTAAAAGCCACAATGACAATAAAACCAATTATATATAAAACCCATAACAACATAGCCCCTAAACATTATATCAGGCAAGCAGGACAACAGGATGTCACAAAAGGTAAAGGTGAATTGCTGAAGAAAAACCATTTCATGCTGCCATTCCCGTGGATATGCATCTTTAATACTAACAGTTGGTTATCTCCAACTGGAAATGTTGTCATCTATTCTTGTCCTACAAGATGAATTAGACCAAGTTTGTTTTTTTAAAACTCCTCACTTCGGGTAATAGTAGATATTAAATGTTGATGTTTTGCCATGTTAAATATTAAATTCAGATGAGCCTCTGCTATCTCTTCTAAATAGGATAATAGACAAACATTAAATTTAGGTATGTGGGATTCAGTCAAAATAGTTCTTAATACAAGGTGAGTTTAGAAAAGCAGTAATCAAAATTCTTGTATCTTATTACGGATGTTGGCCACTTTGGGTTTGGCTCTCAGTTGGTGGTCCCAGACTAATCGATTTTTTTCCATGGCCCAACAACCCTTCATGTTCCCCACCTTTAGCCTGGGATGTTGTATGCTGGGATACAGTGAAAGGGGGAAATTGCCAATAATCAGGCAGATACAGCTGGTCCAAACAAGGCATTGTTCTCATGTCTAACCAATCTGGAGCCATTCCCATTGCATGCTATCTCCCAGGTTTTTGCAAAATTTCTGCTGACCCTCAGGAGAGGCTTTTTTGGGTACCGGAAGTGAAGTACGCTGACTTCTGCTAAGGTATTATTGGATACAACATGTAACATCCCTGCTATTTAGAAAGTCTTAATTTGTTTTTGTGTTTTTTTTTCTGTTTGCAGGCAGGTCTTGTCATAAAACTGCTGATAAAGTTAAGCAGCCAGTTGGTGCCTAATGAAAGAAGTGACTGAAATAAATGACAAATGGTTATGCAGTTAATTGTATTTGTGTGTGTGCAAGTTTTGCATGTCTATGAATTGTACAGGATTAAATATGTTGCCTAATGTACTTAGTTAAAGCACTCTGTTGCATATTTGTAAAATACAGCCAGGTATTTTGATACAACTTTTGTGTTTTCTATTTGAAAAGTCATGAAATTATATTTCATGTAGAAAGAGTATATATGTACTCAACTGCACAAGTATTAAAAAAGAAGGCCACGATTGCACTCATAGGTACCCTGCTGGAACATACATCAAAATGAACATGCATATGTGTTCCATATAAATTATAAAGATCTTGCCCCTAGGCTACTCCACAAAAGCTTACTGCTTTATTACAACCATATTCCAATGCATGCAGTGCATGAGAATTGTTGCGGTCCAGTACAGATAGAAAATATGTAGTGGAACTTTCAAAGCAGTAACATTTTAGGGGCCATCCTAGGACTAAGTGTCATAGCTTAACTAGGTAATCACATGTTAAACTGTCTAGCTGACATGCATCTACCAAGGCCTCTCCCGTTGCAGAACTATGTAATCTCCAAATAGTACCTCTTGAAGATTTTAAAAAAGAGGAAGACAACTTGTTAGATGCTCAAAATACCACATGGAACAGGTCAGTAAGAGCCATCCTGATTGCAGTTTGAATTATAAACCTTTTTATTTGCCTGATACTTTAAGTGTTGACAGTGTTTTAAAGATGGGTTTTATTTGTTGTCTCTTGATGGTTGATGCTGTGCTTTTATTGTATGACTGTTTTGGGACTCAGTGAAGGATGGTATAGAAAAGCTTTTAATAATAAATTTTAGTGTACTTGGTATATTGCTTTTGCACATATTGGCTTTTATACATATACATACAGATCTGTTTCTAATTTATTATGTTTATGAAGGGCAGTGCTTTTTAAAATATTTGTATAAAGTCTGTTTTTAAATAAAAAGCATATCTTAACTGATTTTATGGGATTTAGTAAACATTTATTCCTATACTTGTTTTTAAATTTTTACTGTTAAAAGTACAGAAAGGAACAGAAACATAAATAATAATGCCAAACACAAACATAACATATATTCATAACCTGCAAATTCCCCCAAACCCCCAAATTTCTATCTTTCTGTTAATTAGTACTTTGTTGAAGTTTGCAGAAAAGATTATTATAGTTCTCTAAACCATCATTTTTCAATATATTTTGAATGAATTATAAATCATCAACAAGAGTTTAGCAAGCTTATATTAATTAAACTGCATATAATAGAATGTCCATTTCTTCAATCAGCCTTCTGTTTATGTTCTTAGAAAGCAATGACTGGCTATCACCTTTGTAAGTGCCCACAAAGTCATTCCCCACATCTTAGCTATACTTAGTTAAGAAGCACCTACTCAACCTGCAGTCAAGTTTGAAAAGAAAAAAAACCAGTTCTGTTTATCACAGAACTGCATATTATTACAAAAGAATCAGATCTACAAGGAACACCTGCCTAATAGCAAGGCTTGCATTTATGTATATCCAACTGAATGAGGAACTGTGAATCAAACAGACAGACATGGTTACCCTCTCTCACCCAACACAACTGCCATGACTATAAATATATATTTCTTTCAAAGGTGTACTCCTCTGCCCCCCCCCATAGGGTTGTCTACTGGACCATAGGTGATCCTGAAGCTAGGGCCACCTTGCTGCCAGCACAGAAGGACTGTGCACTGGCTGCCTCTTTAAGGACACATCTGGGCCTCAGAGGATGAAATGGGGCTGCCAGTGGGAGGGCAGGAGGCTGGGACTGTTGTCTTGTGCTGATTCTTGTCTGTGCCCCAGCCTCCATCCCTCCAACTCCCTAGCACTAAATCTAGGTGTCGTAAAATGGCCATCTCATTCTGCATTCTGGAAGCATGTAACTCTTTCAGTTAGGAGGCTTAGGTGTGTTTGCTCAGAACACAATGGATTGTACCCAAAGAATGCTAAAATTCTACAATCTGACTCCATGCTGACCAAACAATTTAGCAGCATTTTAACTTTTTCAAAAAAAATGTATCACACTTAAAATCTGGTTATTCCATGCACTCTGTGGAATACTTTATAATGAAGCTAAATATATACATGCAATCCCTATAAATAAAGAATAGTTTATTATTCAAAAATATCATGCAGAAAGGAAGTTTAATACTGAACCTTTTGATATACACATCCTTTATTGTTGTCTTGTTCTAATTCTATTGCAAATGGTCTAAAATGCTACTGTTTTTACCTAATACCAAAATACCAGCTTTTCTAAACTCTTTATTTTATTTTATTTTATTTTATTTTATTTAGCAGACTTATATGCCACCCCATTTGCCTAAGCCTCAGGGCGGCTTACAAATAAGTAAATATCACTAATACAATAATACAGTAAAATACAGTTGGGGACATCCTGGCCAAAGTTGTTAAAATCAATAAATAAAGAAATTAGGAGAGTAAGTACCCGGAGGAGGGCTTTCTCTGCGGTGGCGCCCAACCTATGGAATTCACTCCCCAAAGAGGTCCGCCTGGCACCGTCGTTACTGGTTTTTCGGCGCCAGGTAAAGACCTTTTTATTTAAACATCATTTCAATTGTTAAAACATATGATCTGGCCTGGGCAACTTCTTCTTCCTTCTCTTTCTCCTCCTATATTTTTATTTTATACTGATAATTTTAATTTTGTATTTGTAAATCAATGTATTTTTTGTATTGTTATATTTAATGGTAATTTATTATGTACTATTGTATTTCAATGTATTTTATCATGTTGTAAGCCGCCCCGAGGTTTCGGCAAGGGGCGGCATAGAAAAGCTATAATAATAATAATAATAATAATAATAATAATAATAATAATAATAATAATTAAAATTACATTTAAATAAAAAGGCTCTTGGCCTGGTGCCGAAAAGCAAATAACGATGGCACCAGGCGGACTTCTCTGGGGAGCGCATTCTATAGGTTGGGTGCCACCGGAGAGAAAGCCCTCCTCCAGATGCTCACCCTCCTAATGTCCTTCACAGAGGGCTCCCGAAGGGCCTCTGCTGCCGATCTCAAGGGGCGGGAGGGCACGTATGGACGTAAGCACTCCTTTAAGTAACCAGGACCCAAGCCATTAAGGGCTTTATAGGTGATAACCAACACCTTGAATTGGGCCCGGACTACAATGGGGAGCCAGTGAAGCTGACAGAGGACTGGAGTTATGTGAGCACAATGCCCAGTCCCCACCAGCAACCTGGCAGCTCTATTTTGACAAAATGGACCCCCACGGAACTCCATGGCATAACTGCCATGGTGCAGAGCCATAGTCCCCCAACACCACCTTCTGGAATTGGCCATTGAGATAGGAGCAGAACCACTGCAAAGCAGTGCCTCCAACCCCCAGTCCCACTAGCCTATCCAGAAGGATACTATGGTCGATGGTATCGAAAGCCGCTGAGAGGTCAAGGAGGACCAACAGGGACACACTCCCCCTGTCTCTCTCCCTGCACAGGTCATCGTATAGGGCGGCCAAGGCAGATTCAGTGCCATACCCGGGTCTGAAGCCGGACTGAAATGGGTCCAGATAATCAGTTTCATCCAAGAGTGCTTGGAGTTGTCCCACCACCTTGCCCAAGAATGGGATGTTGGCCACTGGTCTATAATTGGTGGCCATCTCTGGATCCAGGGATGCCTTCTTTAGGACTGGTCGGACTACCGCCTCCTTTAAAGGGGCAGGTACCTGGCCATCCCTCAGAGAGGCGTTGACAACCTCCAGGATCCAAGTCCCTATCCCGTGCTTGGCGTTGTTCAGTAGTCAAGATGGGCAAGGGTCTAATAGGCAGGTGGTGGGACGTACTTGTCCAAGCACCTTGTCCACATCTTGCATTGGATTATCAGCTTAGCATTAGAAAACCAGGAAATTACAGAATGTATAAATAGGTGTCATGGTTGATGTTCATCTTAATTACAATTATGTTATTTTTGCCAACATTTGCCAAAGGCTTTTCAATAATGGTAGGGTTGTGGGCTTTGATTTGTTTGTTTTTAGATTGATATGCCATTAGAACACTGCTTTCTTTTTAGACTTTCTATTTATTTATTTAAAACATTTGTATGCCACCGAATTGTGCCACAGCACCTCTGAATGGCTCACTATGACGACATAATGTAAAAGAAATAAGTTTAACCGTGAACTAGAATGGTCTTTATATTATGAGAGGCCTACTTCAGATTTTTACTGAGCCATGGATTCACAGTGGCATTTTATATGGCGGTCCTCATGTAGAAATGCTATTCTTGGTTAACTTAATATCCATTAAGGATGGGTTATATCTGCACTGAGCAGATCTTGATTAAGGCAGTTTCCCCAGCTATGCAGGTGAGGTGACTCATAGGCCTTGTATAGTATCAAGAGCAGAATTTAGTACACCAAGCTAAATCAGTTTCACTGCTGTGTTCAGATTATAAAATCTTGGATTAATAAACTGAGATATAAATGGAAAACAAAGTCAGGGAGCTGCAGTTAACCATAGTTTCCCATTATATCTGAATCAAGAAAGTATATTTATTTGCTTCCAAACAAGTGAGGAGATGTAGCCATGGGAGAAAGAAGTGACTGCATGCAAATGCACAAAGCTCAATCATGTCTTGACTTATACCAAGTTCTGATTGCCCCAAAATGAGCAATTTTTCTTTGGGATCTTATCCAAGGATAACAAGCCATGGTAAGCGTTATCTCTTCATTAGGTTCATAGCGATGTACAAAACAATAGGTATAACTTTCATTGGTTCAATCATGCAATCATTGACACATAACCAGGCCTGAGAAAAACCCTCTTTTCCAGAAATCAGCATGGGTGCATCCTTGAAATGTAGCTGACACTAACCAGGCTAAAGTCCAGAGAAAGCTAGTTGGCACTTGGCAGATAATGGCAGCTCAAAGAAAGGGCAATTCACACCAGCCCACCCCATCATCCTCCTTTTCTGTGTAATAGCACCTCATCCTTCCCCCGCCCCTCCAAGTATCTTCTTTGGTATGCAAGTAGGAAATATCTGCCATTGTAACTTTTTTACTTCTGTAACCTATTGGAAAGTGTTAACTGTGTTAATGATCAAGGTATACAAGGACCAATTCAGGACGGCTTCAGGTGTGTCATCTGGAATGATTTGTTGGTAGCTGGAGAATAAATCCTTTAAAATAAAACCTTCCCCTGCTGTGTATTTTGGGCATATGCATGCCAGGACACAGGCCATTTGGTTAACAATAGCTTTAAAAACAGATAAAATGACCCAGCTCATGAGACTGTTACAAGATTGTGGGTGATACTACTCTTAGAACAAGCTATGGGTTGTCAGGCTGTCTTGTTGCCCTCAAACAAGTCACCCTGTGGAAAACAGTCAGCATTCACATAATAGCACAACACACTGTGCCTTGCCTCTTTATGATGGGCTGTTGTGTCATGAGAATCCAGTTACAGTGGTACCTTGGCTCATGAACTTAATCCATTCCAGGACTCAAGTCGTGACCCAAATTGGTCGTGAGCCAAGTTAAATTTCCCCATAAGGTTCAGTGTAAATAAGGTTAATCCGTTCTGTAACCATTTTTTAAATCAGAAAAATGTGAAGCAAAGTGACAACAACAAAGATTGCAGCCATCTCCCCAACACCACACCTAGCACAAGCGCGGCCATCTCCCTGTCCTCCCAGCACAACCGAGATGGCGCCCATCATGCCTGCAGGCGCCCATCATCCCGGCACACACCCATCATCCTGGCATGCTGGGGTGTGGGAGGGAGAGACGGGTGTGATTGTGGGCACACTGGGGGAGGAAGAGACAGGCACAAACGGCACACTGGGGGAGGAAGAGATGGGTGTGATCTCGGCCATCTCCCCTCCACCCCCAGCATGGCCATCTTTTCCCATCTTGCCTGCAGCAGCCCGCCTCTGATCACACGTGCCTTCCCTACCCAAACAGAACTGTGCTTGTGGCCATCTCCTCACTTGGGGGCGGGGGGAGATGGCTGCGAACTTGGTTGCCACCCAAAGTGGTGTTTGTGACCCAAGTCAAAATTTTTCAGAAATTTTTGTTGGTGATCCAATTTGTTTGTGAACCAAGGCGTTTGTGAGCCGAGGTACCACTGTACTATGTACTCAAAAGGAGGTAATGTTTTATTTATTTATTTGTTTGTTTAGGGAACTTCTATGCCGCCCCATTTGCCAAAGCCTCGGGGTGGCTCACAATCATAAATAAATAACATAAAACAATATAACAGTATAAATTAAGTCGCCCTGGCCAAAGAATAAAATAAATAAATAATATTAACAATTAAAATAATGTTTGAATAAAAAGCTCACAAAGCAAAACAATATGCAGATAATACATGGCAAAACAATAATCATCTCAGGTAAGCTTACAGGCTATATGATATATTCTAACTAGGTGCTATACCTCAGCAAAATTGAGCTTCCATAGTTAATTGTCAGTGACTGGAGAGAAAAAGGCCAATCAGGATTATGCTGGAATGGAATTCTGACTTGAAATGCAGTGGCAGTTGGAAAATCTGTGAGGTGAGATGAATGGAAAGGCTTTATATATCCTGGCATTTAAAAGAGAGGTCCTTCAACAAAGACTTCTTTAAGGAAACTAGAAGTGAGCAGTGCCATAGTCTTTATTGATGACACCAAATTACTTAGGGTAGTTAAAACAAAAAGGGATTGTAAGAAGTTCTTTACTCAGAGAATGGGCCTCAAAATGGCAAATGCGGTTCAATGCATGCAAGTGTAAAAAAATGGGGCAAAAACAAACAAATTCCAACTTCAAGTATAAACTGATGGGATCTGAGCTAGTGGTGACTTACCAAAGAAGAAATTTCGGGGTTGCGACGGACAGTTCAATGAAACTGAACCCAGTGTGCAGTTGCTTTGAAAAAAGCAAATTCCACGTTACGCATAATTAGGAAAGGAACTGAAAATAAAACTGGCCAATATAGTTAGTGCCATTGCACAAATCTATACTGTGACTGCACTTAGAATTATGTGTGCAATCTTGGCTGCCTCACCTAAGCAAAGATATTGTAGAACTGGAAAAAAGGGCAGCGAACGGCAGCAAAACTGATGAAGGATCTGGAGCAAATCCTCAATAAGGAAAGGTTATAACATCAGTGATTTTTTAGCTCAGAGGAAAAGCAAGGGGTAATGCAATGGAGGTGTACAAAATTTTGCATGGTTTGAAGAAAGTGGTTAAGTAGACTTTTTTTCTTCCTCTCTCGTAATACTAGAACTTGGGGTCATCCCAAGAAGCTAGTTGGTGAAACATTCATAATCGATAAAAGGAAGTACTTCTTCACAAAGCACAAAATTAAACTATGGACTCCTGTTATATGAGATGTAATGATGGCCACTGATTTGGAGGGATTTAAAAAGGGATACATTAATGGAGGAGAAGGGTATCAATGGCTACCCTCCTGATGGGCATTATGTGACCTCTAGTATCCAAGGCAGTAAGTCCATGTAAACCAGTTGCCAAAGAACATGGGTGGGAGGATGCCGTTGCACTTATGTCCTGCTTGGTAGGTTCCTGTGGGCAGCCAGTCACTATGCAAGCAGAGTGCTGGACTAGATGGATTCTTGGTCTGATCCAGCGGATTATGTCATTATGCCACCCTATTCCCATGTACCTGGGATTATGATCCACAGAGCTCAGCTGAATTTCAGAGGAGGCTAGTAGTTCCCGAGTCAGTGCAGTGCCTTATTCATTGTAGCTTTTTCTGAACTTTACAGGAACTATCTTTAGTGCGTAACTGGGGGGGAGGGGGAGCACACACACACACACACGTGTGTGTTTGTATGTGATGGTGAGGGATTCTGAACCATGGATACCAGGGCCCCATTTATTTCTGGGAAGACATGCATATGATTGTTCTCTAAGGCTGCAATCCTATAATATTTATCTGAGTTTAAATTTCCTTAATAATTATGTTCATGCTGTTTGTTTCTGTACGGAGGTTGTTGATTTTTCTTTGTTTTTGATAAAAGGTTGGAATGAACACAGGGTTGAAATTTTATTTTTGAAAGAATGTCTCATGAAGAAGAAAAGGAACAGGACCTCAACATAAATTCAGAGGGAGTTAATGAAATTACTCTCAACATTTCTGAAAATGGCAGAACGCAGTCACTTGAAAAACCTGATGCAATTGGAAATTCATCAGATTTGCTACCTGAAGGAAATCAGAATGAAACCGAAGCTAGTTGGAATGCTAACAGAATTCAGAAAGTATCCTCAGAAGTTTCTGAGACAGATTCAAAGCCAAATACATTATTATCACAATCAATTTCTGAAACTGAAGCTATTTCATCAACAAGCAATTTGTCTGAGGAAAAGTCAAGTGAATTCCAGGAGAGTTTAACAGAAGAATTGATAGAAGGCCATTCTAAAAACATTGAAAGAGAATCAGGAAACTATAGTATTAAAAATGTATCAATTTTGATGTCTGACATAAAGGATACCGAACTTGTAGCTTATCTCTATGCTGAAGGTTTAAGTGAAATCCCACCAGACTTTCTTGAAGGGCAAGCTAGAAAAAGCCTATTACATTCTATAGAGAGTGCTACTGTAGCTCAAAAAGGATCTGTAGAAATTATGTCAGAAATGATGCTTGATGAATATACAGTACAATTAAACTCTAAAGGACTGGTTGAAATTCCTACAGGGATTTTTGACGTCAAAATGTTACATTATTTGTACTTAGACGATAATGAGATCAAAACCATCCCAAGAGAGATAAGTTTGTTGAAAAATCTGGAAGTATTATCCATAGATGGAAATCAGTTAACCTCATTACCTCTTGAAATTTCTCTTCTTAAAAACCTTAGAACTTTAAACCTCAGTCATAACCAAATTTCATGGCTACCCAGTGAATTTTCAAATCTTTCAAGCCTGAAATGTCTTTTGATCAGTTATAACAACATTGAAAATTTTCCTTCTGCATTGGAAAGCCTTAAGAAATTGGAAATTTTAGATCTCAGTGGAAATAGAGTAACTCTGCCAGAGACTTTAACAGCCATGAAAAATTTAAATATGCTCTACTTAAATGCCAATAAGATGACAATATTTCCAAAGATTCTGTGTTATCTTCCAAATCTAATTAAACTAAGTTTGTCAGAAAATCAAATCCAGAGTTTACCAAAGGAAATTAAAGAACTCAAAACATTAAAAGAACTTTTGCTAACTAACAACAAACTCTTATTTTTGCCTGTACAGCTCTTTCAATTGATACATATAGAAAAACTGAGACTGAATGGTAACCAGCTAGAAAGTCTATCAGATAAAGTAGAGAACTTGCAAATGCTTCGGGATCTCAATCTTGCCAAAAATGTAATCAGAGACATTACAGATAATCTTTGCCACTGTACCACGCTGGAATGTCTTAATCTTAATGATAACCAAATAAAAACTCTTCCCCCCAATCTGTACAAACTAAAGTATTTAAAGGAACTCTACTTAAGCAGAAATCAACTGATCATGTTAGATGAACAAATAGCATACATGAAAGAACTCACAATTTTAGAGCTATCAGGGAATGCTTTAATGTATATCCCTGTCGAAATCAAAAGTTGTACTGAACTCCTTAAAATTGATTTAAGTTACAACAAGCTGTCCTTATTTCCAGTTGGACTGTGTGCACTGGTTGCTCTTCAACACCTAAATCTTTGTGGGAATTATATTTCAGAAATAACTACTGAAATTTCATTTATTGAAAAACTGCAGCATCTAAATTTCAGTAAGAACAAATTGCCTTCATTTTCTATATACTTGTGCACTCTTTCCAGATTAAGGTATTTAGACCTAAGCCACAATGAAATAAGCAGAATTCCAACAAATATAGAAAAGATGAAGTCTCTTCGAGTTCTGCTGTTACAGCATAACAAGTTTATTTTGTTTCCCACAGAGTTATGTATGCTAAATAAACTTAAGGTACTTGATCTTTCTCAAAATAAGATACAACTCATTCCTTCAGATATTAAAGACCTGCAAGAACTAAAAGACTTTAATTTGTCCAATAATCAGTTTGCATCTTTTCCAACTGAAATATGCCAGCTTTCATCACTGCAGAAGTTAACATTATGCCAGAAAAACGGATTAAAGGTAAAACATTAGCAAAAATATAAAAAACTAAGAATCCATGGCTTTGCATTTATGATTTTAATTTTTTAACATTTCAGTTCTGACCTGTTTACATTTACATTGATCAAAACACAAGAACAGCCTAACCCACCTCACATAATGGTTCCAAGGATGTATTTATTTATTACATGTATTACATGTTCTACCTGCCCAATAGGTGGAACTATTGGAGGTAAAGAGGTTCATGTATGCCACCCTGGGCTTCTTGGAGGAAAAGGTGCGATATAAATATAACAAATGAATGCATTTAAAATAAAGCGGGTAGCAGTGAAATCCTATATAGGTCTACTCAGAATTAATCTCCATTGAGTTCAGTTGGTATAGGAAAGCAGTCTAAAATTCAGTTTCACAATGTGTACATTGTAAGGGTGGGCAGAAGTTTGATCAGGATCACCTTGTAGATCTTTGGGTGATTTGCAGTAGATCAGAAAGGGTTTCTGGTTTTCAGTCGTTCATCAATAACTACCATAAAAGGCATTGCCACTATTCAAAATTAGATTGCTGAAATTAAGAATATCTGACAAGGAAACTAGGATGGAGGGTTGAATGAGAGGACTGTATACACATTTCTGGTATGGAGAACAACACCTAGGTTATGCATCTTCTCAGAAACTTCTTTTTTCTTCATTCAAAGAGTCTGTCCCCCTGAGCCAGTGACTGAATATTCAGAAAACAGAATAACCTACACTTAAGGGTTGTGTGTTGATTGAGTAGTGGATTTCCATTGAACCATGGGGTTGTTAAAATTTGGGTTATCCTATTAACTCAGCTGGGATAATAAATCATGGTCAATAATACACAGTTCACAACCCATCAACATTAATTCTCTTTATGGGTTGTTTATTGTCAATAAACCATGCTTCTGTATCTCATCCGGGCTCAAACAACCCACTCTTCAACAACCACCCATGGTTCAACAACAACCTACCTTCAACCCATACTCAATCCTTATTGTGTTCTCTGATCCCAGTCTCTCTTTTGCACTTGGATCTCATTTATGGACCTTTTAAGTCTAGCATAAAATACAGTAAAACTTGCAAGCATGCAGCCTGTCCATCTATTCTCTAATGCACACCCAAATCTCCAACAAGTAAAGCCTACCCCATTCTTTTCAAACATTGAAGAAGAGTTGGTAGAAGCCCTGGTATGAATAGCTAGGATTAAGGCTGAGATACAGAGGCTCAACATCTAGAATATTTTTATTTATATAGAATGTATAATTCATGATTATATGATTATAATTGATGATTCAGACATGCTACATTAATTCAGATAGTTACCAATGTTAGAGTGTAGCAGTCTGGTGGCCATATACTCAGAAGCAGGAGAAATGCTGTGGATAACTATTTTGGGGCTCAAGTCTTCCTTGGAGTTCTGCTACTCCTGATATAACTTCTGATACACTCTTTTTCCCAATTCTCTGTACAAAGTGGTCAAACATACCATTTGACTTTCCTCCTGGGTTCATCTTGTATCTTGGAACTTTCTCTTTCTGATGCTAAAGGACATTACAGAAACTTTGACCATCATTTCAGCAGCTGGCAACATTCCTGAATTACACGGCCCTTATCTCAGGTTTTAGACCTATCTTTGGAAGTAACTTTTCCAGTGTTTCTCCACAAACACAACTAATTGCACATATTCTGTTGTTTGCATTCCACAGTTAGTTTTGTATGAACAATTGCCTATCTTTTCCCCCTCAGGTTTTGGTTTGGTAATGTTCTTCCATTCAAACGTTAGGAACCCTTTCACCCAAAAAGAGGGCCATTACATGATTGTGTGCATGACAAATGTACTATGCTGGCACATTACCAGATATCGCAGCACCATGACACACACACCAGTGGAACTCCCTCAATGCACCAACACAATAGATAGAACAGCTAAAGTGGTGGCATCATGAGAGGGATGTGGGTGGCATAGGAGAGGAACACACACCATGATTTCTCTTCAGTCCATGTGGGCCATGCCCACATTGCTCATCCAGCCCCAGACATTGACTTCAATATGAGCAGAAAATTGCTACAGGCTAGGTCAGACATGTATTATTTTGATATTATATAAATAACCCTCCTTCATAATATAATTTTCAATGTAGTACAGTACAAAACAAGTCACAACAGCAATTCTTGTTAAGCATGAGAGTGTTCTGAAGGTGGTTTGGCTAAGCACATTCTCCACTCTTTTTTTATATCTATTTTTTTAATACTCTTTTTTAATACTTTTGTTAAAGTCTGGCTTTGACAAAATAAACAGCAGCACAAAATAGATGGGTGCACGCCATGGGAAATAATGCCTTTCTTGACCCACTTTCAGTTTTCTTCAACAGACTGTTTCTGTTGCAAGCTTTGGCTGGAAGAATTCAGGAAAACACTTGTATAAGAAATATGTCTCCCACCCTGATGGGATGACAGAGTGTTGAGAGCAATGAAATATGGAGGCCAGGGTTAGGGTTAGAATCAAACTGCAATCTTTTATAGAAGTACAACTGTATCACATGAGGCACTATGCCCCATATTTATTTGCTGATCCTGATGATTCTACTGTAGCCCATTCTTGGGTAGAACTTGGTTTAGGTATTTACCTGATATGCTACAGCTGTAGAACTCACTGGGGACAAGTCTTGACATACATAGTTCATATGTATAAATGTGTGATTTGATAACTATGTCATCCTTTTTATCCTTAGTTAAAGTTACTTCCAGAAGAGATATCAAAGCTGATAGCCCTTAAAGAGCTTGATGTATCTCATAATGAATTACAAGAAATGCCAGAAGGTATAGGAGAAATAAAAGACTTGGTCACTTTAATAGCTAATAACAATTGCTTAACAAAGCTTCCCTTAAGTTTTTCATCACTCCAAAATTTACAGCATTTGAATCTGAAAGGTAGGCATTTAAATGTTTAATGTTTAGGAATATTCAAGTATAAAAACCAATAACTGCCTGAATCCAATTTCAGAATAACCTGTGAAAAAATAAGTTTCTACAGTTAGGCCTGAAGGTAGCATGCTGAGTGTGTTACATATTTAGACTCATGTTATCAGTCTACCTGGAAAAGCTATTTGAGTACAACAGCAAGAATGAAACCTTCTGGGATCCTTCTTTTCCCTGCATTAGAGCAAATGAGCCCAGAGATTATGGGAATAGATGACTGGGAATACTGGGAGTTGTATTTTCTCTATCTATACATGTATAGGATTGCACCATAAGCAAAGGAGAAAGGTTAGACAAACATGCTGAAAGAGAAAGAATCTATCTACCTCGAATGCAGTCTTTTTAATGGGATGGGATTTGAAGCTTGCTTCAGGTTATTCATAAGTTTTCCCTTGACTGCCTCCTAAAAAGACACTTGTTTCACAAAGGTTCCTGATTACCTTATAAGAAGAGTATTCAGTTGCTTATTTGTAGCCAGAAATGTGCCAAATCAACAGAATACAAATATATTCCTTTGCATTTAATTTGCCAGAAAATAAAATTGCCTGTTTGCCTAGTGATATCCAACTTCTTCTGGAACTGAAAGATATAAATTTTGATGGCAACACATTGATTCGACCTCCAGCAGAAGTGTGTAAAGGAAAACAACTACTCCCCATAACACACTACTTAGAAAGTGCTGACAGAAGAGATGGTAAGTGTAGGGGAAATTTCTCACACTAACAATAGCTACCCTAAAATATTGATATTCTAGGAATTTTAAAAATGTAATTATTGTCTGGTTCACAAGTAAGAAGAAGCCACCACAGGCAAACCCTAGAAACAGCTTGTATGTATTGTGGGTGGCTTGTCACCCCAACAACTCACTCTCACTGGAGTCATATGTAACAACAAGATGCAGCACGCTGGCAGTGGCTCATTCAAAATGGTAGCTGACATGGAGATGAAAAGCTCCACAGTGGCTTCCTGTTATGTGCAAACCAAGTCTATGTGTTCATGCCGCTTGTGCAAACCAAGTCTATGTGTTCATGCCAAGTCTATGTGTTCATGTCCTGGAGCACCTAGCTTTGGAAGCCCCTGCTCAGCCTGGTTCTGGAACATGTCTATATTAATGAGATCCTGAGAGCGGCAGCAGAAGCCCTCCTCCGGGAACCCTCTGTGAAAGATATTAGGAGACAGAGTACCCAGAGGACAGCCTTCTCTGTGGTGGCGCCCCGTCTATGGAATACGCTCCCCAGAGAGATCCACCTGGCACCATCGTTATATGTTTTTCGGCGCCAGGTTAAGACCTTTTTATTTAAACAATATTTTAATAAGTTTTATTATTGAATTTTATCATCATATAATTGAATTAAATGCAAGCATTTAATTGCAGCCAGAGTGGGTCGTTAATTAATTTATGTTATGTTAGGTATTTGTATTTGTGTAAGCTGTCCTGAGGCTCTTGCAAAGGATGGCATACAAATATCTTAAACAAACAAACAAATAAATAATGGCAAAAGGAGAAGGAGATGGAAGAGGATGAGGTGGCTAGATGGAGTCACTGAGGCAGTGGGTATGAGCTTGCATGGACTCTGAGGGATGGTGGCAAACAGAAGAGCCTGGAGGAATGTTGTCCATGGGGTTGTGATGGGTCGGGTACGACTTTGTGACTAAGAACAACAAGGGTCTGGGGTAATCGTGCCCTCTCTGAAGGCTTGTCCTGTTCAGTTTCAGTCTGAAAATAATGTTAAGAACACTTAGAATAGTGTTGCTGCACTGAAAAGTTGATACTCAATTTATTATTACCTTAATCACTTTATATCAGCCCCACCAGGGCTGCTCCATCTCTTCTGTCATGCAAGGGGAAGCAGAATCTGCCACTGTTGCATACTGCTGCTGCATTGGCCACCACCTATGTTGTCCTGAACTCCTACCACCCCAGATTGCTATCTGTATTGCTCATTACCCCTTGCCTACTTGAATTGCCCATCATCCTCTAACCCATCTATTGCTCATGTCCACATTCCCCATCATCCCCCACCCATTTTGGTTTTCACCATCCCTGCTCCACTGCTTGAGGGACGGGATTCACCCTGCCTCCTGGGAAGGTCAGTTTGGTGAACAGCAGACTGAACAGGAAGGCACATAGGTCACTGGCCACTGTTTTCTGCACTATGCCAATAGGTAGTGTAATTTTATTCGATTTATAATAATTTCCAAGTGTGCCTCTCTGGAAATAAGCAAGCATATGCAAATTGCTGTCTTCTTTCTTATGTGTTTCCTCTTTTCTGCCACCAGAGGTGTCTATTCTGGGTCTGGATCACTTTTCCTCTCATTCTCACTGATTAGCTGTCAAACCTCCCACTCCAAACTTCTTGCCCAATGCTTTCTTGGGCTTTCTGTGGGAGACCTTGTTTGTTGCTTGGTCTTTTTAAACTCCTTCTTAATCTTTATTATTCCTTCACTCCCTCATATTCTAGGGCAGGCAGAAACATATGGGATGGGTTGAAATTTATAGGGTTAAATGCCTTCCTTTGGAAAATATACCATATATTAATCTGTACCACTTGTCCAATGACTGTAAAAGTTGCAAGGAAAAGGATCCCTTGAAAAAGACAGCTGAAAAAGGAGGTAAGAAAAGTGAACCTCAAGACAAGCGGAGAATCTGGAAAAAAGGTACTCTCAACATTCTTTCCCGCCACCTGCAATTTGTGGTGGTGCTCAGGCCACTTTCAAAATAGCAAATATGCCTGCAGGACCCCAAAGCCTGCCTACCTCTGATCTATAACATAAACTTTGGCCCCATATAAAAGGTTTTTCTAGGCAACCACCAAAATCTTGCAGCAGAATGCCGATAATATGGCAGACCACTATAAAAGGTGTGATATTAGCAACTTCTATATACCTGGATATATTGTCTTTATTCTCTCCAGCCATTAAAGGATAAAATGAACACGTCTGCCAATTTATAAAGCAGAAAATCTTAAACTTGTGTTCCAAGCTTGAATACTTTGATGTATGAGATTGCTTTTCTGTAACTTTTGCAATGTGCTTTTCCTAGAAAAAATTTTGGAAAAAGTATTGAAAACAATAGCCAGCAATGTTCCTTTTGAGCATTTTGAATTTTTTTGTCAAAAACTTCAACTTAACAGTGCCGTAATCAAATCTATGGAAAATAACAGGTTAGTGATATGTTGTATTTTTCTCTCTCAGAAAACTTTGTTAGATTTATTCAGTTTTTTTCAAAAGTTTTGCAGTTTGGTCGGTACTTTACCAAGCAGTTTTATCAATTTGTAGGAAGTCAATCATCTTTTCTGTATTTTTGTTTTCCTGCTTGTTTACTTTAGGGCCCTTTTGTTAGAAGAAAAGGTTACCCAGGCTTTGAACTACTGGAAAACTGAAAACCAAGAACTATCTCCAGAGGCCATGACAGACCAGTTGATTCGAGTACTGACCATGTCAGGCCTGTATTATCTGACCAACAAAGTGAAATCTGTAAAACTCTATTCAAAACTTGTCAAGTTCTGAAAAGGACATAACCTGTATTTTCAATTCCATTCTGGGGTACATTAAGATAAATAAAGTCAGCTTATCAGAACTCAGTCCCTGACTGTGTTTAATGAACTGCTATACTTTTCAATTCAAAATACAACCTGTAACTTCAGTGAGATTTTAAAAATGAATTTGGCTGTGATATTGAAAATAATACAAACAGAAAGGAGATACACAAAGATATGATTAGATTGTGCCTTTGCCAGGGTCGTAGCATCATTCTGGGGCTCCATTACATATACACAACCATATAGTTTATAAGCAGACTTGGTATAATGGTGTATGTGAACTAAACATTTACTTACATATATTTTGCATCAGTAAATCCTAAAAGCAGAACTCTCTCTCACTGTCCCTGAGATCAATTATGCTAGTTTGCTCTTCCCACCGGATATCCTGCCCAGGCACAAGGAACTCTGGGACAAGTAGTTCTTCAGAAATCATGCTGTATGGTGTGAGGATTTCTGTCTTCTGAGCAGTATGCAGTGGGGAAGGCTTCCATGCCACTATGGAACCCATGACTTGTAGGAATTTAGGTTCATTTGGAATGGTGTACAGCAGGGGTCCTTAAACTTTTCCACCAGAGGGCCAGTTGAAAGCTGCCGGTGCTGGGTGTGGGCCAGAAAGGTGGTGCTGGCGGGATATACGAGCCAGCGCGGGAGCGGGAGCGGTGTGTGTGGGCACACACACCGAGGTGTGGCGGATGTGGCAAGGGGAGTTGAGGCAGGGGCAAGCCTGCGCGTAAGGGGAGGCGAGGCATGGGCGCGTGTACAAGGCAGCGGCTTGCTCACTTGGAGATAGTTTTCTTTGGGCGAGCAAACCGCTTCCTCCCCACACGTGGGGCAAGGTGGACAGTGGTGGGCACACACGCGGCGGGTCCAAATGGGCATGGCGGGCCAGATCTGACCCCTTAGTTTGAGGACCCACGGTGTACAGGGTCCGAATACAGTTTACCTACAAAGAGCTCCCTTAGGCCCAAGTGGATACAAACCTAAGGATTCAGACTGGGAAAATGAAACATACCTCACAATGCTTTCAAGGCTGAGCAGCTTCTTTTCAAGCGGAGAGGAACTACCATGGCTCTTCCAGCAAACCACTGACAGGAGCTTGAGCCTAACATTTCTTTTCCAGCTTTTGAGGGTGAAACTTCAGCTTGAGTGACACCTCAGCTTGCCCCTCCTTCTGTTGGATTCTCAGGGTGACTGCCGGTTTTCATGCCTGTGATGGTCAAAATCTGCAGCGTGTCATTGAAGTGATCCCACTCTGGCCTACTTGGATGCAGTCCCAGTTAGAATGGATGACTGAACCCAGATATTGTTGGAGTTGCCCTGGTAAATGTTATGTTTTATATAGGTATTATTTGCATATGTAATCTTCTGCCAGCTCCCTCATTGTCTCTGCCATTTAACAGTATTATCTACATAACTTAAATTGTTAGTCCTTCTTCCTCTTATTCTACTCCAATTTTCCTTATGATATATTTTTGTACCAGCCGTGGCCATTTTCTGAAGAAAGTTTCCATCTTGTCTGGCCCAGCCACAAAAGCCCGCCTCAGTAAAGAAGATGGTCAAGCATGAACATTCATTCATTCATTTAATGTTGTTACTGCCCAATAGTTGAAGCTCTATGGGTAATTAACAAAGTTATTGGCATCAACAACAATTTATGAGCAGCTACATAACTGTAAGCTGCCTTGAGACCTTTGTAGGAAAAAGGCAAGATATAAATTGAAAAATAAATAAAAATAAGTAAATCTGAATCTTGCATATTATTTCCTCGGAATCTCAAAGTACTCTCTCAGACCACTGTAGGGGGCTAACAAGGGGCAATATTGTTCTACATACAAATTGGTATGTAGGGATATAGAGTACACCCTTGCCTGATGCTTTGCCTATACAAAAATAATCTAATTCTCCAGATTCTGCCCTAAATGTAGCATCTTGTCCAGAATATGAGTTATGCCTTGGGACAATCAAGTGAGGCATATCTGTTTTTTTTTCAAACCATCCGTAGCCTGTTATGATCCACAAGGTTTTGCTGTAATCTATAAAGGATGGACTGATCTTCAAAAAGCCTTTGTTGCACTCCAGTAGCCAGTGTATATTTGTGATATGATCTCAAGTGCCTCTTCCTTTTTGGAATCCAGCTTGAATTTCAGACTTACAGTTAGGCATGGTGATTTCAGTGGGTCTGCCTTAAACAATGATTAAACCTGGATTCACTGCTATAGCTGTACAGCTGTATAGATATTTACTTAGAAAGATGTCCCATAGTTTAGCTACTGATGCATCTCCAAAAATGGATTTTGGGGTCAAAAAAAAAAAGAGAGAGACATATTTGCTTACCACTCACATATATGCCAATTTAGAGGGAAAGACTGTGATCACCTGATGTATGTGACTGCTCAGTCTAGGTGTAAATATTAATGTACAACTTTAAGGACCCTGCTTTTTGTTCTTTAAGTATGAATTTTCCTGGACATCCTTTCAAATAGCCAATGCCTTCGAGCACTTTGACACTTCCACTCTCTGAAAAGCAAGATAAAGGATGATCCTAACCCTAAATGTTCTGAAGAGGGAGGGAACACACACACACAAACAGGACAGTACACCTGGCTGTATGCCTTTAAAAGACAAAATTGAAGCTTTATTTTAATAATTGTTTGTGGACGAGGCAGAGCAATTCCAACCCTGGCTAGAGTCCTGAGGATGCCTACTGAATTGTCGCATTCGGCTTTGAAAGAAATCTATAGAAATCGGAGGAGTTGCGCATCCCGCCACCGCACCTTCCCTTCTCCAACCCGGCGCGTCTCCTCGGGTCTTCCGTTCTCGCGCGCTCACCATTGGCTACCGTGCCGCGTTCGTCAGATGGGCAGAGATCAGCCCAGCGCCGCCCCGAGAAGGTAAGGGAGGAGGACGGCGAAAGTCCTGGACCGCCGGCAGCGGCAGTTTCTTTTAGCACACCGTGAAAGGATGGTGGTACTGAGCTTGTTGCAGGTGGGCGGCTCTCTGCTGGAGAAGGTGGCTGCGAGCGGCCCGCTCTCCTTGCTGCTGGCCGCCTCTGCCTTGGCTCTGAGCTTGGGCTACTTGCTCCAGATCGGCTCGCGCCATCGGCGACTCTCCAATCAGGTAGGTTGTGGCGAGTGGCTTGGCGGAGGTTCCACTTCTGGCTCTCAGGGGGGAGAGTGGGTTGATTATGGGGTCGGTCGAGTCAGAGGGGAAAGCAACAATATACATATCGGTTTGTTTGTTTTTTTTGCGGGGGCGGGGTCGTTCCCGAAAGTAACCTGAGAGCCTAGAGGAGAAGTGTGAGTCGGGTCATGGGTAAGGGCGGGTCGGGAATGCGTAGCTTTATAAAGGAGGAGAGGACTTCTGAGCATGTTCAGAGAGTTGCATTCTGCCCACCTCGTTCATTTTCATGAAATGTATTACAATTTTATACCACTCAAAAGCTAAAGTCTAGAAAGATTAAAACCTTAGAAATAAAAACTACACACGAAATGTACAACATATCAGAGAGCATACAGATAGCTTTGTTTCCAAAGCAGGATTCAGCTTCCAGCATAAGGAGTTTTGAGCCTCAGCATCTTTTATCAGTGTGTATTTTGGTATGGCAGATAAAAAGATTTATTAAGGGTCACTGAAAAATTTTGCCTTCACCAGAAAATACATGGTTGCTGTGGTAGTTCAGATATTATGTTACATTTCATAGAAAAAAATCACACAGAATACTATGGCCACACTGGGCCAAAAATCACAAGACTCCAACCTGTTAAAAGCCCTTTTGGTACTAGATCAGTTTATAATCCAGAAGTGTATCTGAATAAAAAAGCATTTGTCTGCAGGTGAAAGGACAACAAAGGGGTGGTCAGCCTAGCCCCTCTCTGCTGGGGATGCCAGAACTTGAAACACCAGATACACCTCTGATGCTGGTGGGACCAAGAGAAGGGCCTTCCCTCAAGATTTTAAAATGCAGGCAAACTCCTCTGGGAGAGACTCATAATTCAGGTAGCCTGGTCCTAAGCCATGGATGCCTTCAAGAATCATAACCACAGTTAATATTCAGTTACTCTAGTAGCTGAGTAAAATGCATAGGACCAGACTGTTAGTCTGCCTTTCACACTGAAGTGGCAAGGTTGAGATTATGCTTGAAGACAAGTGTATGCACAATTACCTCCCTAGAAAAAAGGGCCTTTTTGGGAATGGTACCTTGATGGAATGAGCTCCCCAGAAAGGCTCACCTGGCACCATCTTTGCATTCTTTTTGGCACCAGGTGAAGACTTTTTCATGCTGCCAGTAGTTTAATTGTTAAGGTAGTTTTTAATGCCATTTTAACAGAAGAGAATGTGTCTTTTATGCAATCTGAAGTTCTGATAGATGCACTTTTATTGTTGTTTTATTGTCATTTTAATGTTTGAGGTGTTTTTATTGTATTGTTTTATACTGGTTTGGTTTTACTGTTGTAATCCACCCAGGGAGCCATGTGGTTAGTGGGGTGGTTAGTGAAATTTAATAAATAAATAAATAAATAAATATGAAAAAGTAGCGTATCTCCAAGCCACTGTTCCACTAGTTCTTAAATAGGGTCATGACACAGAAGGCTGAAACAGCTTGTTCTCCCTTGAAAAATGCATGAAAGAAAGAAGTCATGGACTCTGTGATCTCCTGGGGCTTAGTCTCCCAGGTCTTCATCTCTAAAATGTTAGTATTAACTGGTTGCTTTCAATCAGGTCTTTGTCCAAGGCTACCAGTTGTGTGTGTGTGTATGTGTGTGTGTGTGTGTTTATGGGGCTTGGAATTAGAGATCATTATTCTGTAGTAACTTGGATCTCTCTGGAAAAGCGAAACAGCTCCCCACGCCAACCACTACCCCCAACCCCAAAAATGGATTGTAGGAGTTTGAAGTCTGCCCACATTTATCAGGGATGTGGGAGCTGTGTTTAATTTCTAAAGAGAGAGAAACTTAAATCATCAGTTCCATAAGCCCTTTGCTGCTTTTTTTATTATTATTATTATTATTATTATTATTATTATTATTATTGCAGAAAGGGAAGGGCAGGTTGCACTTGCTCAAAGGAAAGGGAAAGACTTCTGCATGCATTCTTGTTTATGTTTGGTATCTTTGGGCTGGCTAGAAATTATTCTTGGCTATCAGCCTGGACACAGTTTGTAGGTCCATCACTGAGAATTATATTACAGTTGCACAGATAAAGCAAAACACAGGTCTAGGAGTAGGTGGGTTAGCAATCAAACTAGAACTGGTCCATTGCTTCCAGCTGATCTTGTGAAGGGAACATCATGTTTGATTGCTTCTGCAATACAGTGGCTGAGAGGAGAAGACTCCTCTGTAACAGCAGATGCTCCCAGCTGAGCTAATGGAAAAAGCCTTCCTTTTTTTACTTTGTCTTCTGGTTCCACCATGCAGTGAACTGTTCTCTGCATGACTATATCAACTGGCTTTGTTTACTTTTTCTTGTAGAAGTACCCACCATATATTTCATCAAATATCCCCTTTCTGGGTCATGCAATTGCTTTTGGCAAAAATCCTATTGAATTTTTGGAAAATGCATATGGAAAGGTGAGTTTTAACTGTTTTGTGGTTGGGATGTTACATGTTTAGAACTTCTTAGCTTAATATTTGTTTTGGATAATGAAAGCTGTTCCAAAGCTCTAGTCTCATGGGCTAATTAGGGTTCCAGTGGTTCAATCTGAGGTTTGGTAGCAAAAACTGAGAACTGGCAAAGGATGGTTATTTAGTTTTGTTCTAGTTATTGGTTATTGTTTATGTACTTGAATATCTGTTGAGATTAACATTGTTGGTGAATATTATATGCAATACTTGTAAAAGTAAATTATTGGTAATAAGGGAATTAATTAGAAAATGGTTAATGGCAGTACACTCTTTGCACCAAAAGCCATGATGGAATGCAATGGATACATACAAAAAATCCACATTTTTTATTATTACAATTTGAGCATGGTGCATTTTGGCATTGGTGGAAGGCCTGACTACTTGATCAAATCACCCCTGGCATTTAAGCATGATGTGCAGCTCATTTCTGTGCATGTTTACTCTGAGCAATTTATGTATTAAGTCTGTATTCTGCCCTTCAAGGAATTTAAAGCAGCATGCCCAGTCTTCCCCCATTTTATCTTCACAGAGATCTTGTGAAGTAGGCGAAGTATTAAGTGGAGTACACTTCTAGGTAAATATGCATAGCATTGGAGGCTGAAGCTGTATTCCTTTGCTACCTGGGAGGGCATAGAAACATAGAAACAGAACGAGTCAGAAGTGGCCTCCCGGGCCATCGAGTCTGACCCCCAGCTCCAGCCGGCACTGCTCACGACATGCCCAGCATGTGCACGGCATCCTAGAGGACATATTAGAATTCTACATCCCATGGCAGAGAGAAGTGGATATTTGGCCTCCGCATTCACCTCCCAGCAGCTGCAGAAGTATCAGTTGCTGGCTATCCTCTGATATTGGAACAGGCAAAAAGAGGTATGACAGGGATTTGCCAGAGGGCAGCTGTGGATTCTAGTCTTCAGAACTGCTCACCAAACTGGCTGCAGATTTATTTTAGTCCTGGAACTGGTGTAAGTTATTTCCTTCTCACTGGAATCAATGGTAGAGAACCCATTTAAAAATCAAAAGCTATAGAGGGAAAGGAAAAGAAAAGGAAAGAAAATCTCTTTAGCCCTGTCAACATCAGTCTACCAGGATTTTCAATATTTTGGAACCTCAAATGCCAGCCCCACTCCACTCTTGCCACAGGTAGGATTGCCCCATAAAAACAGTGGATTAATATAAGACTTGCTATTTTTTGAACTTTTTTCTTTTGCTGTATAGTCTCTGTGTGTGCACACTTAAATCATGCGTGTTTCAATAAAGGTTCTTATGGTAATTTTTGCTATGCAATACTTAAAATGCCTTTCTTTTACATTTCTGTTTTTATCTCTTTCCTTCATTTCCTGACTACTTCATTTGTCTCTACAGTATGGACCAGTCTTTAGCTTCACTATGGTAGGGAAGACATTTACGTATCTTCTCGGTAGTGATGCTGCCGCTCTTCTGTTCAACAGTAAAAATGAAGATCTGAATGCAGAAGATGTATATTCCCGGCTAACTACACCTGTCTTTGGCAAGGGTGTAGCTTACGATGTACCAAACCCAGTACGTGTGTTATGAAATGATGTAGTAATTGTTTACCTGATTAATTTATTATTTATGTGGAACATCAACTCCAAATCAAGATTTCCACATTAACAAGCTCTGTAATACAAGACCATACTCAGCAGCATCCTTCCGACATTCAACTTAATACTAGCAGGTGATGGAGTTTCTTCACAGAGTTGAAAGGTTACAGCAAAGTTGTAACTTTATGGCTGAATTTCCACAGTAGAATTACTGGTTACTGCCATTATTGCCCATTGGATTATACTTATTTAAGCATTTTAGTTGATTATATTAATTTATAGTAACCAATTAATAGTTCAAATCACATTTCAGCAGAACTAAGTTATTCATTTGAAATCATTAAATAAAGAAGTTGGGTTGGATCCAGAAAAAGGCTGCAATCTAGACCACTTAATTGAGAATAAATCCCAAGACTCACTTCTGAGGACTGAACTAATAGTTGTATTAGGATTTACTAACAGTTGGGTTTAGTCTCAATTAAATCCATTGGACAAGTTAAATTATAATTGAATAAATTACCTTTTATTACCAGGTAAGAGTGTACAGATGTATAGCTTCAGTTTCAATCCAACCCGTTATTTTTATGTTTTAAGAATAAAAATATGTGCGTAAACCTCTGGCATGACATAATTTCCCTGCTGGCTTCTCTGGTGAAGGGGCAGCTGCACACATTCCATCTTTTGAAAATGTGAACATTCATAGCTGCCACCTCCTTGAGAGGAAATGCACATAAGATATTTCTGTGCATTTACTGGCCTTCGAAAACCTAACAATTACTGCCAGAGAGAGGGCACAGTCCAACACAGAGTTATGTCAATGTAAGGTGCACTGATTTCAGTGAACTTAAGCCTAAATAGTTATGCACAGGATTGTGGTCAACTAAATGCATACATTTATGTGTGTATATGCCCCTCCCTCGATGCACACCTTAACATGGGGAGAGGGCCTGAGAGTGCCAGAGAAGCCAGGAGCAAAGCCACCAGGAGGCCAAACTGTCTCACCAGGCTGTTCTCCTAGCAGGGTCACCCAAGATGCAATGGTCAAACCTGAGGAACCAGATTAAGATGCATGCACCTTCTTAAGAAGTAACAGTAACATCAGCTGAACAGAATTGATATCTCTAATGGTAATGTGGACAGAAAAACTCCTAAAGGGGAGCTGAAGGCAATGCTGGCAAAGGATATGTCACAGACAATAGCACTGACACTGGAAATTGATTTGAAGAAGTGAGGTAGCCAACAGTAAGAGTTTGTATTACTACCCCTGATTTAGACCATTAAATATATAATAGTTTTTGAGTGTAGAAAACTGGTTTTTCTGCTTGAACAGTGCAGTTTGATGTTACTAAAAACAGCATTTCTTAAGAAGGAAAGCAGCTAATTACAGAAACATTAGCAACAAATGCAGTCTACTGGTAAGGACATGAACAATCTTCCTGGATTCTTTTGTTGCCTTTTGTTTTGTTCTTTTGTACAATTCTTTACAAAAGAACAAAATTCAAAAAACACAATTCTTTTGTTGTATTCCACCAGGACTGCTCTTCTGGATCAAGGGGTTTTTATGACCTATTTAACAACATAAGAGCTATATTGGATCAGACCAAGAGCCATTTAGTCCCAAATTCACAAAGCGGCCAATTGGCTGCATGTGGAAAACCCATAAGTCCCTTATATGTTCCCTTACGAGATAAAAGTTCCTTTAATTGTGACTAATTTTATTTCAGTAAGGTAGTGAAGCATGAATTTAACTTTATTCTAAAATCAGTGTGGCATAAGGGTTTAATTTTGATCCATTCCTGCCTAAGATACAGAAGTAAGTATCTACTTTGTTTCTATTTAAAGGTGTTTTTGGAGCAGAAGAAGATGCTAAAAACTGGGCTGAATGTAAGCCAGTTCAAAAAACATGTACCAATAATTGAAAAAGAAACTATGGAATACTTTAAAACTTGGGGAGACAATGGAGAAAGGAGTAAGTATATAATTTGAAAAAATATGTCTGAGCAGGACATTTCTGGGGCAAGAGTCAGCAAAATCATCTTTCAGGAAAGAAGTTTGACAGCATACCACACTACATCAACATTTTTAGGAAAAAATAAAACATTCCAAGGCCAAAAAATATAACACCAAACAAAACTAGCAATAAAAATCACAGTGTATCCCTCAGACTCTAAATCAGCGACACACCCCCTGAAGGCCATAAGCAGTTCTCATGCCTGAATCTTGTGCAGCAGAAGGACTCAATCGCTGAGGTAAGGCAGAGAATCCGTGGAAATGTTCATGTGTATATGAGGCATAGGAGAAGTAATTGGCTGGAATTATTTGTAAGGCGATGCAGTGGTCAGACCACGTTTTATGTATCTCAACATTCTAAGAACAGGTAGCATGACAGGAAAGTAAAATTCCTCACAAAGGACATAATGCAGCAATTCAGCAGGGGTTTAAGTGCGGGTTTCAGTTGTGCCTGCCGAAACACTTCGAAGTGTTTAGTTGGGCCATGTCCAAAGTTTTAGTTGTGGTTAGACAGCAGATCTGACTGCTTAAGTACAATGTGGGAAATAGTTTGGGGGGATAACTTAAAAGAGATAGCCAGATACTGATTTGTCATGGGATGGCTCTGGGTTCTAATGAACATGATTCTAAGTTTTTGCGCTCCCCTTACTCTAATTTTGCTATGATAAAGCTACTAACAGTTGTGTAGGCAATCTTAGTATAGGATTAATTCATTTAAAACTGTCCTAATTGTGTTTCTTCTTTTCTTGTACCATGGCCTGGGATAATCATTTATATGAGGGAAATATTTTCAGAACCTACTCTAGGGTTATCATAGTCAGTTTTTGGCATACCATCTGAGCATGTTCACATTTTTTCCAATTAAAGCCCTAAAGAAGTTGGTGTGTTGTGTTCTTTGTATAAAGTTGGATTGCAAATGAAAATACACAAGCAGCATGATCTGAGATTGGCGTTTGATAAGTATTTAACATCTGATGACAATCCACAAAATTCAGGAATGCGTTTTATGTTTCAGGACATGGATTTTAGGCTTCCAGCTTGTAGACTCTCAATTCAGGTGATTTTAATAATCATATAAAAATTGGAGCATTACATCTGGTGGTAACATTCCTTTTGGTGTCTCTTTGGAAGGTGGGGAGAAGATGGGATGTCTAAAAGTAGTGCATCTTTACTTGGATTTATTCTAAACTCTTCCATTGTATCTTTCACAGACTTGTTTGAAGCACTTTCAGAACTAATCATTTTAACAGCAAGTCACTGTTTACATGGGAAGGAAATAAGGAGCATTCTCAATGAGAAGGTCGCACAACTCTATGCTGATCTGGATGGGGGATTTACTCATGCTGCTTGGCTTTTGCCAGGCTGGCTGCCTTTGCCCAGCTTCAGGTACTAAACAACTTGATCAGTATAGAATATTGTTAATCAGATACATGCACATATTATTACATATATAATCTCCCTTTCCTCTAGGGAGTAACTCAGGGCTGTATAAATGGTGCTGTGTTTTATTCTTAGACCAATCCTGTAATTTAAGTTAGGTTGAGAGAGAGTGGTTGGCCCATGGTCAGCCAGTGAGCTTCATGGAAAAGCAGAGGTTTAAAGCTGCATCGCACTGGTTCTTAGAAGTGTACTTTCCAGTGAAGCATAAACACAAATATATCTCCCAGAAGGATCACTTGATCATTGTTGACAGAGGTTGCATGACCTTGAACTTCTTTCTGGAAGATCTCTCTTCCTTTGGTGTCTGGGAGAGCATCCCAGGAACCATTGGACTGCTTTGAAGAACTCTTCTGAGGTCAGACAGTGCTCGAACCTCAAAAGGGGGAGCCAGAGATCTTTCCCTTCACAGCTAGCATGGAAAGAACCATGCCAGATTGTAAAATTGACCTTGGAGGAGGAGGAAAAGGGGTGTTCCAGTGGGTGGTGGGGGGACGAGACCAGGATGTGTTTTATTCAGAGCCTTCTCTAGTCTCCTTCCCTCCGGTTCCTACCTGAGCTGAAAAGCCCATCTAGAAAAAACAAAGACAAAGATGTTCAGGGACAAGGATTATTTTTGCTGCTCCTTCTGACCTCTGTATAGCAGGACATAGGATTCAGAAGCCTCTGATTTCAGAGCAGCAGTACTTGAGACTGGATGGAACTGTGACTTTAGCATTCCCGACTAGGTGCAGGAAAGCAGTAAAAGAAGCTGCTGATGGGAAAGAGTAGGAACCATTCTAAGGAATGAGGGGGTGAGAATTTGCCATGGGGAAACTTTAGGTTTGTTGGTTTCTATGTTCTTTAAGCAACCTGGTTACATTACTTAGAGTTAATGTTAGTTCTAACTATATCCCTTAAATGTGGTCAAGATATGGGTGAGAACTGATAAGACTATTCATATGAAAGAAGAAGATTGGGGCAGGAGAGAATGTGTGATTCTGAAAACTGTCCTAGTCTTCTAATCATAAGAGATTGAGACATTGCAGATCATGTGGTCATGTAATGCTTCTTCAGAGTAAATTAATCATGCATTATATTGTATTATAATGTGAGATGTGTAGTGGTATTCTATTCCGTTCCACACTTGACAGTTTGTTTCCATACCGAAGTGAAATAAGTAATTTCACAGTATTTACTCAGTATTTATGCATTTGGTTTCCTAGTAGGGTTATAAATCTGCTTTAACAGACCCAGCAGCATTTTTATATAAATTGTTCCTATTTAAAGCTTTTCTGATATTGATACGGTTTTGGAGCCACTGGAGGGCAAATTCCTGTAAGAAGCCCTTGGGCCTATAGAGAGGTCCAAACTTCTGCTGCTTTCTCTGCCAGAATTGGCTTGGGTTTGAGAAGTAGTAACAAGACTATAGGAAGGACAGCGTTGCACTCACTCATGGGAGCCAGACCTTCACCATTCAGGAGGGAGCCATCTGTTGTGGCTCATATATTGCAGAAGTTATGTTGGAAGTGTTTCTAGGTGAACGGTTCTGAACATGCAGGTTTAGATACACTGAGAGGGAATATGGAACTCTATCCTTACTAGCTTAATCTTGGATATGTATTTCTATATTTATTACATTTATATCCTGCTTCCTGAGACTGTATTTTGCTGAAGATTAAATCACATTTGCTCCCAGTGCTAATTCTTGATGACCATCCATAAATGACTAATCTGTAAAGTGGAATAGGACTGTTTCTTCGAAGACCACTCGAACCCATTAATAATTAGAGTTAGCCCTCCACATTTGCAAGAACCCCCATGAAGTGGAAAAACCATGACTATCTCTAGCCCCCACCAAAACTTAACTCTTAATACTTTGACTGTATGTGTACTAGATTGCTTCTCCCTCTCTCTCTTAGACCTTGGTCTGATTCAGCAGGGCTGCTCTTCTTCATTAATTGCATTCTTAGGGTCTTACTCTCCACCGTCCCTCTCACTCACCAGCACCGTCTCTTTGCACCAAGGAAATGTGGGAGAGATTTCCCTCTCTGGACGGGCAAGGCAAGAAGGCATACTTTGGAGGCCCTCCCTCTCTCCCCTTTCACTTCCCCTCTCTCTGTGCTGATGACAGTTTTCTGCAGTAGGCTGCAAAACTCCAAAACAAAAAAATCCGGTTTAATTATCAATGGCAAACTCACAAATAAATCAAACCCATGAAAGTCTATGTTCACCTATAGTAACAGAATATGAGTTACAGACTGGATTATGGATTTTTTTTCAGTAGGGTGTTCTAATGCTGCCACTGCACTGCAGTAGCTTTCTTCTGACTTGCTTTAAATTGATAAAACCTTTAACTTATACTGTGAGTAGCACACAGATGTTGGCAGTTGCAAATCCAAACATGTAGTCTTCAGAATGTATTCTTTCAAATGTTGATATATATTTAACATTACTCCGTGTTGTTACTTACACTGACACATTTAATTTTAGGCGCAGGGATCGAGCCCACGATAAAATAAAGGCAATTTTCTATGAAGTAATTCAGAAACGACGACAGTCTTTGGAGAAAGAGAATGACATCCTTCAAACACTACTTGAAGTTACCTACAAGTATGTGAAGTAGATAAGATGTCCCTAGTAGGGACAACTTTGAGCTGCAGGCCAAGCTCTGGAAACTGGAACTGAAAACGGAGCTATACAGAAAAAATGATCTTATTGGTCAAGATCAGTGAAATCAGAGGAGGAGTCAGAACTAAGATACAAACTTGGTACAAGAACAAGATAAGATTTAGAGTTTAAGGAAAGTAGAGGAAAACCTTAAGTCTGTAGTACTGTGAATAGTGGCAAGCCTACTGTCTTCATTCCAGAAAAGCTTTTAAGCTTGCATTTCCAACAGATTAAATTATGAAATTTATGAGGTGATCAATGTTTGCTTTTGAAAGCATAGCAGCCTCTAACAGCTGAGGCAGCTTAACTAATTGAACTGTGATTGCAGCATTGAGGGTTAATGCCTTGAGATCTTTTGGATCTGCCTTGACTATGTATGGAATGAAAGTCTAAAAAAGTCTGTCCGTGTCTGAAAAGTCTATTGGGGTGTACTAGAAATGTCTTGAGTCATTGCTATGATAGCAACAGATCCTGCAATATTTAATGCCTTTTTGCCAAAATTGACACCCTCCAGATGTACTGGGAATGCAACTGCCAATGGCTCTATCGGCTGAGTTTTATGGGAGTTCGAGTCCCAACTCATCAGGAGGGTGTCGAGCTGACTTTTGTAATGTGAACACTTGAAAAATATTGGGGAAAGGGTAGGGTGAGCAATTAAAATTCGCTGTACATTAAAAAAAAAGAAAGCAGATTACTGATTGTTACATTAATGCAGTCTTGCCCTAGAGTCAGGACCTAGATGCCAGGGGGAGAGTGGGGTTGTTCTGGCATTGGCAGAAGTGTGGGGGGAAGTAATGAGATTTGGTGTTTGATGCTTCCCCAGGCCCTGCATGGGCTGCAAGGATCAGTCACTTGGTATTGCTTCTTTGTGAGGAAGCAAGGCCAAGCAGCTGCCTCCCACCCACTTGCCTTCAGGAGGAAGTCAGGCAGAGCAGCTTGGCTCCCTCCCCTGTTTCCCCTCTCCTCACTGGGTGGAATGGAAAATGCAACCTGAAGCATCCTTTCTCTTCTTTTTACCCAGCATGATAGAGCATAGTTGGCCAGTTCCACTAAGCAAGGAAGGCCTTGGAAGGTCAGTGCCAGGTGGCTTGTGCCCATGCTCTTCTGGGGGCTGGGGGAAACTGCCTCCTTTCCTCTATGCTAGCCAACGTGATGGCATTGGCTGGCTTGTTGGAGTGGAGCTGCTTCTTTTCCTTTGCCCACTTTTTCTTCCAAGGAGGACCTGGGAAGAGATGCATGGTAGAAACCAGCTCGCCCTTCCATCCCAGCTGATGTAGTGCCACAGCTGAGCAATGGAGAGGAAGGACTGTAATCTTGCTCTCCTCAGTGTTGTTGCATGGTGTCCATTGGGAGACCAGCTGGATGACTCAGTAGGGAAGAACAGGAGGTGGTATTAGAAGGCCTCCACTGTGCCCCTCTAGGCTTAAAGTATCTCCCAAACCTACCCAGTGTATCTACTTCACCTTTTCCTTGCTTTTTCCTGCTTGACTAAAAGTTTTCTGTTCCAGCAGATATTTGACCTGCTGGGTGAGGCTTCTGTGACTAGTCCTCTTGGGTTTTTTTGTTAGCTTTCTGTGCTAAACCTGTCATTTTTGTATTGTTGTTTCAGTTTTTATCTATTTCATTAAGTTCTGTTGACTGTGTTTTAACACTATGGTAAGACTCTGCTTTTGACATTAAGTGGAAGAGTTCAAATAATATATAGAAATACAGCTTCCCATTAATTTCAATTAATTTGAGACGATTGTGCATGACCTGAGGTTTATGTTTTGGCTTGCTAGATTGTTTAAATATACTAAAGCGCATGTATGACCTATATATTTTTGTCCTGTAATCCAGAGACGGCCGCCACCTAACTGATGACGAAATTGCTGGAATGCTTATTGGGCTGCTTTTAGCAGGTCAACATACATCTTCAACTACTAGCACTTGGCTTGGCTTCTTTTTGGCTAGAGACAAATCAATTCAGGAACAGTGTTATGTGGAACAAATATCAGTACATGGAGAAGATTCAGCTCCATTAAATTATGACCAGGTTTGTAGATTTTGTATTTAAGCTTTTTAATTCCTAGTGAAGTTCCATTCTAAACTAATTTTAAAAAGGCTCTAGCTGAAGATAGCAGTCATTTGCATCAAAGAATCAAACAGACATTGTGAAATTGTGCAATTTTTTGCAAGGTTGTATTCAGGATCTGCCTCCTCTGAGAGGAAGTGCTCCATCTGTGGAACATTCCTCTGCCCAAGCTTTTGGATACTCTGAAGAACTGACGGGCACTTTGCACCTGCTCCAAATGCTCATTTGTCCACTTCTTTCCATAAATGAAAATTGTGCACCAGGCCTTTCTCAGTAGTTTCTCAGTAGTTTTCATTGTTCCTCAGTAGTTTTCTGAAAAAATCAACCATTTGAAAAAAATGTGCACGTAACTTCTTAGTACTGTAACGCACAAGCTAAATCCAACCTCTTTCATTGGAAGTAAACACTATCGAACATGTAATTTATTTCTTTGTCAGTGTGCATAGCACTAAAGCAAAACTGTTAGTATGGCAGTCTACTGACCAATCAGTAGGTGTAGCTGTAGCGAAAAAAACAAGCAATGTGCTGCTTGCCAATGGGGGCATATCTAGTAAAATAAAGCTCTTCTCTAAATTGTGTGCATAGTTATACATGTTTTCCTTCTACACCCTTGCAGTTACAGTATGTATTAAATAATCCTTTGTTGTACTGGGGTTGTTTGCTTAATCCTTGTACCAAAAATTATGACTGGCTCACTATAGGAATTTGTAGTAAGAAATAGCAACCACACTATGTGACTATTGTTAAAGAGTTTTTTAATGTATAAGAAATTAATAAGATCTCTTTCACTTATTTGTAGCTCAAGGAAATGACTTTGCTGGACAATTGCTTGAAAGAAACATTAAGACTTAGACCTCCTATAATGACTATGATGAGGTTGGCTAAAACTCCCCAAGTAAGAAATGCTTATAGTCACTGGTATGTTAAATCTGGAATAATAATTCTGGAAGGACCTCCAAACAACTATATGAAGTTGCATGTTTTACATTTGGTTTTTCAGTCTCAAATGGAACATGAAAGGTGGAGTAATTTCAAGCTCCTTGAAATTTCATTTTGAAAGTTGTTAATCCCAGAGAAACATGCAGTTGTGTGCAGGTGGCACACTACAATTTAATACATTTAAAATGCAATCCAAGGCCCCCTCAGATACACATAAGCATCTGGACTTGGAAGCTTACATACATCCAGTGGTGCCAGTACACCTTGCACCAAGCATTTTATCTAGACAGCTCTTTTCACACTAGATTAAGTGTGGGGTGGGGGGAGGTAAGGCCTTGGCCATCCTAGGATCTTGGAGCTGGAGCTTCAAATAATCTTGTCAGCATCAGGAGGCCATAGAATCATGCCCTTATAGTGGTATTCTGTGCCTGTGTACTTAACAGTAAGCCCTATTGAGTTCTCTAGGATTTACCTCCCGTTAACTTCATGCCCTCTAGATGTTTTGCAGTTCAACTCCTACCATTCCTGGCCACTGGCCATGGGGGGAGGGAGTCAAGTTGATGGGAATTGAAGGTACAGACCATCTGGAGGGCACCAAGTTGGGGAAGGCTACCATATAGATTGGCAACTCTGATGTAGTAGCTTCATTACGTTTTACATCAGTCAATCAGCTGTCCAAAATCTTTATGAAACTGAATTTGAAAAACATTTTGGAGGGCTGCTGTAATTACATTCAGAACAGAATGTAAACTTCTTTTGTAAGCCTCTCTTTTGCTTTTAGACTGTTGCTGGCTATACAATTCCACCTGGTCATCAAGTTTGTGTATCTCCTACTATCAATCATAGACTTAAGGATAGTTGGATAGAAAATTTAAACTTCAAACCTGACCGTTACCTCCAAGATAACCCCGCATCTGGAGAGAAATTTGCATATGTGCCATTTGGTGCTGGTAAGTAATAGAAAAGGAGCCTTAAGCAAAGAATAAACTTCACAATCGTCTCCACTGCAATGCCCATGGGCCACTGGTGACACACGAGAGTTGAGGTGGTAGACTGAGAGGAACAATGAATTGCACATTCCTCCCACCAGGAGGACCTTTGTGGAAGGAGGGGTGTCCTTGGTGAGAGCCTGTAATATAGGAAGGATCTCCCCCTCCCACAGTTTCCGGCTCAGAGCCAGACACCTGTCTCTGAAGAGCTGCATTGGTTGTTTATCTGACCAACTTGTGTCTTCAGAAAGCTTGGTTGAGTGCAGTGGCAACAATGTGGGAGGCAGGGAGGAAGAAAGGAGACAGATGTGGTTGGAGGGTGGAAGTGGGGAGACACATGGCAGGCAGGGGAAAGAGGGCAGGGGAAAAGGGAGCTCTTCCACTGATTTTTCAAAATGGCGTCTGTTCAAACTATAGTGAAAACCATGGGTCTATTGTTATTGGCATTTTCTTTAAAAAATGATATGCATTTTTTTTTCAAGAAAATCTGCCTTGCTGTGCATCTTAGGCAATTCCGTTTCATGTCTTCCACATGCAGAAGTGAAAGAGCTGTCACTAGTTAATCTTTAATGATGCAGGCAGTTTTCCAGAAAGCACTCTAGCTTGAGTACCTGTGGTTGCATTGGAACTGGACAGGATAGGTACGATAAAATAATGCATGGTTAGTTGGGTAGAGCCTTCCTAATTACAGAGATGGTGGTGAGGGATCCATGGCAGAACATCCCAGCCCATCTGGCTTGGGAGGCATGGTTGCCATTTGTTTCAAATATTATTCTCCCATTGAAACCTATGGAAAGTAGTTAACTAGTTCTGAAAGTGGCATTATTAATGGGGACTGGTTGTCAAGGGCATGATACCCTCTAAAATGCTGCCTGTGGAAATCTGTAGGCATTCAGCCATGGCACTAGAGCTTTTTGCTGCTACACCAGGAGGGTTCTCTGTCCATGCACCTTCCTTGCTACCTGCAGTGAGCATGTCCACAGCATCCAGCAGCCCTTTCCAGGAGTTGAGTGTTGCTCCCTAAGAATGTTTGAAAATGTAAATTGAGGACACTTTAAAAATTTTCTTTTAGGTCGTCATCGTTGCATCGGAGAAAACTTTGCTTATGTTCAAATTAAGACGATTTGGTCAACTCTTCTGCGTTTGTACGAATTTGATTTAGTAAATGGATATTTTCCTACCATAAATTATACAACTATGATCCACACACCTAACAATCCGATCATTAGATACAACAGGAGATCACACAGTGAGATGTAACTTCAAGCTATCTGGAAGAGCTGCATGAGTTATGAAAAGATTGTTTAAGAAGAAATTTGTCACTACTTGTAATATTGTAAAGAAATGTGATTCTTTTGTGCTATTCCTTAGACTATTAAGCAGGTTCTTGCATTTATATTCTTATGCTTTTTAACCCAGATTTCCAGTTTGTAACTTGAATATGTGATCTAATTATTTGTACCTTTTGAAGTCCGAACTGGCAAACTAATCCTAAGTAGGTTCAGAAGTAATCCATCAAAATTTTGAACAAGTACATTTATGATGTTCTGGTGTCCTTAAAACATTAGAATAAAAAAGCCCAGCATCACTAGCTTCTGTAATGCAGGGCTAGTTTACTCTAAGTTTGTAAGAACTGACAGGTTTTTTTAAACAAAGGGTTAATACACATGACATACCTTTGAAGAAATTAGTACCTTTTCTAGAGTTTCATTATTGTACCTTTTCTTTACCATTTTTAGAGTCTGTGTTCCAACCAAATGTAACCAAATTAATGTCCACCTCATGTGCTCTGAGATACTTGGGGTGCAGTCCCGTCTTCCTTGTGTCTGCTGCAGGTGAGCCTCTGAAATTGGAGGCTTGACTACATCCAATGGCTGGAGCAAGGTGCAGAGGCAGCAGTCTCTACTGGATCTGTGCCCTGCTCATGCATTTTGTCTAGGCAACCATTTTTGACCATCTAGATGAAGGGCTGCAGAGGGAAGACTTGGGGGCTGATAAAAATTGGCCTATATAGACATCTCCAGCCTCCTCCCTTCCCTGCACCTCTGGCACACTTCTTTTCTCCCTCTCCAAGGTCTGTTTGTCTTCTCAGAGAGCAGCCAATGTGGTTCTTTTCATACTGGTTGTCAGGGATACAAGGTGGGGGCTCTGAATAATTCTAATGTTGGGAAGTCACGATTTGAAGCTCTATATATTATCTACAGCACGTCATCTCTGTGTTAGGAGAAATAAAGGATGTAACCATAAGGTCAAGAAATTGATGTGCTATCTGCAAAAAGAATTAAAAGTTGGAATGTTTACCCATAGCTGTGTGGTGATTAATAATTAGGTATATAGAAGATCCTTCATTGGCGAAACTGTTGTGGATTGACCTTGGGATGTCAGTAAAATCTTTAAATATGGTTCAACTTTTTCATGTTGAGCTGCCTATGTTAGATCATTTTTGCCAGGTGTAGACTGAAGAAGGGTGAGACACTGGAGTATTTTGGCTGGTGCAGACTGCAACAAGGTGGCTTTTGAAAGTAGTTGTTCCTGTGTAAGCAGTCTTCTGCAATCCATAGCAATCCTTGCTGAATTACTATATCTCATGCAGAATACACAAACATTGGGTTTGATCCTTCTGCAAAAGGGACCATGAGAAGATAACTGGACCCAAGGCACTGGCTGCAATGCTCTGCTTAAGTTAAAGGTATGGCTAGTATTGCCAGATATTCAGCTGTATTTGAATAGGACATGGAAGTTTAATGAGCCATAAGATGTCCCCTGAAATACTGTGTGAAAATTCATGTTCCAGCATGAAGTATTATATACTTTAAAATGTTCACTTCATACCAAGCTCCAAATGTATTTCTGTCCTATGGGTTCATGTTCTTGGACTTTTACTTGCAAGATAATTATTTGAGTTACCTGCTTTATATAGACAATCTACATGTTATAAAAAAGTTAAAATTCCCAGCATAAGTTCATTTTTGTTTTTACAAAAGTGCTCCCAGAATTTTTGTCAGGAGAATTTCCAAGACTGATTTTAAAAACAAAGTTTGAGAGGTCAAACTACATATGGCATACAGCTGTCATTTACCTCAAAGTAAATAAATTCAGGAGGCCTGATTAAGAACTGGACTATAACACAGGAGCCCACCCCCCCAGCCCTCTCACCTTGCACAGCAGTTAACTTTGGTAAAAGAGGTGCAAATACTATAATGTGGGAATTGAAGGGCAATTTATTTTAGGATTCCAGCAAGAAAAAGGAGCATCTGGACTGCCCTTACTATTCTTACATTGGAGTAAAATTAAAACAAGTTTCAGGCAGTCTTTTCAATGTGTAGTTTGACCCTTGCTCTCAGTAAGAAACCCTTGTTCTCTGGCTGTGTTGGTCGCAGTCCACACTTGGGGATGATACCACTATATCATCTAACCCTTCTGCTTTCTTCTGAAAGCATAATAAAACAACATTTTATATGCAAGTCATGTTATATGAGTAAAACTTTAGTAGCATTTTGTGAAACAGAACTGCCTGCCTACCTGTGAATTCTCTGCCAGTAGTAGTATAAAAGAGAGGGAAGTCCAACTATGAGATGGGTCAATTCCATAAAGGGAGCCACAGCTTTGAGTTGACAAGAGCTGAGTAGGGCTGTCAGGGACAGGACAGTTTGTAGGTCGTTTCTTGATAGACCCCCATAAATCAGAGATGATGGAGCATAACTGCAACAGTAAATGTAGTGTGATTTTTGCATCTCAATATGCTCAGCTAGAAATTAAGGAAGAGCATCTCTACCCCATTCCTCCCTCTTTCCTGTGACACACATTCTCTATAGAGATGCATTGTGGCAGCTTCAAGACTAACATTGTTATACATTCTCAGTGATCCGATTCAACTTTTAATCCAGAAGAGCTCATCCTAAAATGGACTCTAATAAAAACTTAAGTCTTTTCAAGTGTTACAAACCTAACGTTTACCGTAACAGACTAAACGCTCAATACTATGGCCTCCAAACATCTGGGAAGCCTTAAGAGTCTTTAAAGTTCTACTCTGAGTCTGCAGGATTTTGGAGATGGGCCCATGGCCCATCCCTTTGCAACCAGCATGGAAAGAACCATGTTGGTTATCTCAAAGTCACAACTGGGCCTTGGGTGGGGAATAAAAGGGCATGTTGGAAGAAGGGAGACTGGAGTCCCAATTATCACTCCAACCTTTTTCCTTCCCTCAGGCTGTCTGAGTTTGGAGACCTGGGAGCATCTGCTATGTGGGCAGTGGGAATGTACCCTAATACAACTATCGCAAAACTATTCCACATAGACATGCTTTTAAAATGATTTTGAATAATATAAATCAGAATACACAGACACTATTGTTAAATATTTTCATATCCTAGTATTAAAAGGATGAAAGCATCTTTATTTCAATACTTTGACAAAATACCCATAAAATTCAAAACTTCTACCTTTACAAAAATAGGTCTCTACAAGTGATATTTCTCTCTGCAGTGCCAGTAGCAAATAGAATAAAATCATGAAAAGTCCTTCACTTACTCTTATCAGAAAATGTGCACTGGAGGTACACGTTCTGCAATCCCAATACATAAAAGGTTTCATCCTTGCACTCATGTGATAAATACACACTTCAATAATTTATTTTTTAAATTAGCATTCCACAAATATACATGAAATTTAATGATCAGTTCTGAATGACCACAAAAAGTACCTATATACACAAGTTCCAGATTTTGTAGAGGAGCCAGCAAGGTGAACTGCACACAATTGTTGAGCTGTGTTTGTGTTGGTCCCACAGTATACACAGAAAAGCACAGCAGCAGTAGCAGCAGCAGCAGCACAGATTTGCAGAAGGCATTTCTTTTGATGTCACTAGCAGTGGCAAAAATGTTGTGAGGTCTATCTTCGGGTACCAGAGTGCAGTTGAGTGTAGGATGCAGATGCTGTGCGGCAGGAAAAAAATAGCTTTGATGATGGACACATTCTACAGTAATTTAACTAATCACCAATGCAAGCATCACTTTAAAGTATTCAACACAAACAAAATGAAATAAACTAAAAACAAGATACCTGAATGTACACTGCCAAGCCGCCTCTGTAGAGCCTCCAGACGACTAATATAATCAGTTAAAGCTCTGTCAGGATCATAATTCTGCAGCTGAGAACTTGTGAAAGAAACTGGGCTTAAATCTGCATTGATACTCTGGTACCTTGGGCTTGAAAGAAAAGCAGTGAAAAATGTTGGTAAAAGGGGGTTTGTAAAATGCCTTCAGAACATGGCATGCTACAAATCTAGTAAATAAGTTACATTCAGAAAGAATAAGCATACCTGGTCTGTCTATTTAACATTCTCAGGTAACAATCTACACAATAATCTAGTTTAGCAGCCAAGGTCTCTGACATACAGATAAAGAATATAAATTGAAATTTACCTATGTTGATAACCAAAGGGAGATCTGAAAAACTCCAGCTCTGATCTGGACCTGTAAGAATGTCTCTGTTCTCCATAAAGTTCCAGACCACCAGTGACTGAATCGGACCTTAGTTCATTGCCTAGGTAAATAAAAACAGGAAACACACTTCCTAAAAATCAGCAAATAAATTCAGTTTTACATACTAACTGCATTTAATAAGACACATTTGTTGTCACCACTAACACTTGACAGCCTGATTTACAAAGCAAGCTATCATTCAGACTTTGCTGCAGCTATGAGGGCTGGAGGGCTGGGAAAAAAAAACCCTTTTATTTATGACCCAGCAGGTGACAGACAGACCCCTCCAAATAGATGGCCAAGCATAACCAGGGCTTTTTCTTTGCTTCCTGATTCTGTTAATTTGCTGAAAACTTGTGTTCAGACATACTCATTTTTTACCCACAGGAAAAGTCTTTCTAGCATGGATCTGAGAAATATGTCAGTGTTAAGACCTCCAAAGATTATTAGTATTATGCTTCTGGTTTCCAATTCATTTTCCAAGAAGTGTAGAGCAGTTACTATCTGGGTGTAATAAATTACAATTCTCATCTGGAATTCATGGATTAAAAATAGGGGAAATGGTAAAGGCACAAATCAAAGAAAGTTAAACTTATTTAAATCTACTGGAATCTTCAGGATGAAGACAGCTGAACTCAAACTCTCATTCATTACAATGGGATGTAAATATGTTTCAGTGTGCTGATGATACTCAAAATGTTGAGGTTTCTGTTCAAAAACACCATTGTTTTATGTATAGTTTTTTGTACCATGCAATTCATGAATTGACCAGAATTCATATGTCATGCATGTGTTCTCCTTTGCATGATGCTACCTCCAGAAAAGGAGAACTACTTTTAAGAGAAAGGACCACCAAATCAAAGCAGCAAGTTTATTCACTTTGTTCAACAGAAGAGGACTGATCTTTAGACTATACTGTTCTCTTGATTATACTGCTTGATCATAAAGGTCTATCCACTGATATTTATTTACCTGTGTTCTGAGTAAAACTATCTCTGTTGATTCCTATTAGGCTATATCCAGTAACTCGGTGCCATCGACGAACTAAGAACTTCATTCTGCATTTTAAAATAAAGAGAAAATAATTGTTTCAGCATGTCAAATATACTGTGAATGTTCCACAGATAGATGGGGCAGTGTATGAAGCTGCCACTTAAATAAGCAAACATAACTTGATTAATGCCAATAATGATGTGACTCACTCTGTTTCTATATTTCTGTATTTCTATATATAATGGCTTGGCTTTGTCAATATAAAACACAGGAGGGCAACTCATGGTTTGTGTTTGGCAATAAATGGGTCGCATATATAGCCCATCAATGTCCTTCTCAGAGGGGGTGAATTAGTCAGGATTACTTGCATATTGATTTGCACCTCCATATATCATGAAACATATGAGCTAGTGAACAAAGATCAAAATTGGAATCCACTATGTGATCTCCCAACTTGCATTCTGCTAAATAGTTCTGTAGTTGTCCTGATGGTTAGATTTAAATGGATAAAATGCCTTGTTTTAATCATTTTACTTCTTCACATAGGTATTGAACATATATATTATATAAATGGATGTCTTCTATCATACCTTGAAATTGCAATTACCACTCTCACTGCTGAGCGGAACCGTGTAAAAGCCTTTGATCGGTGTGTAATAACCTCTAGGTCTGTGTAGGATGGCTGCCCACCCATTCTTGCAATGAGACATAAGGTGGCTTCTTCACACTCCTGAAATCCACCCAGCAAGAGTAGCAAGTATTTCTTCTGATATATGAGAGCTTTCCGAAAACTCTCTGCTCTCAGGTATCTTCCATAAATTCGCTGGAATTGAAACAAAGAAACAAATAAAACACTAAGAAATAGCATGTCTGGTTATTAAGTCTAGTACTAATAGACTAGTCATTCTTTACAACTATCCTATATTCTTCAGCTCTGCAGATCTTGTGCTGAGCTGCATCATTTTGGCAGCTGCAGCTTCAAGCCTGGAGTCACAAGGCAAAAGCACTTTTCCTGCTGCAGGACTCTTTGTTTCAGAACTTTAGCTAGATAAGAGATGGTTGAGTTTTTTCTTCAGTTTACTCAAAAAACCCAAATGAAGAAAAGGCGAATGTTGAATGCTAAGGGCTAAATTGTGTAGAATCAACAAGGCTGCCTCATTTCAGGCTAAGAATATTTGCCATTGGAGTAATGCACAATAGAAAACAATTCCTATTATTGGAACAAAATGATCGAACAAAATGTCCTATGAATAACAGTGAAAGAGCTCCCACCTTTAAAGCAGTATTTTCTGAATCTGATCCCAGTTCTCTCAGAAAAGACTCATTCCTTAATTCCGCCTTCAGTTTCCCTAACTCTGCTTCAGCTTGCTTCAGGGACTGCTGCAGAGTCATTTTCTCTTTGTGCCAGAACTCTCTTTCAGAAGCAATGAGTGCATCAGCATTTCCTCCATCATGCACTGATGAGCTAGAAGTCTTGTAAAATTTAAGAAGGAAGACAGAAAGAAGTCCAAATTAGAAGTGTCCACTATATATTATATTGCTTTATTGTGGATCGAAAAGAACATTCCCTGAATGACAAGGAATATGCTGTTGGTGAATGGAATAAACTTCATACCAAAAACACCAATTTCAAATCGTATTGCATCTATAAGGGCTATGGAAATAGGATTATACCTTCTCCATCTCTGGGCCTGCCATACATTGGATGTAACATGTACATTGGTTCTATGGTAACTGCTTAAAAAACAGAAAACAGAGAGTGCAAATAAATGAGAAATTCTCCTGATGGAGAATGTAAATAATAGGAAACTGAATTATAATCAATGCTTTTCAACATATTTATATATTATTTGGGAGTAAAAGTGATAAGTGAAGAGGCCAAGTTCGCTGAGGACAGCTAGTTAGTTAGGGTGGTTAAAATGAAATGGGATTGTGAGGATTCCCAAAAAGATCTCTCCAAACTGGGAAAGTGCCAAATACAGTTCAATGTAAGCAAGTGTAAAGTGATCCACATTTGAGGCAAAAAACAACTTCATGTAAAAGTTGTGCTAGTCGTGATTAACCAAAAACAGAGATCTTGGGGTTGTGGTGGGCAGCTCAATGAAAATGTTGACTGCTGAGATAAAAGCAAACTCCACGTTAGGCATAATTAGGGTACAGTTCTGGTCACAACACCTAAAAAAAGGATGAAAAAGGTAAAAAAAAAAAGTTGGAAAAGGGCACCTAAATTGGTTAAGAGGCTGGATCAATGAGAAAAGGTCATAAACATTGGTTAGCTTAGGAAAAAGACAAGTAAAAAAGCAACATTAGGACTGGCATGGGGAAAGTAGATAGAGATGCATTATTCTCCCTTTCTCATAACTCTAGAATCCAAGTCCATCCCATAAAGCTGATTGCTGGGATATCCAGGACAGATAAAAGGAAGCACTCTTCATGCAACAGTAGATACAAAATTCTCTTTTATGAGATGTAGTGATAACCAACAATTTGGAGAGCTTTAAAAGGGGATTGGATAAATTCATGGAGGAATAGCTGGTAGCTATTAGTCCTGATTGGCTACATGCTACATCCAATATCAGAGGCAGTATGCCTACTATGCACACCAGTTTCTGGGGAACATGGGTGGGAGGGTGCTTTTGCTCTCATGTCCTGCTAGTGGGTTCCTGTGGACAACTGGCTGGTCACTCTGAAGAAAATGGTGATTTAGATGGATCCTTGGACTGAGCTAGCACAGTTCTATTTATGGTCTTATGACTCTTGTCCTCAAGTCCTAGGAAATAAACATCATCCAATCAGACTCAGATTTATTGGACTCAATATTGGGCTATGCAAACTTAACCAGTATGCTTCTGATATGTGCATGGCAGCTGACCCATGACGCAGGATGGGTACAAGTCTACTCTGGTACCAAGAAAAAGATAAAGCAAAAAAGATAAGCAAAGGTGTACAAAATTATGCTGCGTATGAAGTAAATGGGCAGAGACATTAAAATGAATACATAAAATGTAAAGAAGCTTTTAAACTCTAGTGTAATTTGTGCCTAAACTACAAGAAGTCCAATTCACTGATTTCTTAATAAGGACTGAAAGACTGCTAGTATTCAAATTAATAAGAAACATACTGAATCTCCACAGGACCTCCTCTGCTGGTATCTTCTAATTTCCCTTTCCAGTTTCATGACCACATTCCTCAAATTGTTCTTTTCTTCGCTTAGTTGGCTGACAAACCCAGTCAATTCAGCATTCTGTTTCAGCAGCCTTTCAGTCAATGAAGCAGTGGATGGCAAATCTACATTCATCTAGGTAGCAGAAGAAGCAATGGCAGTTTATCAGTACAGTTCCATCTCTGCTATTTTTCTTCCAAACGTTACACCTTTTACTTGACTGTGAAGCTCACTGGGTGACTTTGCACCAGTCACAGACTTCCAGCCTAACCTAACTCACAGGGCTGTTGTGAAGTTAAAATGGAGAGGAGGATTATATAAGCTGCCTTGGGGACCATGCAGGAAAAAAGGATATAAATATAATAAATAAGAATGATATGTGAGGATAACTCATAATTCTAGATTCCATGCAGTAAACATAGGATGTTTGAAAGATACACTTACTAATTTAGTATGCATATACAATTTCCTGTTTCAGAGATACCTCAAATTCATCTCTCACCTCTGTTTCCAAGTTGAGCAAACCAGAAAGCATCTGTAATTGCAAGAGACTGTCTTCAATGTTATTTTGTATCTCAATAAAGTCTTCATCATCTGATTTTTCAAATGGTAATCTGGAATAAATCAAATCACCTGTTTATTGTGCAGCACAACAGTATGTGTATAGACATAAAATAAGTGTAATTGCAATAACCACATATTCTTTCCCTTCCTTCATTCCCCAATCTTTCCTCACTTATTTTCCTGTGTCATTTAGGCTGCGAGCCCCTTGCAACTCCACCTATTTTACCTGTTCTTTGTAAAGTACAATGTACATAAATGGTACCATATAAACAAAACACAACATCATATAACACTGCTCTGGAATCTTCATTTTTGTTTCAGAATACTTTAAGATAAATTAATGTAAATCTTAAGTGTAGCTCAGCACTGCTATAATCAGATTTCTACAGCACTGCCCTTATTACTTTCTCCCCTTTAAATTACCCTATATCCCAGGTTTAAACTCAAACATTTACAGTTAAAGCAGCACAGCCAAAAATTCTGCCCTAGACCCAACAAACCTGTTACCAGTAGAAGTCAACAATGTTGGGGCAGGGAGGCCAGAAGTCTGACTTAGTGTAAGATGGCAGTATAGTTATGTCAGCTAAGTTTGAGGAGAAGGTACCCACTTCCACTTCACAGTGTTCATCCCCTCCTGTATTAGCAGAAAACCCATATGTTTTGCCTTCCTGTGGTAGCTAGTTCAAATCTGGGCTCACAAGACTCTCATCCTAGAAAGGCAAAGGTGTTTATCAAATCAGAAAGATGGAATCCCCTGCTCAAGCAAGAGAGAGGACACTTGTTCCACAGTGGACATAACTAACGAAATGTTGCATTCCAAAATGCAGCTGGCCAACAGAAGCCATCAGTAACCAGGCCATTCAATTCTGAAAATTCTCAAATGGTGCCAAGATGGTATACTCTGCTAATTGTGAGTCGCCCCGAGGCTTCGGCGAATGGGGCGGCATAGAAGCCTTCAAAATAAATAAATAAATAATAGTAACAAAGTATTCAAACCTGCAGGCTGCTTTTTTAGACAGTTGTTTTAACTTTGAAGATACATTTCTCAGGTTCTGCCTAACCATCTGAAGATCTTGACATTCCTTGGTAGCATCTCCTCCTCCTCCTTCTTCCATGGCAGTTACAGCAGAGCAAGACAATTCTTTTGCTTCAACTCCGGCTATTTTCTGCTGGAAAACCCACTTTCTTGTTCGCTCATTAGATGTATCCCAAGCAGTCTGTACATACAAGTTTGGGATGAGAAAAAGTTTGCCTTATACTAAATATAGGAATTCAATTCTGAATTAAACTTAATGAGAGAATTTGACTGTTTTATACATATGTCATTAAATATCTCACACACATAATTAAGGAGTGATTTCACTAAATTGCAAGGCTTCATTAAAAATACATTGATTTATGATATCGGTTTGCATACTTGGTGACACAAGACCATTTGAAAATAATTTTTATATCAATCTATAAGATAAGCAGCTTGTCAACTTTCAGGTGCCAAAGCTTTCATTAAAAAATATGGGCCTGATATTAGTTGTTTCAAAGCTTTTTTATTTGCTGTAATTGGCCATGAATTTTTTCCTCTTATTTTCGTAAGTCTGTAATTTGCTATAAGCTCCTGTGGGTGCTGCAATGGGAGTTGAAATACAGATTATAAATTCTCTTAGAGAGCAATCCTATGTTTCGTGGGAACATGATCCTGGACTATATAGACAATTGTTGTCAATACAACAACACAGTTCTTATGCTAACCTTTGGTGTCAACGGGGACCTAAGGCAGAGTGCAAAGCCAAATAAAAAGAAAGTGCTGTGTACAAGCAAGCTAAACTATATGTTAAGGAAATTAGATTTGAATAAATTGATCCACTGGTAGCAGGTGATCCACTTTGCATTTGGTAACATCTTGCCTGATGAAGTACTCCAGAGATTTCAAAATCTATTCTGTGACCCCTAAATTGACTTAATAAATATATTGCCTTAACCGAAATTTTAGAACTTTTTTCCATATGGAAATAACTAGCAATCTTAGTTATTCTTGTGACAATGAACATATAATTCTTATTATGCTATTTTGTTTCTCCTAGTTGTGGGGTGAGGGGCAACACTAAACAGGTTCCCACTTTCAATCATTTCTCATTTCATTTTCAGATTTGAAAGTTCAGCAGCAATGTGTGGTTTCAAAAGCCAATCTTTACAGACTGAAGGGGTTAAAAATAATACCAGAACTAAACAACTCTGATTTTGAAATAAAACAGGCAACCTGTGAAATACACAGTCTGAAGACCTGTCACTGATGTAAAACGCGTTCTTTGTTTAACTGAGCTGGAAAAGTTCACATGTGCGCACAAATATATTAAGGCCCGAGCTAATCTAGTTTTAACCAGGACCATCACCATATCCTCTTTACATTATTTAAGGATACATCACAAAGTGGTGATAATATGTGGCATTTTCCTCACACTGCTCTTAAGAATGCAAGAAGAGCCAAGATGGAACAGAACAAGGGTTCATCTATTCTAACATCTTGCTTGCACAGTGGCAAATCAGTTGCAAAGAAACTCATAGGGCAAGGGCAAGAATACTCTCTCACTGATGTTTCCCTGAACTAGTAAACACAAGCATATGGCTTCTGATAATGGAAGATCTTCACTTCTGCAAAATCAGGAGTACTCAGAACTAGCACAAAGCAATGATAATTTTAGAAAACTGCTCTGAAAAATAACTAATACAATTTCATCTATGAATAAGGTTGCCTGCAACATTGAATGATAAGTTATATAATGAGGAGTTACCATACCTCATTTAGATTCTGATAGGTTCCTTTGTCAACTTCTGCCTCTTTTCTGTGTTCTTTTTGTTGTAACTCTTGGATGATTTCTTGCAATTTCTTTTCCTCACACTGCAGCTGGTGAACCTGTTGTCTCTTTTCTCCAAGTTGCCACTGAAGATCTTCTATCTTGGATTCCAGTTCATGTACTTTTTTCTGTGCCATGATGTTAGCATCTTGTTCAGTTTGTAGAGTTTTCTTCTGAATCTGTCTCTCCTTTTCTAGCTGTTGTTTCAGCTGCACAGATTCCAATTTATACCTTTCCACATCACTAACCAATGCAACTATACGGTCATGCTTTTCATCCAATTGTTTTTGCAGATCTTGCAGTAATTCCTCAGCTGGTGTAAGAGTTCCACCCTGCCTTTTCTGTTCAGCCATCTGAAGCTGAGCACACAATTCTTTTTCCCTTTCTAGCGCACTGCTTACTTCAAGAACTCGGAACCTCTCCGCTTCAAGGAGCACCTGAAGCTCAGAGTTACAACTGCGCTCCTGTGACAACTGAGCTGTGTTCAGAGTTTCCTGGGATTCCACCTTCTTTTGCAAATCATTTGACAGCTCTCTCTCAAGCTCCAAAAGATTACTCAATTCTTTAACTTTCTGCTTCTCATTTTCAAGAGAATATTTCAAATCCTTAAAAGAAAAGATTTTTTGACTAAAACTTAAAATGCCACTGAAGCTACTATCTTGAATAAACATATTATCTAACACTTCAACAGAAGCTTGGAAGACTTAGCTTAGAGGGATGTGAATCCAGAGTTTAATGTAATATGGATATTTCTTCATCAACTTTTTCCTGGTCTTCAATAATAAGGTACACATAAGTTAAAATACATATAGGGTATACGTATGATTTTAAGATTTAAATTTGCAAATGATAATTTTATAATATTTCAGGTGTCTACCTTTAGGTGACTTTGATAACAATGGTTAGGATATGTGAATTTACTTCCGCTAACCAAATCTGATCCAAAATGTCAGACCCATTGTTATATGAAAAAGTTTAGCATCCATTGATAATGGAGGGAGGACCACAACTTAGTATGACAGCCTATGATTCACACCCAAAAGATCACATGTTTATTCATTGGTATATTAGTACAATAACTGATGTAAGACTTCTGCCCAAAACTTAGGGAACTTATCGCTAATCAAAGTAAACAATACTGGGATAGATGAACAAATAGTCTTTTATGATGTAATGCAGCTTCTTGTGACCCAAATACAGGACATGCCTTTGTATATTCCATTGCATATGTCACCAGCCAGAAGCACTGCCACCCACAGATGCTTCAGTGCACTGCTTATGCTTTTACACAACATGGCTTCACCAGATGTTAGACAATCTGCACCCAGTTTGAGCTTTGGTGAAATACTTGCCTAAATATGTCTCTGTGTTAAGGACAGTTGCAAACTTCATATTAATTTGCCATGCCAATCAGGCTTGAGGACCAGGTGGTTTTATTGGAAATGTTTCCAAAATATTTCTAGATACATTATGATCAATATTTAAAGAGATGCTGGTTACATCTCTTTAAATTACAGTGATTTGTTACTTGTTTCATGGATGAAGCTATTTCTTTTAAACTTCAAATTACATAAAAACTGTATTGAATATGTGAATTATTTTCTTTTTCATAAGGTAGGTAAAAAAACCTTTATCTGTTCCATTAACTAGTTAACTTGTTTTGTCTAATAATTTCTAGTCACATTAGTTACCACAGTGGAAAAGAGCAGGGACAGTGTCTTTTGTTAACTGAATTCACAAAATCTGTTGGGTGAGGTCCTGTTTTCAATAGTATGTTTCTGTTATTTTTGTTGTATTTTAATCCATGTTGATTGTTTCTGCAATCTATCTTGGCAGTTATGATTAGTAGACCGGTACGATACAAATAAAATAAATACATAATAGTGACTGCTGTACTGGAAGAGTCAGCAGACACACAGCTTTGTCATTCAGTGTCAGGAAGCTGGAATATCTGGTTTTGGTCCTTGAGGCATTTTGGATTCACAGCCCTTTATACTATGGCTTTTTCTTTTTTTAATATCAAACAAATTTGTGAAGAATTACAAATATTAAAATGATATACAAAATCAGCAGGTTTAATCCATGATTCCCCACAATTTGCCACATACTATTTAACTTACACTTAAGAGGAATGTGTAAATTAAAAGCTTGATATAAAGCCTGTATCTATGCAACTATACTCTACCTGCTTTGAATATTTAAAAATCAAGAATGGTTACCTCAAGCTCTTCTTTTCCTCTTTCTTCACTGCGTTCTATTTTAGCCTTCTCCTTCTCCAGTGTCCACTGAAGCTCTCTTGATTTCTTTTGTTCACTTGCCATTGTGTCTTTTAGCATATCTAGTTCAGCTGCTTTTCCCTTAAGTTCATTTCTGACAAAAACCAAGACAAGTTTCTCTTTATAAATTTCGTTGGAAAAATAACAAAAATAGAATAGGAGAAAATATTTGCAGTTGCTCGTGTACTTTGTAATGAAACTTCACATTACAAGGCAACCTTGAGTTTTACCTTCATGTATGTTTCCAAATGGTAACATGGGATAGGGCATTTTTATAGGAAAACTAGTAGAAAGGAAGTAGCACTAATTCCTGTCTTGTCCACTAGTCCTCCTGTTAATTCTCTCTACTGATGAGTTAACATCTAATACTTTCCAGAATAGTTTCTCTTTGAAATGTCTGCAAAATGAGATATGTAAATCTAAAATAATCAACCTCATGTCATGTCAGCTATGCTAGAAGAGCTTCTTCCATCTTCCACAATGTAGGCTGGTTTTATTATCATGATTATAAACAGCAGCAGTCAAAACCATATATATAAGAATTATGGATGACTATTTTAGTACAATTCCATATAATTTAAGTTGGTACTAATGCTAAATTCATGTATTACTCACTATTGGTCCAGTGCAAGCTGCTTGAAAACCTCACCTGATGGCTTCCAGATCTCTTAAATGCTTGTGTTGTGCTTTCAGTGTTGTTTCCAGTTCTAGTTTAGTTTGCCCAAGTTCATTCCTTAGTTCTACAATCACCATCCTCTCAGAGTTCAGAAGCTCTTGAAGTTCAGCTGCTCTGTCTTTTGTACTACTGAGCTCCATTTGGATGTCCATGTTGTACCCCAGCAGCTCTGGAAAGCAGGTAATCAAGCAATAAGGCATAGTGCAGGTTAATCCTTTATGATGAAGCCAAGTTCTGAACAAATGGATGGAGCAAAACATGTTTGACTTCAACAACACAAACAAAACAAAAAGCACCACTACCTGAGATTTCTTTAAGCTGAAATGCCAGGATTGGATGTGGCATTTTAATTTTGATCTGGCATAGGACTTCTTGTCCTTGAAGGCAAACCCAAAATGACAAGAATGCTTCACCACATGCCTTGATATTATTAATTCTGCATTCTTTCTGATCTAGTAGACCCTTAGAACAGTATAATGAGCACCTCAAACTGCACTGGACTACTAACAGTCTTCCTCAAAAGTGTCCACTCCACCTAACAGCAGCATTTCTAAATCTCAGGAAGAGATTTTCCTAGCCCTATTACCTGAGATCCCTTAACAAAAAGTTCAGAAAATGGACATGTAGACTGGTGAATGCATCTGATGTGTTCTTCCCTTGAGCTTGAGTATTATGCAAACACAATTTTTATCCATTCATTCATTCATTCATTCATTCATTCATTATATTTACATTACACCTTTTTTCTTTTTTTTTTTCAAATTGCAGTGCAGAAAAGCACTCCCAGCCTAAAAGAACACACATCTATAAGCATATATTTCCACAAATTATTATGTATGCAAGCATATATGGTAAAGAAAAACCACATAAATTACCCTGACAGTTTGGCTCAGTTTCTAATTCCTTCTTTGGATCAGATTTCCTCTTTAGTTGAGCACGCAATAAATTGATTTCCGCCAGCAAACTTCTTCTATCTGCATTCTGAATATATTCCACAGCATTTTTCTGATAAGTATCCTATCATTATTAATTAGAAATAAAAATTGGGATATGAATACATGATCAGTAAGCAATAACCTGGATAATAATCTAGAATAGGATGCCAATACATACAAAGGAGGGCACAAAGGTGATGTATCTCAACATGATCTAATCTCAGGAAATGTACAGAATTGCCTATATAGATGAACTTTTCCAATGGGCATATAATACAAAATGGATAGGATTTTAGGAAAAAATCCATCACAAACATCATATATTTTTTTCATGTGGTGTTCATCAGTAGCTAGCCTTCAACTGTTTTAAAGATGCGTTTCAATAAAATATTGTGTAACAAGTTTGTTGGAATAATATGATGCTATATCTTCAGCATGCTTTCCAAGAACCACTTCCTAATTTACATCTTAATGAATATATTCGTGTGTCTGTGATTTTTGAGTCAACAGAAACACCTTATACATATAGAAGTCATTTTCATATACAATCTGCATTAATGAAAGAGAATGTGTATCTGTCTCTTCAACTCTCAGCACCACAGCATCATGGCTGTGAAACCTAGGACTCTGAGATCCAGGCCCTACTCAGCCATGAAGCTCATTGGGTGACTTTGGGTCACTCACTCAATCTCAGCCTAATCCACTTAGGCTGGGTTGTTGTTTTGAGGATGAAAAGAACAGAGGAGGGCTATGAAAGCTACCTTGGCTTTCTTACAAGAGAAAAAAAAAGCCAGGATATAAATGCCATGCAAATGTATCCCCTAATGCATTTTTTAGATACAACAGTGACAGGCAGGAGCACTGCTGTGCTTTAGAGTTATTGTGCAAAAAGTGTACTTTATACTTTTTCGTCTTATTTACCAAGAAAGAAATTCCAGTTTGGCATGCACAAGCCTCTCACCTGCTCCTGAAGTTTCTTTTCCACCTGATTTATTAGCATCATTACATCTCTAACACCTGCTTCAGCTAATTCAGTTTGATATGCTGCTAAAAGAACATCTTTCTCTTTCTGGAAGACTTGTTGAACAGCATTCAGAAGCTCAGTTCGCCAGTCTGGGACACCACCAGAAGATTCGGATCCTGCACAGAACTAAAATGACATGAAAATGATTAAGCAATGGTATCAACATGCTAAAGCTGCCTGTGATTGAAGAAAAAGTGCATGGAACATTTCATAGATACTGTACATGAAAAATGTGCCCAGTGCAGGTATTAAAATTAATAGATAAGTAAACAAACAAGTAAATAAATAAACTGTGCATATTTGAGCATCCTATAATTATAATTACCTCTGCTTCCCTGTGAATCTGCATTTTGGCAATTAATTCCTTCAGAGATGAAACAATGCTCATGAAAGCCTCACGTTCTTCTAACCAAGATTCTGGCCCATGTTTAGGAGACAGAACTTCACTTTCATTGTAAGGAAATTCTGAGAGAGAAAGCACCTGTACACCTTCATGATGAATAGCTCTTAGTAGCCCCTGTAAAACAGTAAAAACTGTTAAAAATCATGCAATCTGTTGTTCAGCATTTAAATCACAGCCAGTCATAGCTTGGTTACTATGCATAATTACAGACGCAAGCCTCTGGCAAGAGCCCTCTCCTACTCTTCCTCTTGCACAGCAGCATTTACTTTTTTTAACAAGTCACACTTTTGTGTTCTGTCATGTCAGAGGATGAGCTGAGGTTACATAGGGATGCGAAATGAAATTTAAAAAGGCCTTCTTTAGATATGTACATAGTAAAAGCTGAAGGAAAGAAATTGTGGTTCAACTATTCAGTGAGGACAGCAAAAAGGTAACCTGACCAAGAAAAGGCAGAAGTCTCAATTCTTACTTTGACTCAGTATGCTCCCAAAATAGGGCCTATGATCTACCTGGCAAAGGTGAAGTAGAAGCTGAAGAGGCAGCTTGAGACTGACATGTAAATAGTCAAGAAACACTTAAATATCCTGAATTAGTTCAGATCTTCAGAACTGCATCCTCCAATAATTAAGGAACATGGGATGAACACAGACTAGAAATAATCTTATTTCTTCATTTTTATTCTTTACTCACAAGGAGCTCCCTGAACCCTGTATGAGTAACCAAGGCAGCAACAAGGTTCATTGCTGCTTTGCCCTCCTGGGATAATCCATGATATGAGGAAGAAACCCTTTTAGAAACCTAACATTTCCTTTTTTAAGATCATGCAAGATGTGAGACAGTTCTGACTCTGCATGTGAGGTGAAGAGTCAGAACTAGTATGCTAAACTGGTTTTCAATAAACAAACAAATATGAAATATTTATAATGCTCTTGTTATCATAGGAATTTCACCACTAGCTTTTGCCTACAATTTCTGCCCCCCCCCCCCAATGTGCGTGTGTGAGGGGATGTGTATTAAAAATAAAGAATTGGAGCTGGGCAAAAAGAAAAATGTTTTTCATCCACTATACCCTGAAAAAAGAAAGATACCATTATTAGGATAATATATAGTTATTTATATAATGATTTGATTCAGTAAAGTGTTTTGTCTTGATTTTCTCCTCCCCTGACAAGAGTGCTTGTTTTTATGAATCCTGCCAGACAGAAATTTGCAAATCATTGATCAAAACAAACAAACCAACAGTTTGTCATAAAACTCTCAATGAATAAGCTGTCTATTTAAAAATTTAAACTCATGTTTAAGTAAATGGAAACAACAGCAATAAAACAGCAGAGTTTGAGTGGGACATGCATTTGGCTGAAACTTACTTCATCTAATGCACTTCTTTTCAGAACTAAGTCCTGTGATGGCTAGAAAATACTAAAGTCGGATTGAGGATCTGCCTTCAGCAATTTTCAGTGATTCCCACATGACTGTTCTTCTCATTAAGCAACCCAGTTCTCAGTGTAGAATTTAATGGGTCTGGAATGGTTGCTCTGGGGGGGCGGGGGTGGAGCTGGAGACAGGAAAGCCCACTTTCACCAGCTCATTTGCATGCACCTAAATCTGAATCCAGTCTACCGGGTATAGGATTGAAGCTTTTAGCTGAAGAGATTCAACATCATGCACATAGGGTGGAAAGTATGTGGGGAGATATGTAATCTGCTGAAACCTTTTGTAAAATGAAGGTAGATACTGCTAAAGGCAAAATTTACTGAACTAGGAAATTAATTCTAAGTAGATGGAAGTGTTTAGGGGATTCCTATTGCTGAAACAAATCAAGGGACCTCAAACCAACATTGAAGATGAGGTACCATTTCCAAAAAATTTTGAAAAGCTCCTTGTCCAAATTTATCTTATTTTATGCTTAACAATCTTAACAACTCTTATTTACCTTTATTTTCTTTGGAAGAAAATCTGTGGAAGTTCCACCTTCATCTTCTATACCTTCTGATATAGCATCTGATCCTTGGCCTGGTATAAGGTATCCTCCTTGGCTCCAATCTGAACTAGAGTCTAAAGTAAGTGACAAGTAGCTATTATGAATTTTGACAATGTTGAAAGTTAAATCAATTTATCCAACTTTCCCAATAACAGTGGAATAAAACTGTATGCAAATTGTACCTGTAGGAAATGTATATACATAAGTAGGGCTTCAATTCTGTTCTGGTACTAATAGGAACTCAGATATAAAGGGAAAAATATCTCTACAGAGTAAAGGTTTAAATGGAATCAGATATTGTCGTGCTTTGGTCCCACTGGAATCAATGTGGAAACAATGCTGAGACTTGACCTCAGTGAGAACCAGTATCAGTTTGGATTCAACCTATTAAAATCACAAGATAAGGATACTATAGAGTTTGTTTCTGGCTTTATTGATAACATCTGAAAAAGTCAGATACAAGCTTATAAAAGTAGAATATTGTTCCTCCACAAAAAAGTTTCAATATAGGATTTGGGAAGGTATTCTGTAAGGCACTGTCTGTAAGGTGTGGGCATGTGTAGATGTCTGAAGATCTATGTCACAGGATTATTTTTAGAACGACTGACCAAGTATACTTAAAAAACAGTGCTAGAAAAAGTATTTAAATGTGTACTGGTACTGTACTAGGGTGTAGGAGCTCACAGTTTATTTAGTTATTTGTTTCTCCTGCAATCTGAACAAGTTATTCTAAAAATAAACTTAATTGACAGGGTTCTTCTAGAAAATAAAAGGCAGCATTCTCTTACCACTAGAGCATCCATCTCTGGCATTAGAAGATTGTGCTATGTTGGAGATCCCCTAAAATTATGGGACAAAACATTATTTGAATGTTTAACATATGCTATAAAATAGGATTCCTGTTCTCAGAAACATCATATATGCTCATTTCTAGAAGCAGGAACACTTGGATCTGTACCAATTATGGACACACCTAGCAAAATGGTTTGGCATTCATCCCAATATATTGCCCTGGACTGTTGAACTGTCTACGAATTTGTCCTATACTGATGCAATCTCTTGCTTTAATTCATGTCTTGACCTAGGTGCCAAATTCTCTTACAGGATGCTCAATTCCAGCAGGGCTAAGGTACAGAGGGCAGAAACAGCAGATATGGTCAGATTAAAATTTTCACAGATTTGGAGATTTTCTCACCAAGCATACCAACCTCAGCTCAATTCTAAGCATGTCTACCAAGGAATAAGCACCAGAGTTCAATTCTATAAATTAATGGTATTAAATGATACCCTTAAATTCGTCCACCTAACTAGTTCTCCTAATAACCAATGGATTACATTAAAAGATTATAATATCATCAGAACAGTTAAAATGTAAGCACAATAGCAAAGGAATGGATAAAACAATCACAAAAATCAAGAATAAGTTCTCCAAATTATCCATGAGAAAAGTGACATTTTTGTCATCATAAAAAACAAAAACCAAAAACACACCATTGTATATATTTAATATATTAGACTTTTGATACCCAGCTGCTGCTCTCTCCAATCACCGCAGAATGGTCTGCAGAATATGCTTCAAGCCTAGATGCAGAACCTTCACTGATCATATGTGGTACAAAGGCCAGAAGTACTTTTTTAATGAAAAATGATGTATTGTAGTATTATACACATTGCATACCTCCTTATCTCTCAGGCTTTCTATGACATCTTTCAAAGCATTGCATTCTTCTGTTAACTCCTGCACTAGAATAAATTGTTCTCTTTTCAGTGCTTCTGATTCTGAGATATGCCGTGTCTCCATGTCCATTATTTCAGCAGCGTGTAGTTCCTGCATTTGTTCAATTTTTTCACTAAATTCTCTTATGATTTCTGCAACATCCTCTGAAGAAGACCCATTTTGTAAATCAATCTGGATTCCTTCATTTTTGACAGGCAGCTGTGAAGTTTGGTTGCAGCTATGGACATACAGTGCTTTTTCAGTCTGACATGATGCATTTGTTCTATTGGGACATATTCTCTCTGACTTTTCAATGTTCTTTTCCTTTCTGACATAATCTGCAATTTTTTCTTCTGCTTGAGCTAGCTTATCTTTGGTTTTCTGTAGTTCATCTTGAAGATGGAGCAGACTTGTTTCTTTTACCTGTACATTAATAAGAATTGCAGATTCTTCAAATGGCTTTTTCACAGCAGCAAGGGGAAAACATGGTAATAATTTAGAGTCTTATTAATTATACTAGTGCTTTCCAAACATTTTGAAGTGCCACCCACTTGTAAACTAACCTTCCAGAACCTGCTTTATAAACTAACTCTTACTTTCAAGGCCTATTTTTCCTCTCCATAATGGACACAACAGGAATATCACATCAGCAATTAACACTGAACAAGGTTTTTAATATTAATATTGGCATATATAGGCAATAAGAATATGAATAAAATTTAGCCATGATATATAGGGTGGACAGGAATCTTGTCTCTGCCTTCAGTTATATGCTGCCTTAAGTCAACATGTCAACAGCCACTCTTAAGTTCCCAGGGCCTACAATTTAGATTCCACAATGGATCTAGTTCAGATAGAAGCCAAAATACTCCATCCAGTCACAGCTATACTGAGTTACTTCATTGGATTTTACCTGAAATATACTGCACATTCTCTACCACATATGTTTCTTTATTTCTTGAACCTCAATATCACACTCAAGCTCAACATAGCACCAGTGAGACTTTTACAGGCTTGATAGTAACACCTATCAAAGCATTTGGGTTAGGATTTCTGCCTAGTTTTGAAAATTAAAAAAATGCCAGACAGATACTGTAATTGGCAGCTTTTCATTGTGCAATGAAAAATTCCTCAGGGAAAAAGTACTAGACATCTGAAAACATTGCAATAGCCTGGCAGGTTATATACATGGTTATCCACTATGACTTTTACCAAGGCAATCAAATCTACACATATTTACCTAATGCATGAATATGTTACTCATCAACCAAAGGACTCCTACCATTTATAAAAACACTACAAGAAATCTTTGATGCAAATTAAAATAAACATGGTACGCCTTAGTTCTTACCATTAATTGTTCCTTAAATTTATCTGCCTTTTCTCTATAACTATTAAGCTCTTCCTTGGCGGCAGCAGATTCAGCTCTGACTCTCTCTAGTTCTGGATCAGCAGTCATTGCATGTATTTGTTCATTTTCATTCAGCTCTATTCCCACCTGTATTTACAAATACCAAAAAAGGTTAACTTGTGTAACCCATTTCTTAGTTAATATTAGCCCACAGTCCACATGAAAAAGATTTTAAGGGAGAAATCCTGTAAATACCTGGAGTGCAATCATTACCAAGCTCAATGGGGCTTGCTGCCATTTATACATATATAGGACTGAGCTGCAAGTGACAGAAGCGGTGAGACGTTTAAGCAGTTCAATTAGTTCACTGCTCAAAGAAATTGGATATCAATATACAACAAAGATGATGAAATTTTCAAGTTAATTAGCTTCTGAAGCTTAACATGTAGGCATTTAAGACATGATATAAGGAATGACTATTTTTGTCCTGGCTCATTAGTGGTAGGAAAGATGTGCACTAAGAGCAGCATGGAATTGTATAATATGTGGAAATGAAATCTATGATCTTGCAGAATTTAAAAAAGTTTTTTGGCCATCATTCATTTCAAACTCAGAAACCGAGTATGCATGACCAACCAATAATAACAGTCAACGTTTGGTTGCTGTGTTCTGCAAACCCAGCACGGATTACAAAGTATGGGTAGGGTTTTCTTTTTACCTGCAAACTACTACAGTAAGAACCTACAGACTAGCCTTGTTTCTGTCTAAACCACTACAGGCTGCTGTGTCATCCAAAGCAGGACATGACCCACTGTGGGTTAAGTCCAATAAGAAGCGAACCACTTTGCTGAGCCATTTTCAGCTCACTACAGCTATGTTTACTCTTTTTTTTCCTTTCAAGATCACAAAAGCTAGCTACCCAGCTGAGAGGTCTTTGAAGTGGGAATCTGCTCCAGTTCTCAATGTCTCCCAGGTAGTAGCATTTTTCTTCCCCAGACCTGGAAGAGGCATTGCAACCACCCTATTTATAACTAAGTAAGAATGGATTACAATCTGAGATGAACTATGAGAGGCTTGCAAGGCCAGGGAGAAAAAACTATGAGAGGCTTGCAAGGCTGGGGCGGAGGCAGGGGGAGACTTACTGGGTGTGCTCAGCTGCACTCTATACTACTGACCCAGGCTCCCCCTGCACTATCCCTCTTGTGCTGATTTTCATGAATCAGGACGGTTGGGAAAATAATGAGTACGGTTATTTGCACACATTAGTCCTCTCCCCATAAAAAGGTGTGTGAATCAAGCATCTGTCTCAGGATACTGGTGGGATAGCTTTGGGAGAGAGCAGCTTGAAATTGTTCAAAAAAGGATTTCAAAAACCAGCTGGATAACTGGCTTTCACAATTTCCAAGACAAGGGGAAGGAGATGGAGGGGAAAGGAGGTATAATGAGCTGAAAGCAACTCAGTTTTGCAGCTGAGCCAAAGAAGTTATCCTGTGTTGTCTCTTAGGATGCTTTCTGGAAAAAAACAAGGGGAGAGGAGGGGGAGGAAGGAACAAAAGCACTATGATGAACCAAACTGTATGTCAGGTACACTGTAGGTACTTTTCATAAAAACCAACCCATTACGGTAAATCACTCTCATGCATTGTTGTGACATGCAAACCTTCTTGCAGTAAAATATTTCCAATGCTGTTTCTAGCACTGTAAACCCAAACAATCCAGTCGCAAAGGTGAACTTTTGTTACTTATAATTGCTACCACAAAGCACCATTTCCTATCTGTGTCAGTAAAAGACAGAACATTAGCTATTCAAAAGTAATGACCTGATCTTTTAATGTAACTGTTTTACTAAAAGATGACTGTAGACTACTCTTGGATCACTCAGTCCTTCCAGGATCTGTGTTGTAACATTAAATAATTACACCAAACAATGAGGAAAAGGTTTCTCAGACGTCCACCAGACCCCTAGGCTTGAAATGAAGCTGCACTGGTGACAGTATCAGACAACAGAAGTATGTAGTAATGTTATCCCCTTCATGGGTCACTGCCTTGTTGTGGAGAAGGGGCTTGTGTAGTTCAATGAAGCTATGAGCTATGCTATGCAGGGCCACCCAAGACGGACAGGTCATAGAGGGTTCTGACAAAACGTGATCCACTGGAGAAGGAAATGGCAACCCACTCCTGTATCTTTGCCATGAAAACCCCATGGACAGTACCAAAAGGCAAAAAGATATGACGCCAGAAGATGAGCCCCTTCAGGTCAGGTGTCCAATATGCTACTGGGGAAGAGCAGAGGGCTAGTACTAGTAGACCAGAAAGAATGAAGCGACTGGGTCAAAGCCGAAAGGACACTCAGTTGCTGATGTATCTGGTGGTGAAAGGAAAGTCCCATGCTGCAAAGATCTATACTTCATAGGAACCTGGAATGTAAGATCTATGAATCAAGGCAAGCTGGATGTGGTCAAACAAGAGATGACAAGACTGAACAACGACATCTAAGGAATCAGTGAACTAAAATGGACAGGAATGGGTGAATTTAATTCAGATGACCAGTATACTACTGCGGGCAAGAATCCCTCAAAAGAAATGGAGTAGCCTTCATAGTCAATAAAAGAGCAGGAAAAGCAGTACTGGGATACAATCTCCAAAATGACAGAAAGATCTCAGTTCGAATCCAAGGCAAACCATTCAACATCACAATAGTCCAAGTCTATGCCCCAACCACTGGTGCTGAAGAGGCTGCAGTTGACTAGTTCTATGAAGGCCTACAACACCTTCTAGAATTAACTCCAAAAATGATGTTCTTATCATCATGGGGTATTGGAATGCTTAAGTAGGAAACCAAAAGATAAATGGAATAACAGGCAAGTTTGGCCTTGGAGTACAAAATGAAGCAGGGCACAGGCTGGTAGAATTGTGTCAAGAGAATACGATGGTCATAGCAAACACTCTTTTCCAACAACCCAAGAAACGACTCTACACATGGACATCACCAGACGGTCAACACAGAAATCAGATTGACTATGTGCTCTGCAGTCGAAGATGGAGAAGCTCTATATAGTCAGTAAAAACTAGACCAGGAGCTGACTGTGGCTCAGATCATGAACTTCTTGTTGCAAAATTTAGACTTAAATTGAAGAAAGTAGGGAAAAGCACTAGGCCACTCAGGTATGACCTAAATCATATCCCTGATGAATATACAGTAGAGGAGACAGATTTAAGGAATTAGATCTGATAGACTGAGTGCCTGAAGAACTTTGGATGGAGGTTCACAACATTGTACAAGATGTAGCAACTAAAACCATCCCAAAGAAAAAGAAATGCAAGAAAGCAAAATGGCTCTATGAGGAAGCTTTACAAATAGCTGAGGAAAGGAAACGAAAGGCAAGGGAGAAAGAGAAAGATACACCCAATTGAATGCAGAATTCCAGAGAACAGCTAGAAGAGATAAGAAGGCCTTCTTAAATGAACAGTGCAAAGCAATAGAAGAAAATAATAGAACAGGGAAGACCAGGAAAACTGGAGGTATGAAGAGAATGTTTCATGCAAAGATGGGCATGATAAAGGACCAAAATGGCAGGGACCTAACAGAGGCAGAAGAGATTAAGAAGAGGTGGCAAGATTACACAGAAGAACTATACAAGAAAGAGCTTAACATCCCTGATAACCACGATAGGGTGGTCACTGACCTTGAGCCAGACATCCTGGAATGTGAAGTCAAATGGGCCTTAGGAAGTCTGAGCAACAACAAAGCTGGTGGAGGCGACAGCATTCCAGCTGAGCTATTCAAAATCCTAAAAGATGATGCAGTAAAAGTGCTACACTCAATATGCCAGCAAATTTGGAAAACTCAACAGTGGCCACAGGATTGGAAAAGGTCAGTTTACATTCCGATCCCAAAGAAGGGCAATGCCAATGTTCAAACTACCGCACCATTGCACTCATTTCACATGCTAGCAAAGTTATGCTCAATATCCTATAAACTAGGCTCCCGCAGTTTGTGGACCAAGAACTACCAGAAGTACAGGCAGGATTTCAACGAGGGAGAGGAACTAGAAATTAAATTGCCAACATACACTGGATCATGGAGAAAGTTAGGGAGTTCCAGAAGAACATCTACTTCTGCTTCATTGACGATGCTAAAGCCTTTGATTGTGTGGATCACAACAAATTGTGGTAAGTTCTAAAAGAGGTGGGAGTACCAGACCATCTTATTTGTCTCTTGAGAAACCTATATGCGGGTCAAGAAGCAACAGTGAGAACTGGACACGGAACCACTGATTGATTCAAAACTGAGAAAGGAGTTCGGCAAGGCTGTATACTGTCACCCTGCCTATTTAACTTATATACGGAGTACATCATGAGAAAGGCATGGCTAGATGAATCACCAGTTGTAATTAAGATTGCCGGAAGAAATATCAACAACCTCAGATATGCAGATGATACCACCCTCATGGCAGCAAGTGAAGAGGAACTAAAGAGCCTCTTGACGCAAGTGAAGGAGGAGAGCGCACAAGCTGACTTGAAACTCAACATTAAGAAAACCAAGATCATGGCATCCAGTCCTCTCACTTCCTGGCAAATAGATGGTGAAGAAATGGAGGTAGTGACAGATTTTATTTTCCTGGGCTCCAAGTTCACAGCAGATGGGGACTGCAGCCAAGAAATTAAAAGGCGCTTGCTCCTTGGGAGGAAAGCTATGGCAAATCTAGACAGCATACTAAAAAGCAGAGACATCACCCTGACAACGAAAGTGCATATACTCAAGGCTATGGTTTTCCCAGTTGCAATGTATAGCTGTGAAAGCTGGACCATAAGGAAGGCTGAGCGCCAAAGAATTGAGGCCTTTGAATTGTGGTACTGGAGAAGACTCCTGCAAGGCAATCAAACCAGTCAATCTTAAAGGAGATCAAACCTGACTGCTCTTTAGAAGGCCAGATACTGAAGATGAAACTCAAATACTTTGGCCACCTAATGAGAAGGAAGGCCTCACTGAAGAGCCTAATGCTGGGAACAGTTGAAGGAAAAAGAAGAAGGGGATGGCAGAGAATGAGGTGGCTAGATGGAGTCACTGAAGCAGTTGGTGTGAGCTTAAGTGGACTCCGGGGGATGGTGGAGGACAGGAAGGCCTGGAGGAATGTTGTCCATGGGCTTGCGATGGGTCAGACACGACTTTGTGACTAACAACAAGTAATGTTATTAACACAAATCTGGAAGACAATGAATGCTGATATTATAAAAATACTATTTTTAGTTTTTAGACTATTATAATAGGCTATAACATGTATGTTGGGATCCAAAGAGTCCCATGCACTCCATGCAGGCACTGGAAACAGCACTATATCTTGCTCCAGCCCCTTCCATTGTATTGAAGCTACCACAGAGGGTCCCTTCTCAGCAGCTGCATTTGAGGGCCACAGTGGTCATTCTAAAAGAGTCTTCAGAATCCTCAGTGCGCCTGGACAGATTCAGCACATGCCATTTTGAAAGGACCCTTCAGAATTTGAGACAGCTTGATGGGAAGGTTAGGTTAAGTTTGGATGCCAGTTCCATCCATTATATTCTGCAGTATGCTGATTTTTCGATTTAGGAGAGCCCTATTTCATTCAGAGTTAGTGAAAAATATCCTGTGCTTATTAAAACAAAACCAAAAACTGAACAGCTACTTTTTAGGCCCCACACACCTGAGAAGTTCATATTTTCGCTTGCTTTGAACTTTCTGTTCTTACCTTTTTATGCTTTTCTTCTGCTTCTGCCAACAGCCACTGAAGTTCAGCAAGTCTCTCTTCCTTTTCCTTTGTTTCTTTTTGTGCAGTTTCTACTTTTATTTTTTCTAGTTGCAGGTTATTCTGTGCATTTGCCAGCTGGCCTTCCATCTCTAAAAGCTTTTCCAATAACTCTGATAATCTAGATGTTGCATCTTCTCCAACTGTGCTATTTACTTTCTCCATTGTAACAGTTCTGATAACTTCCTTGGCATCTCCTAAAGTTGCCTGCATTTCTGGGAGAAATTTACTTAGCTCTAGAACCACATTCAGCTGAGCTTTATTCATAGGAGCTGCAGCAACCTTTTGCTTGAGGGTTTCTTCCAGTTCTATCATTTTCTGTTTAAACACTTCTGAGTCTTCTTGCGCTTGCTCTTTTAAAACCTTGAGCTCCTTGTAACATTGGGTTAGCTCTGAATCCTTTTCCTTAAGAGCTTTTTGAAGCTGCTGCAACTTTGTATCTACATTATCCGAACCTTCTTTGACATTTTCACCCATGTAACCAAGTGGGATTTCATCTTTTAACATTTCCATTTTCTTCCAATCTACAGCTCCAAGATTTTCATTTACCTTCACTCCTATTTCTGCCATATAACCTCTTCTCTGTATATCTTCATGTTTTTTCCCCATTCTTCCATGATCTTTCCTCAGTGCATCTACTTCTGTCTCTAACTTGCTTATTTTTAGTTTCGTCTCTTCCAGTTCGCTCTTTGCAAGAGATAACTTGACATCATTATTTTCCACTTGCTTCATCAAGGATTCATTTTCTGCTAACACTATATCAAGCTGGTGTTTTAAGTTATCTGCATCCTCCTGAGTCAGTGAAAGATCCAAAGGAATCTTGTGCTCAATATTTGCCAGTTCCTGCTGGAGTTTTTCAATAACTTCATTCAGCTGTTCTATTTCCTGCTCACTATTTTGCTTTACACGTTCTTGATCACCTCTTAAATATTCTATTTGGGCTTCCAGTTCTGTTATGTGCTCATTTTTTTCTTCAATCACCTATGTGATCAAATAAATAATAAAAAATTACTGAAAGATTTATAATTATGCAATTTATGCCAACAACATTTTTAGTTCATTATCTTTTGTATTCCTAGTATCATTTTCTTAAAATAACCTATAGCTATATTGCTTTCAAATAGGTTATGAAGTAATCTATAATGACTTCAAGAATCCAGAACTGGATAGTCTTTGATCTGACCCCGTAAAATGCTTTGTTTTTGCCTTCTCAGCAAAAAGATATAAAATCATTAATCAGCAACCTAAACAATCAGCATCCTGCCATTATGCTTAAAACGAAATGTAACAGATGAGCCAGAAAGCGCTCCCCTAGGAATTACACATCACCTGACAAATGGCATTGGAATGTAATCCACCATATAAGTATCATCCAGAAACAATACATTTAAATTAACATTCTGTTACAAAAATTCAGATACCTACATCCCAAATCACCCTGATAACCTACAGCAGAATCATGGCTGAAATTGCATATGGTGTGTGTAAATTATATACCACTAGGCAGCAATTACAGGCTCCCACTGATAACCCTCATCAAAAAGTGGAATCTATGAGAATTCTATTTTGAAAACTAGGGAGCAGTTCCTAAACACAATCGTCTCTGTTCAAAACACTTCTTTAACATCTTAGATTGTTCATCAATGTAAAGGGAGGGTCTTGCAAAAGACTTAACCCCCCCCCCCGCATACTTTGTTATTTGTTGTAATTTCAAGTTTCTGATGCAGTTTTGAAATCTGTTCATGGAGTTCATGTAATTCTTGTTCCTTGTTCTGTATAATGTGTAAAAACTTTCCAGCAACTGGATGATGACTCTTTATAGAAGTATCTTCAGGATGCTGCATAGCTAGTTCCAGTTTTTCCATATCCTCCTGCAGACAAAAAAGAACAGCACAGAATGACATTTGTGCTTCACTTTCTAATTCTTTTTCGTTGACCAGATGAGTATGACAAGATTTATGAATGTACTTCTAGAAATAAAAGAAGCAGGGATGTATCAGAAGTTTAAAATCTCATGATTTGCAGGGGAAAATGGGGAAAATGAAGGAAAACACAAATTTCCCTTCCAAATCATTACCTTGAAGAATTTATTCTCTTGCTCAAGTTCTTGTAGTTGGGTAGTGGATTCTTTTCGTTGGATTTCTAATTGCATATGCAACTGTTGTACTTCTTCATTTTTGTTTTCTAGTTCCTCACGGAACTGCTCTAACTGTTCTTCAAGATTTATGATCTGTATATCCAAAATAAGTGGCAAGGGATACTTTCTTTTAAATAAGCAAAATAAACTGTTGTTCACCAGAACTAGGACCAAAATTATTTTCAGAAATAAAATTCTGCATTTAATGTCTAGCTTTAAATATTACAAAAATCCACCCAAATTTACAATGAATCTGAAAAAGTAAGGGAGTATGTATGAATTTGTTCTACTCCTTCATTCTTAGCCCAAGGAGGAAGAGATGTAGTACCAGGTATTCAGTGCATGTTGACATTCAGACAGTTAATGCCAGGACAAGTAGAGGTGAAGAAGTCATATATTTGGGGGTGCTGCATTTCATCACCAGCTAGGTCACAGTGTTCCTTGCAAATGCTGAGAGTCTGTCTGCTACTAGCTACTGAACCTGACCTTGAAACATTTGGCTCAAATCTATCCATTGGGGATAAGTGACCAACAAGAAAATCATACATTTTCTTGGCTTCAGAGAAGGACAACAGTGGGGGTAAAGAGTGAGCATTCTAGCAGTATATGAACAACATGGGTAGAAAAAGTCAGAGACCACTGCTTGCCTCCACAACATTATGGAAACTAGCAGCTAATGCTGATGTTCTGCTTCAGACACTATTACAGAAGACTATCAAAATGCAGTTCTCTGTTTGGCAGAGACCAAACAGGGCTGTGAACACATCTGAGAAACTGTCCTCACACCACTACCAAATGGCTGCCATGGGAAGTATAGCAAAGGACAAATGATTGATTAGAAAACGGAAGTCGGTTTTCAGCTCCAACACACTGCATGACTCTTTTGAACCCACAGTTTTTAAATACCAAAAGAAAACTATTTCAAACCATTTAAAATGTAGTGTTTTTTTTAAATGGAAGGGTTAGGGCACCATTGTAGTCAAGAAAAGTGTCCAGAGCTGCAGTAATATAGGCCTAAAAAGGTGCCTAGTATAATCTTAAAAAACAACATGCCCTTCAAGAAAGTGTGGACGGCTGTACATCTGTTGTGGAAGTCAGTGTTGGAGTACTGAAATGAAAACTGTCTTAGGATGACGTTCTGTAATTGCTAGGCCTGGTGGATGGGTCTGATGGGAGTATTGGTGAAGCTGGAAAAGCCATAGGCTTTGTACCACCAGTGGTGCTTTAAAGTTGGTAGGGACATAAGTTTTCCAAGTGGCAAGTGTGAAAGATAATCTGTAACCCTTAGGGGATAAAGATATCTATTCCAGCCATGTGGTTGTGGGGTATACCCCCAGGGCAGCAAAACACAGCTTTCATCAGTGGGTTAATACATGGGTTAGCTTAAATATAAACAATATCTATGCATTATCATGCCCTGTCTTTTCCTTTGGGTTGCCACGCTTTTGATAGCCATGCATTTGTAATAGATGTGATGCTTTTATTCATCTCAGGCAGGCCTATGGCATTGCCCAAGGAGAATCTCCTCTTATAGGCTTAACATGCCTGTCCAGGCCCTATATCAGATAGGTAGAAGGAAGCCAGATTCATATAATAAAGCTACATGACTCTAGGCTGATCTCTTTGTACTGTGCATCATATTATGTTGAATTCAAAAGACTTACACACAATATTAAAAGTATCTGAATCACTGAAAGGAATACTCTACCTCCTTTTCTTTCCTGTCTACGGCTTCTTGCTCAGCCTGCAGCTGTGCTTCTAGGGGTAATTCTCCCCTTATTGTTGTTGAGCCAAATTGCTTTCTTTCCTCCACCTTTAAAATAAGTAAATTGCTATCACGCTTCTTTAATTCACAATTTTTCAATTACTAAATAAAACAATGCTGTGCCGATAATGAATTAAGACATTAATATTGTCCACATTAAAATACCTTTTGTAAACTGTCTGCACTGATCATTAAAGCTTGTTCCAGTTCTCTGATTCTGCACTCTAATTTCTCAATTTCTTCATTCCGTTCTTGCACATCTCTCTGAAGTTGCTCCTTAGAGAGCAAAAGCTCACTGCATCTGTCTGTTTTTTCTTTGAGGTGATTTGTTAATTGTTCAACCTGGTGACAATAGGCAGGAATGGTATTTCAAATCTCTTTAAGTTTAGATATGAGAGATGATAAACCTTTTCAATGGTTTTTGAAAGTATACTCTAATGTAGGCCATACACTTAAATACAAATTTACTATGAAAGCTAGTGAAGTTAAATTGAGTGGAAGAGAAAGAGGAATGAGGAAACAAGAAGAAAGTGTCAATGTCTGATGTAACCAAAAGAAAATACTCAGAAAATAAAGGCAATAAAGCTGGAAGAAGCAGAATAGCATGTTGGAAGGAAAAAGAAGAAATTGGCTGCCACCATATTAAGATGGTAAATTCAGTTTTAATGGAACTAGAAATTTTGGCTAAAATAAATAGATTGAATTCGCTCAGAAGAGGAAAAACAGATCATAAAACACTTCTCTGTAGAACATTTATGGAGAGCTTCCAGTACAAACTGCATAAACAGAAATTACCTGAAGGCTCAACCCTGCAAAATTAAATAGGATGCTATTTCACAAACATACATTAAAACATTAACAAAAGAGTGAGTTATAAAGCTCTAACAAATTTGCTAGGCCTTAAATTTTTTTGGCATAACCTAGAATACACTTCAGATGCACAAAGTCTTATCCTCAGCCAGCAGTTTATATATTGACTGATGGAAAGATATAAAGGAGTGAGGGAAGGATCCACACTAGACTCTGAAAGCCATGAATTCTTGCTGTTATAAATGGCCATATATGCTGAGCTTTGTACAGAAATGTCACATCCTGTATCTATCATATCACTTCATGGTTTGTACTACCAGCCCCCATTCATATGTGCAAATATATGGCATCAACTATGGATTCGTACATCTTATGAAATGGGCTCTAGTTCACAAACTAGAGCCCATTTCATTTTTAGTTTCAATAAAAATATAAAAAGCTTCAGGGCATCATGAAATTTGAAACATGGCCATCCCTCTGAATTTGTCTAAAATGAAAATCATGTCAGCTATGTCATACAGAAAAGTATTGGCCATATTAAGACAGAAAGAGAGAGGGAGGGAGGGAAGAAAACCATATAAGGGTTAAGAAATATATATACACTTTAGTAAATACACTGCCCTTTCCTTACCCATCTTCAGTAAGGACACCTACAGTTTTATGTAATGGCATGTAATTTTTCCAGAAAAAGCACTTCTTTCTTATTGAAGTCCATTTTTTTCCATAGAAGCCAATATAATTGCTTACTTCTCTATAGTAAGCTTTAATAATTTCTTCAGTTATATAGGTACTACTTTACAAAAATTACTGGGCAACATTTTGCACAACTGCACCTTACTATGTCTTATAAAGTACTTTATCAAATTATGGCTCCAATCAAAAATCTAAAATCAATTATCTGTTACTTCTGCAAGCATTAGATGTTTTGTTGGGGGTTTAGTGTCTAACCATTTCAATATAACAGCAAGCTTTACTGGGAGCAATTTAACTTTCAGTGACAGAACGGAATATCTTGGTTAGCAGATTCCAAAGAGCTCTTTTAGGCAAGTCAAAAGGCTTCTAGCATCACATTTTACTTTGTACTCTATTCCTTCACTGCCTCTGCTCCAATCTGCAAACTGAGTTTCCAACTACTTTGATTTGGAAAAGTAGTTGGATGTATAAATTAAAAATTCCATGAGGCAAACTTTCTGTGGACTGTGGCCATTGGTTCTAAAAAACCATGCTAGTTAGCAGGCAATAGAGCTGCACATAAATATAAAGAAAATGTTTAAAATAGTGTGCAGCCCAACTGTATGCACATCTATTTGGAAGCAAGTCAATTTTGTTCAACAGAATTTACTTCTGAGTAAGTGTATAAAGGACTGCAGACATTAGCTTATTCCAAAATTTATTTCTCTGGTTTGTTAACCACATTAAGACAGGGTCCTATAATTCAGATATAATGGGAACCTATAGCTTAATATAAGCAAGGTTATTTTAGCCAAAGCTAGCATGTAATGGGAGTGGGTAAGGATGCAGAAGCCTCATATGGTCAAGGTGGTTATTCTTGGTTTCATAAGCCTTGGATGATTATCCGAATGCAGGCAGCGACCTAGTTGACATGGCGATTTCTGCACTGTTTAACACAGGAGTTACCAGAGACTAGTGGAGTCCATGAGCCATGTATGCACTATGGCCAATTGTTGGGTTAACTCTGGCTTCAGGTTTGGATATCCTGAAACAACTGAAGTACAGGCCATTCTTAGGCTTTTAACTGAAATCACGAATGGCTCATGCATTCCAGCAACTCCTGAGTTAAACCAGTTGGGTATTGCTATCAAGACATGTGAACTGCATCGATATTAAGTCTGGTTTTTTTCTAGCATTACCAAAATTTTCAACAGAAATACTCGTGCCTTTTTTAAAAATCCATTTCTTACCTCTTTGTTTTGCTGTTCACTGATGGGCTGAAACCTTTGTGGAATTTTAAGCTGTTGCTCAAGTTTTTGTATCTCTTGTTGGAACACATCTCTCTCATGCTCCCTATCAATTGCCTGTTCCTGAAATGTAAACCATTACATTTCTTACAGCAAATATTTAAACAAACTGTAAAATTAATGAAAGCTATCATGCTTTAGTTTTATTATTAGATATCTGTTACGGATAGATAGCAAACAGCACTGTGATGTGTCAGGTCTAAGCATAAAGTATTATATTTATTATATATTACAGAAGTAGCTTCTCACAGCACAGTTAGAATTTTATGCTAGCTGCCCAAAACATGTCTCCAAAACTTCTAATATATCCTGGGGCCTGGGGGGGGGGGGCTTCCGCCCACTCCATGACACTGAGCTATAGAAATGTCTTCCAATCTAGGCCTTGTGCTAAATGGCAGAGCCTCCCACCCATTGCCCACATGTGTGAAGCTCAGAGACCACAAGAAGAACACAGATATTTAGCACACCTGTTCTTGTCTGCATATTTATGGCAGAGCTGATGCTTGATATATTTATAAACAAATAAATACAAATGCACAAATGTATTGCATCTGGCATGCAAATATATTTCAAAAATTGCAAACATCCAACAAAAGTAGAATAGTCATCAATTATTTTTTAGGCCTTTTATATTGTTCAGCTGGTTAGAGTACTGACCAGAATTTCTGGTTCTACTGCAACCAGAAACCAGGAGACAAATCAAATTAGTTACTTCAATAAATACATAAATGCAGCCAACTTCAGCATTATGTCAGAAAAAATTACATCTCTGTAAAATTGTAAGTTATCCTCCAACATATTTGTAAGATTACAAATTACTTTTCAGAAGGTATTGGGGGCAATTTCATGCTCTCCCAAAGTAGGTTTATAAGGCCAGATATAATTTTTGTCTATTATTTTGTCTAGATTTGTCACATTTTACAGAAAATAATTTCTAAATGCATAGTTTTAATTACAGACTTATCTCTCTCGTTTCAGTTGACCAGATAAATTTGCAACCAATCTCATACTTACATCCAGAAATTTTTTGGTTTTCTCAAGCTGTTTCTCCAGAGCTTGGTTCTGCTGCCTTAGATCCATTAGTTCTGCATTCTTTTCTTGTTCTAGTTCCAAAAACCGGTTGACCTGCTCCTCTATATCAGTTTCCAGTGCCTTCACCTGCTTCTGAAGGCAGTGATATTCTTTTTCAGCTTGCCGCTGTACTTCTATTTTTTCTTTCATTAGTTTCTCTGTTTCTGCCAACAGCTCTGTTTTATAAAGGCATCCATTGTTTTAGATTTATTTACTTATTTACATACCGCCAAATAGATGGTAAGGAATCTGAACAGGTTACAAAAGTACATAAAAACAATACAATAGAACACCTAGCTATCTTCACCTATCAGAGCAAACCTACTCCCAAGACTGTATAGTCATGTAAAAATGGATGGAAATAGGTCTGGATTTTTCCCAGAATAATGTAGTATCTCTCAATAAAAAGGGGGAGATGCCACAAAAGTAATACAACTGCAAGAAAAAAAGGCCAAAATACTCTTAGCTTTCTTTACCAAACACACTGAATTAATTGGTTAATTATCTATAGATCATCCTTACAGACAGCAAGTACATACACATTTACTGAACACTGCGGATAAAGCATTAAATTTCAATTTATTTCTCATCCAATGGACTGATCTAAGTCAACAAAAATTTTCCAACAAATGGCAGCTTTTAATGTAAAAATATGTTAGACCTTCACCTGGTGAATTACAATTAGAACCCTACTTGCAACTAATTTTGTCTTATGTCCCCTCTCTTCCAACTCCATTAAAAATATTCTTTCATGATTTGGGAAAAAGCTAGGGCTTACAGTAAAATGGGAGCTGCTACAGCAGGTCTCCTTCCCACACTACTCCAGTAAAATTAGATTCTTAAGATCATATTAAATGCTTCTGTGCCTATACCATTCCTCCTGCTAACTGTGGCTGCACTGATGGAAAAGAGGTGGAACAGAGGTGCACTGTGGTCTGTTCACCTGCAGTCCATTACCTGCAGCTTACACTACTGAAGCTGCAAATGGAGGGGCATGCTATGCCAAATCTCACATCATTGATGTGAGCATCTAATGCTAGGTACACAGCCACAAGAGATGCCAAAACATGGGATTTATAACATATTTCACTTGTAGCATATAAATATATGTTACAGTCATAAATCCATTATTGGCTTTAAATGATAACAATGGGTGATCAGAGTCTTTGTCATGTAAATGAAAGAAAAATGAAAGAAAGGTTACCCAGTAACATACATTTTTTTGGACTACATGAAACAAATCTTTGGGTACCATCATCTTACATCATGTTTGCTTGCTTAAACATCACATGTCAATACAGAAGTCATATCTGGCAAATGTGTAATCCACCAAACTATTTGTAGTTTTAAAACAAAGGGTACTGACTGAACTGATAAATCATTATGTGACTAAGATGATGGTTATTACTTGAGTCTGCTTTTAAAAGCACTTTACTAATATATAGTACTTAGAAATTGTGAGCTATTGTCATTAAAAAGAAAGTTGTGAGCATGAAATACAGTATTAAAGCTGCAGGCCAGTAAATGTTAATGTGAGTAAGGTGAAAGCCCAAAGAGATACCATGATTAGTAAGTGTCAGTATTAAATTTGCCACCCAACAAAAGATTGGCCATGCAATATACAAACACACCTGCTTGGGAAGCTGCATCGACTGCAGCATCTACTAGGCCTAGGAGAACAGAAAAAAACAAGAAGCAAAGTAATTCACATGCCATCTATAGTTTTCTCAAGATGTAATAAATACTACAGGAGAAAAATGAAGCTGAAGACAGAATGCAGAGTTCAGTGAAAATGCCTAATGATGTAAGAAATATGCCATTAATTTGTTAAGTATGACAGTTATACATTTTCCTATCATTTCAATGTGGAAAACATTTCTTTTTCTAGAAACTTTTGTGACCACCCACACACAGGTGTTCCGTTATAAATTCAGAATAACAAACCTGCTACCAAATAACAAGAAAATCAGATATTACTAATGCTTTTGTATACTACACTTGTTTAAAATAACTGAATTGTTTGCAATTGCCTTTTAAAATGGTTTCTTTGGCAATTTTTAAAAACTAACATTTTACATAGTATGTAAACCAGCCATTTAGCATACATTCTTATACAAACAGCTTTACAGTGCAATCCAATGTAAGACCTCGCAAAATCAATGGGACTTACTGTCAGGTAAGAATACAAAGGACTGCAGGCTTAGAATATAATTTCATCCTCATATTGTAAAAAGAATCAAAACATTAATTCGTTTTTATGAAGGCAAATACTGGTTGAGCAAAGAGTTAAAGACATCAGAAAGTGTTCTTTTCTTTCTGTCCACAAGTCATCCACCAGAAGACATATATACAACCTTGTGTGATTAATTTTTTAAGATGTTGCTTTCCATGCAGTTTCATTCTGAAAACATGGCTATATTAACACTGCTATGCAGAAATAAAATTTAGACTCATCCTATATAATCTTCACCAAATTTTGGCAAGCATCCAATGAACTGGCACTTTGTTTAGCATACGTCACATACGTATTTTCCTATAGACATGGAGACTTCACTGATCATAAATAAACGTATTATTTTTCCATTTTTACATTTGACCTAAATAGTTCAGTGGTTGTCTTGTGGTTACACTATTGAACTTAGGTAAGGGAATCCTTAGCTACCCTATCAAACTAACTGGGTGACTTCTGACAAATGTCATTAGTGAGACTAAATTATCTCACAAGGATATTATAATGTAAAACACTCTGAGTGTCATTGTCTTGCATCTATTTAACTAAGTCTGGGCAGAGTATCACACAATAATATCCTGGACAGATATCCAGGAATATCTAGTATTACATTCACTGGTTATAATAATCTATAATTGCATCTCTGTTGGCTGAAACTGCCTCCATTTCTAACAGGTCCAACTATATGAAACTACTGTTTGCTCCCAGCTTTTGCTTCTGATAACCAGGAAGGCTTGACTTGTATAATGTCTTCAACAAGGTAACCATCTCAGTCTTCCTGCTCTATTGTATAGAGTCAACCTGATGTGGTGGTGAAGAGTGCATGGCCATGACTCAGGAGATCTGGGTTCGAGTCCCCACTTAGCCATGGAGCGAACTGGGTGACTTTGGGCCAGCTGCAGACACTCAGCCCAACCTACCTGACAAGGTTGTTGTTGTGAGGATAAACTGAGAGCAGGAGGAGAATTATGTAAGCTGCCTTGATATCCTTGGAAGGAAAAAAGGCAGGGTATAATTATAATAAATACTGTATCCTTTTCTGGATACTAAAGGGCCAATTTCAGAGCTTTATTTGGGTATATGTATACATCCTCCTGTGTCAATAATAACTTTTTAGGAATTTAAGCCTTCAGTCATCAGGCTAGAGTTTGATTAATGCCATGCTGTACCTTGCTATAAAGAGAGATAGAGAGGATCCAAGATTTCTATTGTTTTTCATTCTTCTGGCATGAAATAAGCTATAAACATCTGCATGTTATGTTAAATAAAAGCAAGAATAGTGAGCCAGAAACAATGCTTTAATTGTTTATTTCTCCAACTGAAATCCTGTATTCTGTGTGTATTTTAATAGACTTATCTTCTTGGTAAAATAAACTGAAGCAACTTGTTATGACCTAGGGACATTCAATTAAAATCATATTTCTCAATGTCCTGTCAGCTAAGTTACCAAGAAATGATAAAGGAGTTCTCTAAGATCAGAAACTGGGTGGTTAGATTCCAGATTGGAAGCTGGCAGAGGTATAACTCAGTCCTCTGGTAGCATGTCTTAAGTGTAACATCCACTTCTGTATTAAAATTTTGATTGTTTGGTTAACAGAAGGTGACAGCTATTGTTTCTGTGTCTGCATTAAGGTGAATTCAGTCCCATCAATAAAGTTGGCTTAACTAAGCATGCATCCAATTAAGTAAAAATGGTCTTCCAAAAAACAAAACAAAACCTTTAGGGAGATTGCTCAGAAACTCCATTCCGCAGACAATAAGTTCCAGAAAAAATTCTAGCCTGAAGCTGATTGAGAATGCTACTAAGAGTAATTCAGATAAGTAAATTGTTACTACCTCATGCTACTCTGGCAAAATATGAAAAGAAAAGCAAGGTTGAGTGATTCCCTGTTTCCACTAAATATCAGTGGCTATACTGTGGCTTGTTAAAGAATTCCCCCATATGATATTATTTATGTCACCTGAAATACAAGGATTGCTCTCTGTGTAATCATCTGAAATTGTCTGTTCAAATGGTCTGGCACTCTAGTGTGCTGCACATTTTCTCTGCCTATAGAAAACTGATCAATCTTGACAATGTAGATCAGTTTTGAAAAGTCTGAAAGATCCTGTCTAACAAAGGGCAGCTACCCAGATGAACCGAAACCCCAATCCAACCCAAAACAGTACAGTACCACAAAAATGGATGAAAATCTACAGATAGTAACCGGCAAAATTAGACAGATGTCTTTGGAAGACTGGGAAATACATACGTTGTTCCACTGGTCCTGCATCAGCATTCATAGCATCCTTTTGCCTGAAGAGTAATTCCTTCTCTTCCTGAAGCTGCTGCCTCTCAGCCTCTAGTTCCTGTAATTTGTTACCTGTACAAAGTAGTTCTTGTTCAAGATGGTCAATTGCATCTGTTTTTTCCTGGATTTGCTTTTCCAGAAATGATTTTTCATCTGTATAGCTATCAATAAGATCTATAAGAAGAACAGAAATTCTTAAAATCAAGCCTGGTAAATTTCCAAGTAAATACTGAAATATTGAATCTAGATTTAGGGCCAAGAAAGAAAAAGATAGGAAGCTGGGGCAGTGCAACTCAGTAGCCCCAGCCCCTTTCCCCCTCCAAGACACAATGACACAGTCTTGGGGTGGAAGGAAGCTGGCACAGTTCTTTCTGTACAGGCTGAAAGCAAGTGGGGCAAGACAATGTGAGAAAAACATAGGAATGTGCCCCAAGTGATTTGTTTTACTGATCAGGGATCTTCCTTCTTAAAATTATGTATCAAAACGTCTTTGTCTTAGACAAAAGTATCAAGACAATCTTAGCATGGGTTCTATTAATCTGATTACTCTTCAAGATTTTTAATATACAGGTTTAATTTCCAGTTGTTTAATAGATTTTTTTCACTTTACTTGTTACAATACAAAAGTAATAACAGCCTTAATGACAATACTAAAAGATTTTGCCAAAAGTGATAAATGCATATGGTACAGATCAAAATGAGCTATATTTCAAAAACTCTTACAATGTGTGTTTCAAACATGGCTATGATAAATGCAACTTCAACAGTTTAATACATCATGGTTGTGTTAACCATTTAAAAAAAAAGCCTATGTTTTCTAATATAGAATTTAGTTCAGATTAGTTTGTTAATTAATTAATTAAAAGCTTTTCTATCTTGTCCCCTGCAGAACCTCTTGAGACTATATAGTATAGTGGAATCTGTATAAAATATTTCAGTTAGCCTTCACAAATTAAGCTGATTGTTTCATAGATGAACACAGTATGACACTTCAACGGTAGCAGTCTCTAAAAGTGTTTCTTAAGACTATAACATACAGATTTATAGACATAAAGACATTGCATCATACCAAAATGAACCAAAACTCAAAAGCCATTATAATCCAAATCTGGGCGAAAACACATTTGTTTAAGCCACAAGAACACATTTACCACAAGTACACATACGAGCTAAACATATGAAACACTGGTATCATTATTTGATCTTCTCCACACTGCGCTACAACTGATTTCCCCCGTTCTAAGGTAGAATTCATTTTAGTATTAGAAAAATTACACTCCAGTACTCAGCTGGGATCCAAATAATTACTTTAGGCATGCCCAAAGGCCTGCTTCAGCCCAGGGAATTTTTAAAAATCATTTGGACAGTTGATGCCCATGCTGTATCACAAACTTCCTTTTTAGTACCTTCAAGTTGCAATCCACTGTTTTTTGTTTTGCTGATGATAGTGGGAGGGTGGGGACTTAGGCTAAATGAATGGAACATGTACAGCTCACAGAACCCTTTTTGTCTGATTTTTAAAAAGCCTTTTAGACCATCAGAAAATTCAAAATTGCAATATAGGAGAAGAAAATTTGAGTTCTGATCCCTTCCTAGCATAAAGACTCTTTTCCAGGAAAAATCTACCAGTCACTAACAGTTGAACCACTACTCCAAATAAGAAAATACTGACCTGCCACAACACCTACTTTTAAATGAGCTAAGGCTACAGGGTGAACAGCTCTTTTTCCACCCAGACACACCCCACCCAAACTAAAACAAAGGCAAAAGCTTCCCTTAACTCCCTCTTTGATAGTTTTAGTGGTTTCAGGAGAGCACTCTACTTATGTATAGCAACTAGTCACTCCTGTTTGCTTTCGTTTGACTTAATCACATGAGTGAGCAACTGACGTACATGGGGGGAATGATGAGAATTTCAGGTGCTGTTCATGGATGCGGTTAAAGAGCCCTCTGCCTGGGTCACAGCTCAGGAAAAAGCTGCTAAGGCACGTAATGGAACAGGCCTATACATGTATAAAGGGCTAGAGCAAATGGTCTGCACAAGGATGCATGAAGCAGACTAAGATTTAGGCAACTATTGAAATTGCTTTGCTAACTTGAAGATATTTTCATAACATGGGATTTCTGCAAGCAATAAAAGCTTTGCCCAAGCAGAATGACAGTATTAAATACCACCCACAATTCCTCTTCGTATTTATATTCATTCCTGTATAAAAAACACTGGACTGTGAATACTGTACACTGCAAAGTTAGAGAATGTAACCAACTTTTCCTCCTCAAGCAGCAATTATACCCAAAATTTACCTGCATGCAGATTAACACAGCAGACTGTAATGCAGTACACTTGTTCTAGATTGAGACCATCATATAAAAAGCAAACTGCAGAAATCACAGATGTGATTGTGGCATTTTTAGTGAATTACCACTGGAAAAGCAGGAAAAAATGCACTACTCTTGTAAATTATGCATGTACTTTACAACTGTAGCCAGTGACAGTGCTTAAAATGTATGGAGATCTTTTAGTTATGTCAGAACAGAGGGTATCATTTCTTCATGGAAAATTTGCAGAAATAATATATTGGAACAGTAATGTAGTCATTGTGGCTTTATTCTGTCTTTTGGACAAATCGACTTGTTATAATGTTTACAATAATCAAAACCGAGTTACAGAGGTGTGCACTGCTGTAATGGCAGACATGCTGTACTTAGGAAGTAGCAATTTATAATTTTTGCTGATCTTAAGGTCAAAATAAATAAATAAATAAATAAATAAATAAATAAATAAATTCCAATAGATTTTACCAAGATCAGCTTTATGTCTCGGTCTGATAACATTGCTGATGCTACCTTAAGTAACTTTATTTCAGCAGCACAAATGAAATTGTAATAGTTGAAACTACGTTCCACACAATGCATAAGAGAAGAATCCAAATAAACTTACATTTGGGAAAGTGTGGTTGTACAAATGATTGTGTATTACACTTGTGCAACTTCTTAATTAGGATGGTAATACACAACCACATCTAAACATGTACAAGATTGTGCCCTTATAGCAAACCCTATACATCTAGTGTTGTAAGCCGCCCCGAGGCTTCGGTGAATGGGGCGGCATAAAAATGTTTTAATAAATAAATAAATAAAATATTTGCCTCTCCTCCAAAAGTCGTACTAAATTCAACTGAACTTATTCCTTAAAGAATATATTTGGATTTCAGCCTTCTTATGGCGTTTGTCTGAACTAATGAAAATACCCTTATTGCTATTGCCCAACACAACACAAAATACTTTCAAAGACAATTCAACAAATTCAAAATGTTTAAGAAATGACAACTGTTCAAGAAAAATACAGTTGTTTACACATGAAAATAATTTATTTTGGGTGGAATACAACGTAAGAACCTAGTTTTAGATTTGACAGAATCAATTAAATGGCAATATGTAGCATTTTAAAAGGAGGGTATATATGAACAAGCTTATGGATCATTCAATGCAGTGTGGGTCTTCTGATTTCAAAACTAAGTATGCATTCACCCATGACCCAATCCCCTGCTGACTCATTCAAAAGTTTGCAATCACGTGAGGGGATTTTTTTACAAGGCTAACATGTGTTTGAAAAATGACTTAGGTTATAATATGTCTGCTTCGTAACTAGATTTAATGCAGTTGTGTGAAGTTAACTTTGGTTCCTGCTCTTCTGCTTTTCATTGTATGCCTTCTGGGAGAATTTTTTCCCCCCAAAAATAATCTGAGCATTTGATTCTACAGCATCTACTGAAAGAATATGTACAACAGGTGGTAGGATGTCAGTTACTATAGAAACCTGTTATACAGGTTTCATATTCTGAATTATGTACACAGTCTGATGTTATGAGAACAGAGCGCATTACTTATTTCACATGGTTCTGAATCCTTTAATCTTAAAATTTACAGTTCATACAGTGGCATGCAAATTGAAATTAAAGCTGGTAGAATACTCTATAAAAACTTGTCAGGGTAGAACTAACCATTAAAATCCTCATTGTGCAGCTTCCTCTAGCCAAAAGAAAAAAGAAAAAGAATAGAAAAAAAGAAGAAAAAACTTGAGTGAATGCTGCTAACCATTATAGGAACACAGGAATGATACTGATGGTCTTTCAAGGAAAAAAAAAACCTCATCTTAGCTTACTTTGAAGTGCAGTTAAGGAGAAAGAGGTTACCTGGTCACTGATATTTTTCTTCCACTTAACAATGTTAACAATGTTAGTATTTCCCCCTAACCTTTTGGACAAGACATTCAGTTATGCAAATTGTTCTTCATTTCTGCTCTCTGTCTCTCTCATTACAGCTGCATTTCTTTCTTTCAAAGTGATTTTGCATTAATTTCCTTTTCTATTTACTTGCAACCTCCTTTTCTCTATCACTGAAAAAAAGGATAATTCATCCATAACTAACTGAAATTTTGTTAAGAATACAGGTGAATACCAAAGTTGTTGCTTTTTAATCTGTTATGCTGATATACATTCTAACAAAAGGAAGAGAATTAATCTGTAATGGTGTAAAGACTTATATAGCAGACGAATCATTACTCACTCTCTGCTTTGCTGAGTTCCAATGCCAACTGCTCTCTAACTTTAACCTCTTCATCAAATCGCTCTTGTAATTCTTCCTGACTTTTGAGTAATTCAGTGACTTCTTGCTCCTGTTTAAAGGACTCTCGCATCAATTCTGTCTGTGCAACTTTTGCATGTTTGAGCTATGGGATTAAGAGAATTTTAAAAGTTAAAATACTATTTTTTTAGTATTTAAAATTTAAATACTAAAAGTTTTAAGTGCATTTTAAAAGTTTTTATGTTGTAAAAAATAAATAAGGTTTATAAGCCTTTTCAATTACATTCAAGGCTGTTAGATCAGAACTTTATTGCTCCCACATAATGTGGTTAACAAGATAAGCAAATAATTGCTCAATGCAATACAATGAATCACACTGTCACATGACTATATCCGTGTCCAAGTACCGGAACATGAGACTTCCTAGTTTTTGTCAACTTAAGACCAGCTTTTAAAAAATTAAACCCAAACTTTCCAGGACTTAATGCAGTCTTCAATACACATTGCATATATTATATTTTCCAACAAATTTAACATGATAAAAGAAGAAAAATGTGGAAGAGCTGACTTCATGTTCCAAGTAATAATTTTACATCATGAGAAGTATGCATGCTTTCTATTTTTCTTAGATAACCGAAGACCTACTGCAGATTAATATTCATGTGTAAAACAGAAACAGAACTCACTCAGTTCAAAGTTCAAAGAATCACAGTAAAACAATAAATCCTACAAGTTTATTCAGATCTAAGATTGCTTATAACACTGGATATTGGATAAATAACATTGCTGCAATCATGGAGTAAAAATAAGATTAACTTTTTTAAGAATTGCCTTTTTTATATCTCACTTAAGTGAAAAATGTTCAAACTAGCTGGTGAGGACAGTTTAAGGTTGCTAGCTTTTCATATAGTACTCAGATTACAAAATGATAGATATTTATTTTAGATCAGAAAACAAAAGAAACCACACCCAAGTATGGTTAATGTTGCCTTTCAGTAATATATTCAAATTATATGTCCTGTAATACTATGCTTCTAATTGTGTGTGGCTTTTTTCAAGAAAAGCATCCTATATTGAACCGTATTTTGATATTAATGAAGCAACACTGCAACCATTTAACACTGCTCCACCTGTGAAAACACTGTGTATAATTAGTTTTTTTCTCCTTGATGGATTATTTGGGAAAAGAAAAAAAGAAAAAGCAGTGGATAAACAGGTGCAAAAGTAGAGCACACAGAAAACGTTATGACTGAGGCAGGGTTACTGCAGGATAAAAGCATTGCACAGAAGCACCATGGTCAGCTAAAAAAGGTATCCCATCAGTAAATCTAAAGATATATATAGTTAGAACCTCACCCCATGTTGCAGAACTAAAGGTTTCAGTTCAACTGTGTGAATACAAATGAACATTTATAATACTAAATATTTCCCTTTCTTTTGATAAATAGCACTCATCTATGTTTAGCCTATCAGAAAAGTTCAGATACACACTACAGCGACCATATTATACTTTATGTAAATATTTGCTTAAAGTTTCTTACCAGAAAATAATGGTAGATTTCATTCCACTATACATTAAAGCTAAATTAGAAATTAAATTGCTACAGTTTCTATCACCATTAAAGCAATATATGAAAAGCTTTGCCCAAAGAGCATATTTGATCATCATTCTGTCATATATTTTCTGTTGTCTAGTAAGAGGGCAAGCAGAAACATATATTCAGGGTTAAAATGGGTATTACATTAAATAATTAAAATTATTCATAATGAGTAAAATTAAACATTAAATGTTAAATATCTGTCTAAAAATCTAGAATTCAGGTATACAACCCTTGTGTGTTTAGGTATGTGGAAAACAGTAAAACAACATAGCTACCTGGAATATGTTACATCTGAGTCTGTTTATAACAACAACATTCTACATTTAGTTCCACTGCACGTCAGTAATTTAAGAAAAGTTTGCAAAATTTATCAAAGCTTTCCTCATTACAATCTGACAGCTATGTGAGATGAGAAAGAGAGAGAAACCCAAAGTAAATTTTTCAAGTTCATTCATACTTACTGAATATGGAGGAGTGGGAAAAGAAATCTTTGACACAATGTTTAATTTATGTCTATTTTTCTTGTAGCTAACATGAACAATTGAAGTGTTGACAACTACAGAGTTATTTTCATCCAACTGGTCAGTGAAAGGAAAAGGATATGGTAAAGGTATACGAGATTCAACTTCATAACTATCTTCTTCCTGGATTTTTTCTGAGTTCAAGTTTCTAAATATATTTGATGCCCAATATGTACGGTAGGAATCCATTACAGAATAACGTACTGCTGCTCTCTGTCATCAGGTAAGATTATTTGCCTGGATTACGATAGCTTTAAATATTCTTAGGGAAATGGCAAAGTAGTTCACCGATTGTTTGACTGCTGCAGAGAGCCAGAAACTATTAAAACTCAGATGAGTAACCAACTAGTACAGGGAAGTCTCAGTATATATCAAGTTAAAAAAGTCAGCATTTGCAGACCATATAGAGGCACAGTTTTTCTTCCGACAGAACCAAGCTCAAAATAGTAGTTCAAATAAAAATGAAAGTCAACATGAGGCAGGCTTTCGTCGTAGACAAAGGATATTATTTTCCTGATTAGACCATAGACCTTACAGCAAGCAGTCAAGCCATCACAACAAAAATCCACAGCAGCTGCCAGTATTAAAAAAAAAAACCTCTATGGAATTCAAGTCAATAGTATATTAAAGTGAAGTACACTCATGAACAAGAGGAGCAAGTATTCTGAACTCAGATAAAACTTTATCGTGCAAAGCAAAAGGCTGTCTCTCAGTGTTGAGGAAGAAGTCAGGACAGTGGGAGTGGTTTAATTTCTTTACTACAGGTACACAGGCAGATGGAATTTGAATTAACACACCCACAATAAACCTTGCTCAACAAGATTCAAAATCCAAGTCAGAGCTCAGAAACAGAATACTTGGAAGCGATTAAAAAGTTCCAAGACTACTAGATACTTTTCTGCATTTTTAAAAAGAACATTTTTATAAAGCAGCCGCATCAAGCAATGACCTAATTGTTCTGATTATTCTCTAACTTCATTTTGAACCATCAACAGGAGCTACTCTATAGGCGTTATATTCAGACTTTTAATGTTTAACAGCCATCAGGCATTCCGAGGAAGACTTCTATTTGTATTAGGAACAATATGAGAGTGGATGACTTATGAGACAGCCCAAAATCACATTTTTTTGCAACAAAGCAAGCACATTATCTACACAACAAACACATTATTCCTTTGGAAGCCTGTGGGAGAACAGAGGGCCAAAGGAAGGAAAACAATTTTAAATTTCATTCTGGGAAAGAAAAATGATATACTTACTGGCCAAAAATAGCATTCTACTCTTTGCTGGCTTCTAATATAATGCCTCTCCTGAACTAAAGAGGCTTGTAACCATAATTGTACATTTCAAATTCAAATATTAGTTCCATCTTATACACCTGTTGTTTTTAAGAAAGGGTGAGAAAAGAATTCTCTCCTTTGAACATTGAAAGTATTGGAATAAAATACATCCCACAGATTGAGATTTCATATTTCATGTACAAATGTAAGCCCATTTTGAGGCTTATATTCAACTTTGAGGCATTTCCTCTTTGAAAAGTAAAATTACACATGCTAAGGTATCCTACTTGTTCATTATGTGCTTCAAATTAAAAACCTACTCATTTACCTACTGTTTTCACTAAAGAGGAAAAATCTACAACAGTGAACTATTCAATTAAAACATGTTATGTGCATTAATGACATGTGAGAAACAAATAGTGAGATTACTCATAAGTGTTATCTTTGCAGATAAAGAATAAAATTGAGAGATTAAAAACTTCTTCTATGGACAGACAGACTGAAATCAAACCAATGAAACAATATTCTGATCTGTTTATTGTGATTTACTATTAAATTGAGAATTTTCATCTTAAGTAAGCTACTACCACAGCAAAATGCATATAAAAACATCAATAACACTGGAAATAAATATCAATAGGAGAGTGAGTCAGTACACACTTCTTGAAATGAGGTAACAATTACACATTCAGGATTGGATGCCATGGTTCAAAACTGAATGAAGCTGAATTTATTTCCTCATGTTGTTGTACCAATGCAATGTTTGTGTGCAGACCTCCTTTGACTCAAGACAACCGGCCCATTAACAGACCAATAAGTCTGTCAACAAACCGGCATTCAAATCCAAAGACCAAGAAATATGCATATTCTAAAAGCAGCAGGACCAAAAGCATGGGGTGAAAATATTAACTTAAAACTTAAAACGCCTTGCTTAGGAACCTAGTTTAGTACACACTTTCCTGTTTCAGGCAAACAAGACAGACAATATTTTAAAACTTGGAACTGGCCCATACCTTGTGTGCTGCAATACACCTAGACAGCCATATACATGAAAAGTCATGGAGGTGGAGAGGAGATCACGATGATGTTTTGACAGGGTGCAAGCTTTTGTTCCCTACCTCCTCCCCTCCCTACATCACTGACATGCACCTTTAATCCTCTATCTGAGGCCAATATCTGAACTCCAAGTGGCAGCTGGTCTGGATGTTTCCATACTTGGATGTGAAGGGGATAGGGAATCCTATAGCTGCACAGACAATGTGAGGAGGCCATAGGATTTTGTCCTAAATAAACTTGAAATAATTTATCCCATCATCCTAAAAGCATTTAAGCATTTAAACTGAAGGTACTTTGCCAAACAAAACAAGACTTTAGAGTCCTGAAAAGCTTGACAACTGGTTTTCCTCATCTCCAGTTGGGTACCATCAGCTCACAGCAACATACTGGAAGAGCTGATGGGAGCAGCATGGTATTTTTAAAAAAATTCTACACCTAGAAATGTGTGAACAAAAATGAACTTTTTATTTACTCTCACCCCCATTAGACGTGCTAATAGGAGCATTTTATGCCTTGACTGCAGCCCTGCGCTACCAGGACACTTTGAAGGGGGAGCTTATGCCTTGCCAAATGAGGTTCTTTCCTATATTTTTTAATAAGGAAAAAAAAAGGTGAGGAAAGTGAGCTATGGGGAGCCCGTGCCAATTACCTCCAAGTTCTTGTAGAACTGGCAATGGCCAGAGATAGCTTAATGAAGAATGCCAAGGGGCTTCTTGCCACTCTTGCTAAGCAGGTTTATAGCCATGGTCTTTACCATTCATTCATTCATAGCTTTGTATACTATCTGACTACCACAGTCTCAGGATGGTCTTACAATAAAAACAGAATAAAATGAAGCATAGCATCCAATAAATAAAACCCACATTAAAACTGAATCAGATTTAAAATAATGTGTGAATAAAAAGGTTTTAGCCTGGCACCAAAAAGAATACAGAGTCGGTACCAGGCGAACCTCTCTGGGGAGTGCATTCCATAGACAGGGCATCACCACCAAGAAGGCCCTTCGCCAGGTAGCCACCCTCCTAATCTCCTTCAAGGAGGGCTCCCAGAGATGGACCTCTGTACCAGATCTTAAGGGGTGGAAAGGCACATAGGGAAGGGGATGCTCCTTCAGATATCCAGGTCCTAAGCTGTATCAGCTTTCATATCAGTAATTTGGTCAGCATTCCTGGTTTTAAGAAATTAACTTAACAACCCACCATGGTTAAAGAAGTAATCCTAAAACAGCTCATAGGCAGTTTGAAAAAATACTCATGATAGGTAGCCTGTGCTGGGTTTGCTTGATGTGACAGTTATCTGTTTACATTTATCATTTGTCATGTCATGTGAAATTAAACACCATTACACATAATAGTATACCATAGTGAAGGGAAGGGAAAAGGGAAGGATAGAGAAGTTCAGAGATGAAAGTCACCTAGTCTCTTAGTCATAGCATTACATCTGCACTATGCCACAGAAACCATTCTCAGAATTTCTCAAATAAACCAGAAAAAAATAAAAAAATGAATTCATTCCTTCCATTCCATATGTAGGAAGATTTTTCTCTACTCTTAAATATTCTGCTAATAATATAATTAAAGACTACTACCTGATTGGTGGTTTCATTGATCGTTTCCAGAAGTTTCTGAACTGCTGCCTGAAGTCGTGAACTGATATTTAGCACTAGCTCTTCATTTTTTGAGTCTATCTCCATTCCAAGGTATTGGCTGAGTTCAAAGCTTTCATCTGCAACTTCTGACCACATGCTGCTGTCCTCACCTTCTAAACTGCTGTCATGATAGGAAGACAATTTTTCTGCATAAGAAAAATAAAAATAAAAATCATGGTGTCATGTATAGCTCTTTTACACTAAAATTCATTTATAAATGGATTGTGATCAAATAAATTATACAAAAACAAAGGCTATACTTACACAGTAAGGCAGGACATCACAGCAACAAACAAAAGCTACATTATGCACTAAAATTTACACAAATAAGGTAAAGAGAATGTTAATTACACAGCAAGCAGAGACAGGCAGTAGAAAAGGAGATACTAACAGAAGAAAAATATTTTTGTAGCATGACGCAACCTGTTTCTCTTGTACCAGATACATTACAGTATCTTATTGGCTATACTCAGTGCCTTCTATTTAGGGATAAGCACACTGCAAGCTCACAGAAAATAGTCTGACTGGATGTCAGTAGTGCCTTGAGCCAATAAAACCAAGATTATTCCTTTAATAAATTACTTTTAAAGAAATTTCTTTCAACAACTCTATAGAAAATTGATAATTTTAAGAGTCAAGACGTAGGGTTTTTTTAAAGTTATATGCCAAAGGTTGAGCTCCAATTTCACATACTGTGAACAGAAGTGATCTTTCCACCAATAGAAGGTGTTTGATCCAGAAGAGTTTTCCCACTGGCAGACATGAGAGCGGCAAATTTAGTTCATTCTCTCTTCCTCTACAGCTCCAAAAATCTGCTCCAGAAGATTTAAAGCTGTCCCCATCAGCCTCACAATTTTGCTGGTGGGAGTGAAGTCTGGTTCCAACCTCATGCATCTTAATATTCAGCAGTGCAGGGATCAGGACTGCAATCCCATGCACACTTTTTGTAAGCAAGCACTATTTAACTTAGGTGGACTTAATTTCCAATAAACCTGCAGATGATTGGCCTCAAAACATGGTAGAATAATATACATTGTTCATTAGTTATCAATTAGTGCACAAATACATGTGTATGGGGATTAATGACATGGAAATTATTTAATTGAAATATGCAACTACAAAATAAAGGCTATTTATGAACCAGCAGTTAAGGCTACTTTTGGAGTAGGGTAAAAAGCTTATATTGGAGTCCCAGGAAACACTCCCAATTTAGGATATAGTCAATAGCTCCACTCTTTCTGCCATTTCTTAGCCACTGCCATTCTATGTCTCAACAGTGTACCTCATGAAATAGTGGTCAGCAAGTGAAAGCTGCAAGTTATGGATGAATAAACCTTCAGAGCCAAGTTAATGAGAGGCATACAGATTGGAAAGTATGAATTCCAGCTCTGGACTAGCATCTAAGAGGTCAAACTTTGTCTCCAATCTCATCCCAACAAAACTAAATGCACTGACCATCAACTCATGTAAAAGTGATTTTAAAAAATTAACCCCATCACCATTGTCTTTACTCATCATTATGGTTTTACTAGAGATTTCAATAATCTTGATCTGCATTGTCTGTTTTAAAGGTAAATATCACAGTAAGTAATGAAGCAGTCAGCAATTGTTTTGCCTGAATTTTTAGAGGCAAATATATATATCTGGTTCAGATGTAATAGCCATCTCAGGCCAATAAAACATGTTTCCATATTCTTATTAGTAAGCAGAGATTAAATCACAACTTCCCTATTAGAATGGAATGGGAAACTATGATTTAAATATGCTATTAACCAAGGGATCTGTACAAAGAAGGAGCACATAAGTACATAAGGTTTTTAAAATCATGGTTTATCAGCTCAAGACAGCTATATCTGAACATTGCCAATGCCAATGCACCTTAGCAGGATTAATTAAGAGTGGTACTTTAGTGATTTTCCATTTGAGGAACTAGACAGTACAGAAATGCAATAGGTATGGCCAAAGTACTGTGCTTTAGTTTTTAAGGATTGAATATAAAGTTGGCATACTACCTTTATCATATCACTGAAATATTTTCCTTAATGTTAATTACTGTTATATATCTCCTTTTAGCTTTTGTAAGGCTAACATAAATTTTATAAAATTGCAAAACTCCATGAAGAAATAAAAATAGAAACAAAGTTTTATGTGAATGAAATGAATAACATTTTACATTTATTTGGCACCTTTCACCTGCACAGGATTTCAAAGCACTTTACATACCCTGCGGAATTCAAACCCCCAGTCATTAAGGTACAGTCTCTTCAGGGATTGCCAGCAACTATTTTTGGCCAACTCATTGTGCAATGTTTAGAAAGGATTTGGAGAAAGGAGAAGTTTGAAAATGTTCCAAAACCTTCTAAAAATGCTTGCTACAAACATAACCACCCTTTTTATACTATTAAAATATATGATTATTCAGTACCCAAAAAGTGAAGGGTCTCTGGGCACTAAAGTGTATTGCAGGAGCTTTAATATCCTCAGAGTGGAAAGGACCTTTAAGATGCACATCCAGGATACTGTTTGCCAATGCTATACCAATACATTGGTTAAGGCTAAGTTGAGGGAAAGCATACCCCACTATTGAGCCACCAACACCACTTACTGACGCAACTGATGCTCTTTGAAGTTCACGCATCTTAAGTACTGATCAGGTAAGAGACCCTGCTTAGCTTCTGACAAATAACAATCTGCAGTATAGTAAGCAGAGCTACAGGAAAAATACAGTCAAATAAAAGGATATATTAGTTACGGTATATTCTGAACTATGTGCAAAGACCAATGGGTATCGATTATAAAAGCCCCAACCAAAACTTCATTGCACTGTGAGGGCCTGTAAAATGTTCCCTTTGCCCCAAGAAATAGGATAGTCTCTGTCTGTGTTCTTGAAACCAGCCCTCTTAGTCACAGAAACACCCTCAGAAGATGCATCAGCATGCACCCCACTTGTGGACCTTAAAATGGCTGTGAATGGCTAGCAATTAGTCATGCAGCTCAGAAAAGGTGACTCTGTTATTAACTTCTGTCTTTCAGCTATTTTGTTTCTTATGGAAACTGAAATATATCCTTGTCAATTAGGTTGCAGGCTACAGGTTTGTTTTTTAAACCCTTCAATTAAAGGAATGAAAATTCCCTCACTGTAGCAAATAACTAACTCTTTTGTTGCCAACTAAAGACATTTAAATCATCTTTCTGTGGAAAACTAAAAGTGTATGTAGCTAAAATTCGTTTACCACATGCTGTAATCTAGATCTTTAGAGAATATTTTGTTGGCTATTTTGTGCAATAGTAAGCTACTTAAAAATACAGGATACTGCTTTCACAAAATTATATGGATACATGCAAACTTTTGAATTTCTTAAGGTTTATGAGGTTTTCAAGTATCAAATCAGCAAATTTTGTGCTGACAGGCTTTTTTTCTGATATGTCTTCAAGTATAATCTTCATGAAGTAAAAATCTTTGTATTTGTTCCACTGGCCACAAAAGAACTACGAATATTTGATTCTAACTATTTATTAATAAACTGGTTCTATCATTCCACATAGCAATTCTTAAGTAGGAAGCTTCTGGGATTAGATGGGAATCTATTTGTACCCTATACTGGAGAAGTGGAGCCAATGGTAACTTCACCAATTCTTCCCAGCTTTATGGACTGTTTGAAAATAGATGCTGAGCTCACACAGTATGTTTGCTTCTCAGGTTGCTATCACAATGGTGCCATATGTAAACATTGCCATACATATGTGATCTGCTAAGTTTTAATTTGTTTGAACAGCTGTTATTCGCATCTGTTTATATGTTGCAAACACTCTATATGGAGGAGCTTTCTGCAAAAGATTTGTCTTATCAGAGTCAGTCTTTGGTTCCAATGTAACAGTTTTTTGTAACACTACACTGTATTCTGCACAACTGTGCAAGCTCAGTGGTAGAACATTATTTGAGGGCAGAATAAGTCCCTGATGATGTAACTACCTCCAAATCTAAAGAGTTTTGTTTTTTAAATTCAGCTGTCTACATGCTATGCTGACAGCACAATTCTATGAATATTTATTCAGAAGTTGGTCCCACTAAAATTCTCAAGTAAGTGTTCAAAGGATTATAGTGAAAGAGACTGGATAAGACAGATCACATTCCTATGATCCCTGGGAAAGCATCCCAGGACCACAGGATAAGTGTCTTCCAAGGTTGGAGACAGTGCTCCATTCTTGGAATGTCATCACCCTGAGGTTGGAAACTCAATTTCTAAATGAAGTGTTTTGAACTTGAGGAGGATTTTTGATGGGAACCACCATTTTTAACAATACAAATTCAGCTGATATACCTGACAATTTTCATAGCAAAACACAATTTAAATGTCATACTATATTCATCAGCTCTTTTGCATTCTATAACACATCTTTTAAAAATTATTCTCTTGGTGCTGCATTTCATTTTAAGGTTAAATATTTTAATTAATTAAAATACACTGGGAAGTATAATATGAACTATCATACTTATTGTTTAAATATTACTACACCACAATGATTTTCTGTATAATTGAGTTAATTTTGATCAGTGATTCCTTTGAACGTTGTAATTTCTTGGCTTGGAATATGAACCTTGGCAAATGAAAGTTTTGTTTTTGATGATAGAGGTGTTTAAAATTATGCATGCTCTAGATAAAGTGGAGAGGAAAACACATCTTTCCTCTCCCGTAATAGTAGAATGCAGGATCATCCCATGAAGCTGATTGTGGGAGATTTAGGTCAGATAAAAGAAAGTACTTCACACATAACTGAAGAAGTTCAAGTATAGAATTCACTGCCACAGGAGACAGTGATGGCCACCAACTTGTATGGCTTTAAAAGGGATAGGTCAAATTCAGCTATCTATGGATATTAGTCTTGCTGGCTATATGCTATCTCTATTACCAGAGACCACATGCTTGCATACACCATTTGCTGAGGATCTTGGGCAGGTGGCAATATTATACCTATCCTGTTTGAGGGATTCTGTGGACAACTGGTTTGTGATTGGTCTGATCCAGTACAGCTTTTCTTATGTTTTTATGTTGAAAGCATAGCAACCTCTTTGTTCCCCGTTCTCCCATCCGCCTGAATGTTGGTGACTACTGCAGCAGAGAAAGAAGGGGGATCCTTCCCCTTG